GTTCCCGGTAGCGAACGAGCAGCACACTGGGGCCGGCCCAGTCTTGCTCTCTCTTTACGCGCACGTAGTTGGCCAGCGCGACCGCGTAGCAGGAGCAGGAACGGCAGGCGCTGACATTGCGAGGCTGCGCTTCCAATCCTCTCCTGAGCCCGTCGACGCCAATCTCTCTCTCGGTCTCTCTCTTTCCTGTTCCTCAGCTCAGCCAGGAAAGATTTGCTCAACCCTCTTTCCCTCAATTCACTCGCTCACCTTCGCCCTCTCTCTCGTCCCGCGTCTCCCGGCTCGAACGTCTCGTCTCGCCTCGCCTCGCCGTCTCCGTGTCTCCAACGACGACGTTTGACAGCTTCGATGCTACGGCGCTCTGACTCTCCATTTGCAACCCCCCCATAACCTTAATCGCGTCGCCGACAATACCTGTTCCTGTACCCGTACCAAGCAGACACAAACGGTACCGCCCAGCTCGGCTACCCCCGCGCCATCGTCTGCCTGGCCCCAGAAGCCCGCCGCGCCGCGCCCTTGTCGTCGCCGCTGCTCCGCAGACCGGCATCATCGTGCATCTTTGGCCTCGCTGGCTATCCCCGGGTGACGCTGAGCCTGTGCCCGCTTTGAGTGGTCATCTGCGACACACGACCACCACGCCTGCGATTGGCGCCGCCGCATGTGCGCCCTGCTCGCTACTCGTCGACCTCTTGGCTTGTCTCTCCCGGCCCCATCCGCACCGCGCTTCCCGTCGTGCCGCCGTCGCCGTCACCACTGCTCCAGCAGGCCAGCCTGACTGGAGAGCCGAGAACCCCCCCGCCGCAGGCTGCAGCTAATAGGCACATACTTCGTGCCGTCTGCCCGTCCCTTGTTGGTGCTGTCGAGTGTGGAGGTCGCCGCCGCCGCCGCATGGCCGACTGACTGACTGGGACGCAAACCGTCACCCGACCTGAACCCCATCCATCCACACGCTGCAGGCCGACGTCGTCACTCTCCACGACCTCGCCGGGCCCTTGTCTCGTCCCTCCATCCCCCCTCCCCCTTCAATCACGCACGTACAGGTGGGCGCTGCTGCTTCACAGCCCCAAGACCGCCCAAAATTCCTCCGACAAGCTCCTCCCGTCTCCCTTCCAACATTCCCTTGCGGACCCTCCCTGCACGCTCCGGCACCGACCCAGACTCCCAGTCGGCCTCGCTGCTGGCATTCCGCCAGCACGACGACCCGAACCACCGTCGCCTGTCCTCCGGCTCCGAGTCCTCGTGGACCGACACGGGCGACATTGGCGAGCAGCCCGCCGACGAGCACGACCCCGTCCGCCTCCAGCTGCCCGACGAGCTCGAGGACGAGCTGCTAGCCGGCGTCCAGAAGCGATCCTCGAGGCACCACAAGAAGGTCCGCATTCAAGATCCTTCTCCGCGACGACACGAGCGCTCCCTGTCGCAGCCGCGCATCGTCGACAAGGAAGCGATCCAAATACCAAACGTCCGACCCTATCGCCCCTCCCGGGCTGAACGCTGCATCGGTGCCATCATGTCGGGACGCTCGGGCTCCATCCACGGCCTGACGGGCAAGGCCCTTCTGTACGCCGAATCCTCTCGTCCCCTGCCGCTCGGTCGACGGGGCACTGCGTCGGGATGACAGATGCCTGCTGACACGTGCGGCTGTAGTTACTTTACCAGCATTTTCGTCTCCCTCGGCGTGTTTCTTTTTGGCTATGATCAAGGCGTTATGTCGGGCATCATCACGTAAGTTCCGCTCCGGTTAAACAAGATGGAAGAAACCAGCGCTGCGGAAACTGACGGCGGGATACGCAGAGGCCCGTACTTCATTGACTACTTCGACCACCCATCCAAGGCCCACGTAGGGACCATGGTCGCTATCCTCGAGATTGGTGCCTTCATCTCCTCACTGGTGGTGGGCCGAGTTGGCGACGTCATTGGCCGGCGGCGCACAATTCTGTACGGATCGTGCATCTTCTTCGTCGGCGGCGCCCTCCAGACCCTCGCGACCTCCATGACTATGATGATGGTTGGTCGCATCATTGCCGGTCTTGGTGTTGGTATGCTGTCGACAATTGTCCCCGTGTACCAGTCGGAAATCTCGCCGCCCCATAACCGAGGAAAATTGGCCTGTATCGAGTTCTCCGGCAACATCATAGGATACACCACCTCTGTCTGGGTGGACTACGGCTGCGGCTTCATCGAGAGCAATATGTCGTGGCGTATACCGTTGCTGATGCAATGCGTGATGGGCGCGCTTCTTGGCATGGGAAGCTTGATTATCGTGGAGTCCCCGAGGTATGAAGAGACCCCAGGCGTTTGCCGGAGAGGTGCTGACAGCTTTCAGATGGCTTCTCGACAACGATCATGACGAAGAGGGCATGGTTGTCATTGCCAACCTGTACGGTGCTGGCGACATCCACAACCCCAAGGCCCGAGAAGAGTACCGCGAGATCAAGATGAATGTGTTGCTCCAGCGCCAAGAGGGAGAACGCACCTACGCCGACATGTTCCGAAGATACCGCACCCGCGTCTTCATCGCCATGTCTGCCCAAGCCCTCGCTCAGCTCAACGGCATCAACGTCATCTCGTACTACGCCCCTTATGTCTTTGAATCGGCAGGCTGGGTAGGCCACGATGCTGTGCTCATGACGGGGTTGAACGGCATTACCTACTTCCTGTCCACCATTCCGCCGTGGTATCTCGTGGATCGATGGGGTCGCCGCGCGATTCTCCTCTCCGGCGCCGTCGCCATGGCCATATCCTTGTCCCTCATCTCCTACTTCATCTACCTAGACATCCACTGGACACCGCGCATGGTCGTATTATTCGTCATGATTTACAACGCAGCATTTGGCTACTCCTGGGGCCCGATCCCGTGGCTCTACCCGCCCGAGATTCTGCCGCTCAGCATTCGATCCAAGGGCGCCAGCCTGTCGACGGCCACCAACTGGGCGGCGAACTGGCTTGTCGGAGAAATGACCCCAATTCTGCAAGAGTGGATCAAGTGGCGGCTCTACCTCGTTCACGCGTTTTTCTGCGTGGCAAGTTTTGTGATTGGTAAGTTTGGACACATATTGGTAGCGTGGAAAGCGATCTAACAGCCGGACAGTATATTTCATCTATCCTGAGACGTGTGGTGTTCGTCTCGAGGACATGGACTCGATCTTCGGCGACGCCAGCACGGTCGTGGGCACCCCCTCGATACACGCCGAGACTGGGTCTCTTATCAGGGGCGGATCACCCATTGGGTCCGGTCGTGTCTTCATGGGTCAGCCCAGCGGCATCCCTCCCCTCAACCTCGAGCCCGGCGCGGAAGTCGACGACGACAACAAATCGCAGATCCAAACGAGCGGAGGCGAGGACAGGAGCATAGGCGGCTGGCTATCCAGGGTCGTCGGCCGCGGGCGCGCAGACAGCGGTGGCAGCGGTCAGGGCCGTTATGCGCCGCTTGGACAGCAGGAAGAAGGCAACCGGAGCGGCAACTGAAGGGCCGCTTCTTTGCATTTGCGCGAATAGAGTTTTGCATATAGATGGTGCGGTCAGGCATCCGCAGTGCCGGTCTGGAGTTGGGAACGCACAGTCCGCCCGCTCGAGCCGGACGAAGACGACTAGAGATTAGCGTGATGAGGTTTGGACGGAATCACCGAGCGAGCGCAGACCTGCATGTCATGAAAGGAAGATGCGCCGCAATGTCACGGCGCCAGTGGAACGGTATTGGATTGAAGAGCAGGCGCGCATTAGACTTGAGACACAAGGGGGAGGATTATACTTAGTTGTCTATAGTACAACTGTAGCTAAGTCGACTCCTCAGTCTTCGTTATTCAACTCGCCAGTGAGGCTCTGAAGCCTACTCTCAGTGGTGGTATCAGTGCGAAAATATCGACTGAGACCTCGGCAAGCAAGCCCGCGTTCCCTGTAAGTAGATCTGGCATAGGAGACGATGAACTAAGAGGGTCTCTCCAGCTTCGCGTGGCCGGGAGAGTGCCTGTGTCCCAGTCTCCTACCCCTGACATTGCAAGGACCGCCTTATAGACGTCGTCGAAACTCGCACCTGGGAAGTCGAGGGACACACTCGCATTGCCCTTTGGCGCCAGCCACCGACTACTTTCCAAGAGTAGTGCTATTCGTAGAGCTAACTTCTGCTAGTTGTAGAGCCTGTCCTACCGCAGCAGTAACGGCAGCAACGGCAGCAACGGCAGCAACGATAGCAACAGCGGCGGCTCTACAACTAGCAAAAGTTGGCTCTACGAATAGCACTCCTCCTTTCCAATTGCACGTATCTAAATGCAAGCGAGGGAGGCAAGACCTCATAGCAGCCAGTGAATCTGGCATGAGGCTTCGCGCCTGAGACGCCAATGCCCTCAACGCAGAAACGGGGCCCGTGACTTATTGGAGCCTTGTTTTTGCGAACTATGATTAGTATTGCAGGGCCGACGATGGCGACCTTGCACTTGGCGCGGAGCTCCAATGATGCCAGCGTGTGGTTGCATAACGGGTCGGGGGGTGTAAGCCAGCCAATTGCCTCAGCAATGCAAAATAGCTGTAGCCATCGTACTGCTGCGAAGCAGAGGTGTCAATGCAGAGGGCAAGTGCAGAGCCGTCGCGTGAGAGCACAAAGGAGGGCCGAATTAGCTCGTGGTTCTAGCACATACGACCATAGCCATAAGAATATTCGGGATCCCGTCCGCTCTCCCATAGACAAGCTTATGAGCGGCAGATTAGTAGTTGGGTCGGTGACGACCAGCGAACACCGGCTGTTGTATGTTTTTTTTTTTTTTGGCATTTCATTTAATTCTTTGAATATAGACTCTAAGTTGATGTTGTTGCTCTAATGAGGTTGGCTGGGACAGTGAGAGCACCTGAAGTTCTGGACGCCTGACGTTGTCGCCGCCCCACTTTTTTCTTGGGAAGCAGAGTTAAAGGATGAACCTCACCTGCCGACTCAGCAAAGAGCGCCGCCACGGACAACTCAACCACCGACTGCCTTCACACCCGGGGGCCAAGCGCACAATGAAACCATGACGACCGGGACGGACATCATCCACGCCTACCGGCACCTGTACAGGGGCCTGCTGCGCGCGGTGCAGTTCTCGTCGCCCGCGCGGTACGTGGCGCGCGACCAGCTGCGCGCGGCGTTCCGGGACAAGGGCGCGGTCTGGGACGCCGAGGGCGCGAAGCGCACGCTGTGGTTCGTGCAGGCGGCCGCGCGGGAGAGGGGGCTGGAACACAGGGTGCTCAAGAACCTGCTGCGCGTGAGGCTGCTTCGGGCGCGGGAGGGGGCCAACTGGCGGAAGCGGCTGCACGAGAGCAAGCAGAGGTGAGTTTTTGTCTCTAGAGAGATGCGCTGCCTCCCGTTTCTACACTTCTAGCTCGGGAGCAGACATGTGCGGAGGTTGATGCTCAGCGAGACCGGCTGCTGATGACTGTCGCAGGAATGACATGAAGGCGGAACAGGAGACGGCCATGGAGCACTACGACATGACGGTTGCCATGTTGAACAAGAGCATGGGGCTATGCCTGCGATGAAGGAGCTTCAGAGGCGGAAGCGAAGAAGCAGCAAACGCATGACACGAGATACATGCGACATGCGCCCAGCCGGATGCGCTTGGGGGCGCCTACACTCGAGGGCATGCAGACCCCCAAGATTCAGCTGTCCACTCAGTCACACGCGCAACTCGGCATTGATCACCCTGCTCAAGCGCAAACAGAGCCTACGCAAGGAACATCGCATTGGCGTCTCTCCAGAGCAGATGGGTAGCTTTGTACACGACGATGACTCTCACACCGCCAGCGGGTAGCCATATCAGCACACCGCGGATAATACAACATTGAAGACTCCTTCTCCCCAATGATCTGACTAGCTATCGGCCGGCACGTCAACCACGACATCCAGCTCCTCCAGGATGAGGTCGTTCAGGCTCACGCCGTCCCTCGTGTAGATCCAGTTGCCGGACCCCGTGCCTTCCTTCTCGCCTTGGCCTTCGCCGATGATGCACCAGTCGTAGCGCTTGGGGCCGGAGATGGGTGATGAGAGCCAGATCTGCTTGTTCGGGGGCTGCTTGTTGATGACGTAGGTTCCCTTGTCCGCTACATTGATGGTCATGACACCGGCCTGTAGGTAAGCGCTGTTAGAACCATACAAGCTTGATGGAGTTGAAGAGGGCCTTGGCGCAGGGCGGCTACGTACCGAGTACTCGATATCAATGTCCTCCCTCGCATCCTGCAACTGCTCAAACTTGGCCAGCACCGTGTCCAGGTACTGGTCCGCCAGCTCGTGATACTCGCTATCTGACAGCTCCGCGACGCCGACGCTCGGCTCCGTCTTGGCGGTCTCTTCCTTGACCGGGTTCTCGGTGTCGGGCATGATGCCCTTGGTCCGGGAGGCAGATGCCGAGAACAGCCGCCTGGCGCAGGTGAACTGCTGCGGCAGGACCACGGCCCGGGAGACGCGCGGAGCGACTCGGAAGCTTGCGCGGGCGGCGCAGGAGCTTCGGGCTGTGCGCGCGACGAGGCGCGAGGCCTGGGCGATGGCCTGGCGAGCCATGATCGGGACCAAGAGCGGACGGTGAACGCCGACGGGAAGCGACGGGAGGGATTGGCTCGAAGCCCGTTTCGCGAACGTCGAGACGCGGGAGGTGCGGAGTGGACGAGGACCTCGAATGTTGTACGAGGACGGGAGTGTCGCAGCTGTCTTGCACTGCGGCGACCAATTGCCGTTACTATGGCCGGGTGAGAGGTGGAGGAAGAGTGCGGAGGTCGACGGTTTGCTGAGGGTTGAGGTCGCATCGAACGGCCTGCTGAAGCTCCCCCACTGCGGTACGTCAAGCTGCAGCGCATCAGCGAGCTGCTGCAAGCTGCCAATCCGTGCGCCCTGGCTGGCTGGCTTCGGCTTCCCGCTGGGGCCAGTCATGTGCCACCAGCCTGCGGCGGTGTCGAACGCTGGCTGCCCCACCACGCCGTGCCCACCAGTGGCCTACGATCCGACATCCCCCATCATCGGAGCCTGCGCCAGTTCGCGACGACGGCGATGACGAGCTGGGCCTCGTCCAAACGACCATGATCAATGCGTTTCTGGTCTTCAATGGCCAGGGTCAGCCCCGCCTGACCAAGTTTTACACGCAGCTCGTACGTTCCCCTCTATGCGCCCCAGGCCTCACGCCGCCGACTCCCATGCTTACGGTCCGCACCAGGAGACGAGCATCCAGCAGCGGCTGATATCCGAAATCTTCACCCTCGTGTCGAACCGCCCGGCCGGGTCCTGCAACTTCCTGCCCCTCCCGCCGCTGCTGGCCGCGTCGGGCACCTCGCACACCTCGTCGCAGGAGCAAAACGACGTGCCCTCGCTCGTCACCTACCGCCACTACGCGACCCTCTTCTTCATCATCATCTCCACGTCGACCGAGTCGCCGCTCGCCCTCATCGACCTGATACAAGTCTACGTCGAGGCCCTGGACAAGCTCTTCGAGAACGTCTGCGAGCTCGACCTCATCTTCAACTTTGAGACGCTGCACGCCACGCTGTCGGAGATGATAATAGGGGGCGTGGTCATCGAGACGAGCCTGGACCGCATCGTCTCGGGCGTTAGGGCGCAGGGGACGGTGGCCAAGAGGCCGGTCAACGAGGGGCGGAGCTCTGCTCTGAGCTCCGGGCTCGGCATGAGCGGGAGCTTTGCGTGGGCAGGGAGGTGATGTGATTCAAGCCGTGCCTCTCTAAAAGGAAGGAGTAGTCAGAGAGCCCCCCAAGAAATGCCGGGTTATCCGTACATGTCCGCTCGATAGACGAGCACAACGCCCCAAAACGCCAGAGATATGGTACATGTGTGTGATATCGTACAGCTCATTTAGACTCCGATTCCGCTCCTTTTGGGGTAGGGTTGACGTCGGGCGCATCCTTGCGACGCTCGTATCGCTTGTCGGGGTCGAGGACTCCAAAGAGGTTGGCCGCATGCCGGCGCATCTGTGTTTGGTTAGAGGCTTGTGCTTCCATATGGCTAACAGAGCTGAAATACCTCTTCGGAGGGCTTGTACTGCTTCCCCCACCATTCAAATTCGGAATAGAATAGAAGCCATACCAAGGCGGCTAGATATTGAACCGTCAGCTCCTTCTGTGGCAACGGGGCACGGACGCGGCGTACCGGCAATGGTCGCAAGCTGTGCAAACTTGATTCCCTTTTCCCACCTCGGCGACTTGCTCGCGAGCAGGATGCGCCGCTTGTACTTCTTCTCGAACCGGAGTTGCTGCTGGTGGTTGAGCTCCTTGAAATTCGGCGGCCAGACCTTTCGCGCCTTGTACGGGTTCGCGGCGGCGCTCAACGGGACCTGCTTCGCGAGCGGCTCCTTGGCCGACTGGGCCATGCGCCTGAGGAGAGTCGGGAACATGATGCCGAAAGTGTGACTCTTTCGCCCCCGATGCAGGACGACCTTTGGCCAGCGACAGTTGATGTATCGTGTGACGCAGTTGACGGTCGTCTCTCAACGGCGGCGGAACCAATCCCAGCCTAGGCGGAATAGGGCAGCCACCGCACCGCCTCAGCGAACGGGGGTCTAGCGCCACACCGCCAGCGAAAATACCCTGGCAGGTTCTGCCCCGCGATTGATTTTCACCCCTCCTCAACCCAACACCTGCCCACGAACCACCCACTGTGACTCAACCGCGCCTCGAGGACCGCCAGACCGACAGAAGCCCGGCGCATCTGGCACCCGCGACAGAGTCAAGACTCGGGCCCCGAGAGACGCATAAATACGGCGTCGGAGCTCTGTTGATCCCGCCACGGTCCGATTCCCCGTCACCGCAGATTTGACGCGACAATGGCTGCCACCGACTCCGTCCCCAAGGCCATGGAGGGCCTGAGCATCTCTCAGCCCAAGACCAAGGAGCTGAAAGGAGTACGTCCGCGCCTTGCTTCCATCTCTCTGCTGAACACTTTTGTTGACCTTGCCCAGACCGAGAAGCGCGACTCCCTCATCGCCGTCGAGAAGAAATACCAGCAGCAATGGGCCACGGAGCACATCTTCGAGCAGGACGCCCCGTCGATCGAGGAGGTGCCCCTGCACTCCATACCCGCCGCCGAGCTGCGCGCGAAGCAGCCCAAGTTCTTCGGATGCATGCCGTACCCCTACATGAACGGCGTCCTGCATGCCGGCCACACCTTCTCGGCCAGCAAGGTCGAGTTCGCCGCCGGCGTCGCCAGGATGCAGGGCAAGCGGGCCCTGTTCCCCATGGCCTTCCACTGCACCGGCATGCCCATCAAGGCCTGCGCCGACAAGCTGGTCAACGAGATTAAGCTGTTCGGCCAGGACTTTACCGGGTACAGGGAGGAGGACGAGGCCGCGGACGGCGCCGCTGTCCCCGCAGGCAAGGCCAAGAAGGAGGACCTGACCAAGTTCACCACCAACAAGAGCAAGGCCAACGCCAAGACGGCCAAGCTCAAGTACCAGTTCCAGATCATGAAATCCATCGGCATCCCCCAGGAGGAGATTCACCTGTTCGCCGACCCGCAATACTGGCTGGAGTTCTTCCCGCCCCTGGCCATCCGCGACCTGAGCAACCTGGGCTGCAGAATCGACTGGCGCCGATCTTTTGTCACCACCGACGCGAACCCGTACTACGACGCCTTTGTGCGATGGCAGATGAACCGCCTCAAGGAGCTGAACAAGATCAAGTTCGGCAAGCGCTACACCATTTACTCCATCAAGGACGGCCAGCCTTGCATGGACCACGACCGCGCCGAGGGCGAGGCCGTCAACCCGCAAGAATACACTGCTCTGAAGCTCAAGGTCCTGGAGTGGGCACCCAAGGCCGCCGAGGCCATCAAGGGCAAGGTGCCGGAAGGCTCTGAGATCTTCCTCGTGCCCGCGACCCTGAGACCTGAGACGATGTACGGACAGACCTGCTGCTTCGTGGGTCCCAAGATTACCTACGGTGTTTTCAAGGCTGGCGAGAAGAAGTACTACGTCGTGACGGACCGTGCCGCGCGGAACATGGCCTACCAGGGAATCCTTGCTCAGGAGGGCGTCATCGAGAAGGCCGGCGAGATCCCTGGTGCCGACATTGTCGGTACCCTGGTCAACGCACCCCTCTCGCTGCACACTGAGGGCGTCCGCGTCCTGCCCATGGACAACGTCCTGCCCACCAAGGGCACCGGCGTGGTCACGTCGGTCCCGTCCGACAGCCCCGACGACTTTGCCACCGTTTCCGAGCTGGCCAAGAAGGCCGACTTCTACGGCATCAAGAAGGAGTGGGCCGAGCTGGAGATCTTCCCCATTATCCAGACCCCTTCGTATGGCGACCTCTGCGCGCCATTCCTGGTCAAGAAGCTCAAGATCGCGTCGCCCAAGGACACCAAGCAGCTGGAAGAGGCCAAGGAGTTGGCCTACAAGGAGGGTTTCTACCAGGGTATCATGGCCGTTGGCGAGTTCAAGGGCGAAAAGGTCGAGACCGCTAAGCCCAAGGTCAGAAGCCAGATGATCGATGCCGGCGACGCCTTCGCCTACTCTGAGCCGGAGCGTAAGGTCGTCAGCAGATCCGGAGACGACTGCATCGTGGCCTTGATGGACCAGTGGTACCTGGACTACGGTGAGGAGTCGTGGAAGAAGACCGCCCTGGAGTGGGTTGAGAACGTCAACGGCAAGGGCCTGGAGACCTGGACCCAGGAGACCAAGCACAGCTTCGAGGGCGTCCTGAACTGGCTGAACCAGTGGGCTTGCGCCAGAACTTACGGCCTGGGCTCGAAGCTGCCATGGGACCCTCAGTTCTTGGTCGAGAGTCTGAGCGACTCGACCATCTACATGGCGTACTACACCATCGCACACTATCTGCAGAAGGATCTGTTTGGCCGCGAGAAGGGCATCGGCAACATTGCGCCCGAGCAGATGCTTGACGAGGTGTGGGACTACATCTTTTGCCGGCGGGAGCTGAGCGAGGACGTCCTGAAGGACTCCAAGATCCCGCAGAAGACCCTGGAGAGCATGCGGCGCGAGTTTGAGTACTTTTACCCCCTGGACGTGCGAAGCTCGGGCAAGGACCTGATTCCCAACCACTTGACCTTCTTCCTGTACGTCCACCTGGCCATCTTCCCGCCGGAGTACTGGCCTCGCGGTGTCCGTGCGAACGGCCACTTGATGTTGAACGGCGAGAAGATGAGCAAGAGCACGGGCAACTTTATGACCCTGCGGGAGCTGGTCACCAAGTATGGCGCCGACGCCGCTCGTATCGCCATCGCCGACGCTGGCGACGGCGTCAGCGACGCCAACTTTGAGGAGGATGTCGCGGACAACAACATTCTGCGCCTGTTCAACCTGCGCGAGTGGTGCGAAGAGATGGTCCGGGAGCAGGACGACCTGCGGACCGGCGAGCCCAACTCGTTCCAGGACGCGCTGTTCAACAACGAGATGAACAGCGTCACCGCCGAGGCCGTTGAGCAGTATCGCCAGACCAACTACAAGCTGGCGCTGAAGGCCGCCCTCTACGAGCTGACGAGCGCACGCGACTTCTACCGCGAGGCCTGCTCGGCCGGCGGCATCAAGATGCACAAGGACCTGGTGTTCCGCTACATTGAACTGCAGGCCCTGCTGATGGCCGTCATCGCGCCGCACTGGTCGGAGCACATCTGGCGCGAGGTCCTCAAGAAGGACGGGTCCATCCAGAACGCCCGTTTCCCTGATGTGCGCCCCGTCGACGCGGCGCTGTCGGCCAAGAGAGACTACGTGCGCAACACGGCATCCAACGTCAACTCGGCCGAGGGCCTGCAGCTCAAGAAGAAGGCCAAGGGCAAGGAGGTGTCGTTCGACCCGAAGCAGCCCAAGAAGCTGACCATCTACATGTCGGCCCGGTTCCCGTCGTGGCAGGCCAAGTACATTGACCTGCTGAAGGAGATGTGGGACCCGACGGCCAAGTCGGTCAACGACAAGGAGCTGAACGGGCGGATCGCCAAGATGGGCGAGATGAAGAAGGCGATGCCGTTCGTGCAGGGCCTGAAGAAGCGCCTGCAGAACGGCGAGCCGGCAAGCGCCGTCCTGGAGCAGAAGCTGGCGTTTGACGAGAAGGAGACGCTGGCGCAGATGGTGCCCGGGCTGTCAAAGACGGCCGGGCTGGTGGCGTGCGAGGTGCTGGTGGTGGAGGAGGGCGGCAAGAAGGGCGTCAACATGGCGGACGGCAAAGAGGTGGACATTACGGTACCGATCGCGGAGAACTCAGTGCCCGGAGTGCCCACGTTTTTCTTTGAGAACGTGCAAGCTTGAGAAAGGGGCGCGCGCATGTCTGTGTGTGACGAGGAGCGGCTCTGGCTGCGGCTGTTGGTGTTAGAAGCCGATACATGATGCGTCACGAGGCTGTGAGAGTTAGAGGACGCAGCAGACTAGAGGTAGATCTTTTTGGGGGGAGTTATAAAAAGAAACATTTGTGCGTCGAAAGAAGCAGTGGCCACGCAATGCTGGGGCTGCGCGAGTCGTGCGTGTGCATGTGCAGATGGGGAAATGCCGATTTCGTAAATGTCGCGCGGAGCTTTCAATGGTGGCCAAAAGTCCGAGTTTGATCATATACTTGGTACAGGAACTCTGCGTCCAACCAAGCCAACGGAAGGGGCTTTTCTCGTATTGGGGACGCTTACATGCCCACACGAGCTGACGTCGCCGTCGTCACTCTACTTGGTAACAACGGAGATAGATGGATGGACAGACAGACGATCAGCAGGGAGGGCCCTAGCACCACCATCTGAGTGAGGCCAGGGGACTGGCCGCCCCGTGACTGCGATCAAGTCACTACTGCCTCGCCAGGGATCAAGGGACGTAATGTATGGAATGGAAAGTCGGGTGTATGTACTAACGTTATGTACTGCACCTGCAAACCTCCGAGGCATGACGCGCGTTTTGTCAATGGGGGGGGTTTATGATGAAGGAAACGAGCGCGTGCCCGCCCCAAACAATATCATGCGAGCTGCTGCGTCGCACGACTACGAGGAGTGGCCAGACGGCAATGCAATGCATGAAGAGGGCATGATGGCACTCCCCGGCCACACGTCTCTATGAAACGAAACGACCGGCCCCCCGGGGCCCCCTTGATCTGCGCATTGAACCACGGATTATACGGAGCACTCGTGCGCTGCTGTTCGTTGTGAGTCCTCGTCATCAGGTACAGTACAGTACAGTACTCATATCATCATCATATGTATGTCAATGCGTGGGCTGCGGGCAGGGACCACGACCACGACCACGACCACGCCACGTACGGACCGACGAGCGCTGTGCCCAGTGGTCTGCGGTCCTCATGCGCGGCGGCGGGCTGTTTTTTTTTTTTTCTCTCTCTTGGTGCAGATGATGATGAATGGGGCTTTGCTGCGGGCCGTGCATGCCATGCCATGCAATGCATGCACGCACCTCATGAATGCGATGCCCGTGGCCCCCCCGGTATTCTTTGCAGGGCATTTTCTTCTCCAGGCACCGTGTGGGCGGCGGGCTTGTGGGTGTCTTGGCGTCGATGTTTTCTGCAGAGCTATCGTCGTCGTCGACGAGCTGCAGGATGTCGTGATGCGCTCGTGTACTGTACCAGGTAAAGAAACAATAGCATATGTGGTGTACCGGATTTCGTACCCATGAAGGTACGGTGCCGTATCGTTTAGTACGGTACAGCACGGGCACGGCAGTTCGCTTGCATGGCTTGGCCGCAACGACGAACAAAAAAACCACAGTGGCGGATGCCGTGCTGCGGCAACGTTGGCTGGCTGGGCGGGTGTTTGTCGTCGACTTGTCGACTCGTCGGTCCGCACGGCACGGCGGCGACCAGCTGGCTGGCTGGCTTGCAGACAGCGAGGCAACACAAGGCACCGATGTCCTATCCACAAGACCGACTGGGACCGTTGTTTTGTCGTTGCCATGTTACCGTGTTGCCATGCCATGCTGTCCTCCTCTCCTGGGGGGGTGTTCTCGTATGATGCACGTTCTCGCGGCGCGTGACGGGGGCGGCCGGGGTGTTGGCCCGCGCGTTTGGAGTGATATGTATCACTCAGCACGATGGCCCTTTACACAGGGTATGAGGTACTGTGCTGATGTACACGCTGTGCCTTATCATACCCGTGCCGGGGCGGGACGCCGCCGTGCGACCGATGGTGCCTGAAGTGCCTATCGGCAAGCGGCAACCAATGGCGGAGGAAAACCCCGTTCCCCAGGCCAGTCCGGACGTGGGGGAGAGAGATGGGCATCGACGCCTCTGTGGTCCGTTTCCGTCCCTGCGCTGGTTTGTGGATGGATGGATGGGTGGATGGATGGACCAGATGAAAGAATGCGGAGGGTACAGTACAGTACATCACGTACATAGTTACAGCACTGGGACCCCATTGGGCGTATGGACGGGACAGGATGGCGGACCGTGAGTTGCGTTGTGTGTTGTGTGTGTAAGTGACATGTTGGCCATTAGAGACTGGGAGCACAGATGTCGCCAGCGGGGAGGGAGAGGGAACAGTGCCAACGCGAGGCGGACGAGAGGCCATCACACCTCGTTATCGAGGCCGCCAGACCGGCGATACAGTAGCGTAGTGTGGTGTACTGTACTGTAGTAGTCGCTTTGCTTCGTTGGGACGACGGCTCCTCTCTCACGACGTGGGAGGTAGGGACGTAGCTTGCGCAGGTAGGTGAGCTTGGAGAGGTGGTGGTGATGTGCTTGATGGAGGGTTAGCGCGCCTCGTATCCAGCCGGCAGTGCATGGCAAGTGGGTGTGCCTTCGGCAGATGGACGGCGCGCGCTGTGTGGTGGAAAACGACAGACGACGCGCAAGCTGCTCTTGCCCCCTCCCGCCCATCTCAGGAGTACTACTAGTAGCAGCAAGAAAGCTCACCAATGGCTCGAGACTTGTGCCTGCCCCTTTCCGACGCGGGGCCGATTCCCGTTCGCGCGGCTGTGCGACGCTGTACGAAGTACAAACGTACATTTTCGCACATACTACTACCTACGTGCGTGCGTATCAGGAGGCAGGGAGTCGGGGCAGACCTCGCAGACGGCCGCCGCAACTCGAGGCCGGTGGCAGAGGTGGGGAGGAAAGGAACCTGGTTCAGCCCAGGAGTACGGAGTACTTCGTAGAGAGGGTCAGAGCCCCCCCCCCCGGGACAGAGGCACCTGCCGCTTTTTCCATCTCATCTCGCTTGTGCAGACCGACTTTCACGGGGGAAGAGAGCAAAAAGCCGACGAGAGAGCAGCAAGCCCGAGAAGACCAAAAAAAAGAGTTCAGTTGACCTTGGGGGATCTTTGGGCCCGGATGGGCGGCTCGCTTGTCCGAAAGAACCGAGCAACAACATCCCACTACCGCGCGCAGGGCCCTGCTCTGAGAAAAAAAAAAGAGAGGCGCAGGCAGGGGGGAGTGGACGGTCGGAGCGTTCGTCTGTCCCGCGTGGTGTGCCTTTCTTCTGCGTCTTGCGTGCGCCGTGATCGATCTTGCGCGCAAAGAAAAGGAACGGGAAGCCAAAGGGAGGGCGTCAAGGGCGTCGTCGGATGCAACCATGCCATCTGAACGTGGCTCGAACGGGCAGAGGAGGAGCTACAGCAGCAGCTCCAGCAGCGATGGGTACTAGAGTGATAGCGGTCGTGGCACAGTATGAATTGTCTCAGACGAGGCCGGCGGCCGGGCAGGTACCTACCTACCTCTCCCAGGTACAGCAACAGCAACAGCAGCCAGCCTGCCCGGTCGTCCATCTGGCACCCAGCCTGGAGGTTGCTGTAAGTCCGGGCAGCCTGCCGCCCGAGGGCCTTCCACCCGCAACCAGCCAACGCCCACGCCGCCAATGGCTTCGCCAACGGCCGGACACCGGGCACTGCCAGACTTGACCTGGTGCGGAGCCGACGGCCGGGCCGCCAGCTAAACCACGGGGCCACTGGAACCAGAAGAGAGCCAGAAGACAGCGCCAGAGCCGCAGACCAGCCAGAGACGCGCCAATTCAAATGCTACCTTTACCTAGCGCAATCACCGCTGCCTGCCTGCCTGCCTGCCTGCCATCTGCCTGCGTACAAATGTACCCGCCAGGGGTGGCGCGGCCCCAGTTCAAGCAAGCTTTTTTGTCTCTGCTCCAGTTCCAGACCCAGAAAAGCTTGTTCGACAGTGCCAGATGCACATCCACCATCTCACCCCCCCAATCCAATGCCTGCCTGCCATGCCCATGTTTCGAACGGTCATGTTCCCGTCCCTCCCCCCCGTCCATCCAGCTTCCTTCACCGTCCACCGTCCACCGTCGCCGTCGTCGCCGTCGCCCATTGAACCCGCCGCCGCCGCTGGGCCCCCGGTCACGGTAGTCCGCTCCCGTGGACGGCAGACGAAGGGTAGTAGTCTGATTGCGCATTTCATCTCGCCCGTTCGCGTGACGTGACACAATGCGGTATGGTACGGCACCGGGTACTCGCAGACAGTGCGCGCGCGCGCGGGCGTTGTGTGCCGCCGCATCATCATCCCATGTCGACGACACCGTCAGATAGGCCTCCTGCGGCAATTGACAAGAAGAGCCTCCTCCGCGGCCGACCAGACCTGGCTAAAAGGCCGCGGCAGCCTCGTCGCCTCGTTCGCCGGTTATTTTTGCGTGGCTTCTGGCCCCCCCACGGGCGGGCGTTGATCGTTGCTTGACTCGAGTGGCATGATGACGCAACGTCTGCTCCGTACTCCGTGCGCCCGACCTGCTCCATCCTCTGAATGGGAAGGGGGGATCCATGTCAATTTTTCCCTTCCCAATCGCCGTGCCTTGCTTCGAAACGCAGGCAGCGGGCCGAGCAAAAAAGCCTTGGTACAGAAAACTGCTGCTATCTTCCTTGGAAGCCCACCTCTAGGAGGCGGCGCCTTCGGCAGCGAACAATCGGAGAGCCTCCAACCAAAAAAAGCTTCTGGACGGTTGGTTAGTTCGTTACGTTGGAGGCGGCGGGATCGGCGATGATAAGCTGTAACCTCGTCCATCTCCCAACGGGCACGTTGGGCGGACGACTGGCGAATGGGCCCCGGTGCAATTCTCGGGCGCCCCCAGCATCCATGGATCCCCGCCAGTCAAGCCAGGGGGGTGGTGGTACTGCAGTACCTGCGGCGGGCGAGTCGTGCCGTGCAACGAGTGCGAGCTGAGCAAGATGAGGTACCGGCCGAACCCATCCATCTCGTTTCGGACGGGCTGGCAGGCCGGTCGGGCTGCTAAAACCTGCGAGATGGTGCAAAGCGGTTTAGGCGGGTGGTCGTTTCGGTGGTGCGTTTGCGCGAAAGGCCTTCATCATGGCTTCATGGCTGGCCCCCCCGGAGGTGGGCCGGTGGCTGCTGCAACCTGCGGGTGGGCGATGGATTGGGGTGGGTGCATGCCCGTCCAGTGGGTGGGCTCCAGTAGTAGGTGGCCCCCGCCAGTGGCCCCAGTGGCACTCCACTGGGCAATTCCCTTTGGTAGCGCAACCTATCGCTGTGGCACACGCCAGGACTGGACTGGCAAAAGTGTCGCCGCCTTGCATCCCGCGCCCGCCCCGTGTGCCTTGCCTGGCCTTGCCTTGCGCGTTCCCGTCGTTCCCTGGCAGGGGGGAGCCTTGCCTGACGTGCGTTGCTGCGCGCTGCTGCAGGACGGGAGTCGTCCGGCGAGGTACTATCGGTGCTATCGGTACTACCACTCCGTCGGCCACTAACCCAGCAGCAGCTTATCCCGGTGCCCGAGGTGGAAGCTCGATGCAATGGGCAATGGGCCGCGTCTCGCCTGGCCGCCTCTGCCGCAGCTCGTCTCCGCCGCAATCAATTCAATTCAATTGCTGGCCGGGTTGTCTGAGAGTGTCTGTCTGCCTGCCGCCAGTCAGTGCAGCACAGTACTCTAAAAAGGTGCCGCAGCGGTAGGTAGCCCCGAGTACCTACCGACCGACTCGTGCTGTACGAGTACTGGCACCCGGCGCACCGCGCTGCAACGCAACTTTACTTGGTACCGTAGGTACCGCCAATACAGTACCTACCGTGTCCACACGGCAGAAACCTGGCAGGGACAAAAAAAGGTGGCGCGCATGCCGCACTTGGAAACGTGAGAAAGAGGTGTGTGTGCCATGGAACGGCCGCCGCCAGGCCTGGTGGTGGGGACGCCGCAATCAATGGTGGTGCCCCCTGCGCCTCTGGCTGGAGCCGCTGCCGTCGCAGGCCAGGCCAGCCCAGGCCACGACAGGTTTCTTCGCAGACGAAAGCGGAGCTCGCTCGTCGTCTTTCTCCCTCCTCCTTGCGCGCGTGTTCCCCATATAGTTATCATGACGGCCAGCTTCCTGCTCGGCCCCGTCCTCCTCTCCGTTTTGTGGGATCTGTGATGCCATGCCCAGACCTGGGGTCCTGGAGCAACGCCCGAGCCTGTCTTGACCCACGACGACGACAAGTATAACACAACACACAACACAACACCACACAACACCGCGCCGGCCTCGCCCTCGTCCCCGTCGTCCTCCCGTCGTTGTCGCTGCTGGCACCAACTCATCCAACGGACCGGACCATCGTCGTGTCTCTCTGCCAGTCAGTCCGCGCAACCATACAACCACCCATTGCGCCCTCGCGACCGCCGACAAACAGCCCACCATGTGGCGCCTCGCCCTCCTCGTCGCCCTCGTGTGCGCCGCCGTGGCCGCCGCCGCGACGTCTGTCGATGCCATCACAGCGTCGCCTGCCACATCACTCTCCGTCGCATGGACCAATCCCCCGACCAGGCCCGCGAGCCAAACCTCCAAAGCCGTGTCCGTCGTCGCGCTGTCAGAACCGCTTTCCAATGGAACCAGTAAGCCGCCTCCCGGGACCCGGACCGTCGCCAAGCTCGTTCCCCCATGCTAATTCTTGGCTGCAGCCCACTTCTCGTCCACCGGCGTACCGACTGCCCGACCCAATGCCACGACGTCTCGTTCCGCGCAGGTAACGGGGGGCGCCATCCCGCAACAGATGCAAGCTTCCATGGCCGGCTTGCTGGGGTTCTGCATCATGGGGTTGGTCATGTTATAGACGGAGCTATCGGGATATGAAGTAATGACGCCGTACGACGTGGCGCGGCCCCTGCCCGCCCATCATCCATTAACATAGAACACGCCTCAGGCAGGCCAGGCGTTTAATAGCATAGAGATACCACCAGGCCAGCGGCGCCGTCCAGCTTGGACGAAGCGCCTCGGCCGGCGTTGCCCATGCAGGGCCTTATTAATTTATCAGCCAATTCGAGTTGCGCCATGCAGAACTGCTGCATGCTGCTGCATTGCTGCACTCTTGCCGTTATCGTGACATGTACTTCGTGACAACCGGCAGGACAACACTTGGCACACTCGTACGAGGGTCGGCTTGCGGAGCAAGGAGCGAGCCCCGTTGCGGTACAATATTAACGGTATATTAAGTGATGGGATCAACGCAGATCTTGTCGTCCTTCTCAGCTGTTTTAGGGGAGCAGTGACTGCCAGTGGCTCATCTGCCATGGAGATTGTCGCTCCTGCGGCGACGCGTCCGGCAAAGCCCTTGGTGCCTAAGCGAAGTTGCGCATGTTGCACAAGACAGCTCGTCGATGTCTCACCAGCGGCTGATTGCATGCTGTTTGCAGAGCGAGCCGCGGGTCGGATATGTCGTCCTGAGACACGCACCGCCTTCGAACGCCGCTGTCTCAGGCTTGGGAGCACCCGCGTGCCTCGACAGTTGTGATTACCCCGGCATCTGTCGTCGCCGCGGTCTGTGCGGCATCATCGTACTTGGTAGATGCGCAATAGCGTCAACAATATTGGACGGCCCAGTCCTTGAGCGTATGGCGACATATCAGACGCCCTTTGCCCTGAAGCTGCCAGCATCGCAGGAAGCTTTGTGATGCCGTGGCAAACGCACGACGGCTTCCTGCAAACAAACTGCATGTGGTGCTCGTATCGGAACGTGTGGGATGGTCGGCATTCCCGTCGCCTTATTTAGATGTCGTGCTGGCCTTGTGGTATTTACACCGCGACGGGGACCTGGCCCCCAGGGTTGCTCGAGGGCGGCGGCTTGGGCAGATCATCCTAGACGAATCAGCGAGTGTGACTCTCGATTGTAAGGCTGGTCAACTCACGAGGTCAAAGATGACCCGAATCATCAGACTGCAGCTGGGGCAGACGGCAATGTCCTGCTCATCGCGGAGATCGTCCAGGGCAATCTGGAAGCGGTCGCCGCAAGGACACGGGTAGTGGTAGAGTTGCTGCGCCTCGTCAAAGGTCATGTCCTCGATTTCGATTTCATCGTATATGGAGAGATTCTCGTCGTCCGACATGTTGAACGGCCTTGGACAGGGTCTCGGTCGAGGCTTAGATGGTTGAGGAAAGTGGTTGTCGATGGTGAGTCGACATGAACAAGGCCTTGCCCCGCGGCCCAGAAGGGACCAAGAGAAAAATTTACCCCACAGATGTGGCTCGTGACTGGTGGCTGGTGAGGCGGTCTTGGCAGTGTACGAGTAGCGTGGTCCACTGTAGTGCAGTGCATTTCCCCAGCTTGCGCTTGGCCTTGGCCAGGCCCGCAGCGGCAATCACATGCCCGAATGCTAGCGGCAGGTGCTGCTGTGGCCGTGCCTGCCTGTCACTGGCCAGAACTGGGGGAATCGCACTTTGGCCGAGGGAGCGCAGCCGAGCCAGCCATCCTGGGGAAGGCACGAGACGGTCGACGACGAACTGCCTGCCTTCTCCAACCTGCCATCTTGGAGATGCCATCTTCTCACGCTTCGTCGACCATCACCTAAATCTGCGTGACGGAGCACTCAGCACATGTTTCTTGCGCTGGGATCGACACCGACGAGACCGCATAGCCCGTTTCCGACCGCCGCCACCGACCGATGCGCCGCGGCTCGTGATAGCTGACCTCCCCTCCGTCACCCTCGCCCTCTCCCCCCGTCCGTCGGCCACCCATGGCAGGGCAATCCAAGTTTGGCCTGCCCGGCGATCGCACGGTCCGCAGCATCGTGTCCGACCTCACCCGGCTATATCTCTCCAACCGCTCGCGCATCTCCCGCGCCGTCTGGATCACCCTCTTCGTCGCCCTCGTCAACCGCGTGCGCCATGCCATCTCGGAGCAAAAGGCAGCCTCCGCGCGCGAGGCCGCTCAGCGCGCCGCCCGCCGCGGCACCGTCTCCGCCACCGACGGAGGCGAGGCGCCCAAGAAGAAGGTTGCCCTGAACCGCGACTTCTTTCGCTCGCTCCTGCGCCTGCTGCGCATCGTCATACCTGGCTGGCGCAGTTCCGAAACGCGCATGCTCATCAGCCACAGCTTCTTCCTCGTCCTGCGGACCCTCATCAGCCTGCGTGTTGCTGAGATGGATGGCGCCATAGTCAAGGCCCTCGTCAAGGGAAATGGCAAGGAGTTTCTCACTAGAATCGTTTGGTGGATGCTTATCGCCGTGCCTGCAACCTTTACCAACTCTATGGTGTGCACCGTCATTGCTGGTTATTTGAGTGCAAATTGCTGACATCCTGTAGCTGTCATACCATCAAGCGGAATTGTCCCTCAAGTACCGCACGAGACTGACGCAGTTCATCCACGACAAGTACTTGTCGCAACTGACCTTTTACGGCATCTCAGCGCTGGACGACCGAATAAAGAACCCCGACCAGCTGATCGCGGTGGATGTATCCAAGTTCTCCAACAGTCTGGCCGAGTTATACAGCAACCTGGCCAAGCCGCTGCTTGACATGGTTTGTTCTTCGCTCCTGCGCTGTGGGCGTCTGCTGACTCTCCGTAGACCATATACACCTACTCCTTGTCCAAGAGTGTTGGTGGTGAGGGCGTCGTCTTCATGTCACTGCTGGTCCAGCTCTCTGCCAACGTCATGCGCGTCTTGACGCCGCCGTTCGGCAAATATGTCGCTGACGAAGCCCGCCTCGAGGGCGAGTTTCGATTCCAGCACTCTCGCCTCATCGATTACAGCGAGGAGGTGGCGCTGTACGCCGGCCACAAGGCCGAGAAAGACACCCTCGACAAGGGCTATTTCACTCTCATCAAGCACGTCAATTACATCCTTCGACAGCGCTTCTACCACGGCTTCATGGAGGACTTTGTCATCAAGTATTTCTGGGGCGCCCTGGGCCTTGTGCTCTGCAGCGTGCCCGTCTTCGTTAAGATTCCTGGGCAGGCCGTGATGAACATGGGCGACAGGACCGAGTCGTTCGTCACCAACAGACGGATGCTTCTCTCCGCGTCTGACGCCTTTGGAAGGATCATGTTTTCCTATAGGGAAATCATGGAGCTGGCTGGCTACACCTCACGAGTCGCCTCGTTGCTGGACGTCATGGACGACATCCAGTCGGGCCACTTTGAGAAGAAGCTGGTGTCTTCTTCGGGGATAGAGGGCAATGAGGCCGTGCTGCAAGGCCGTGGCACAGTCCATGAGAGCAAGGACATTACGTTCATTGACGTGTAAGTGCGCAAGAGTCTGGAAGATGAGACGTGTAGGCTAACGAGTGCAACCAGGCCCATTGTCTCGCCTAACGGAGACGTTCTCGTCAAGGCCCTCTCCTTTTCTCTCAAGAATGGCGACCACCTTCTCGTCGTCGGTCCCAACGGCTGCGGCAAATCGTCATTGTTCCGTATCCTGGGTGGTCTGTGGCCCGTCTACGGCGGGACAGTCTACAAGCCACCCTTCAGCGCCATCTTCTACATTCCCCAGCGACCCTACCTTTCCCGCGGCTCTCTCCGCCAGCAAGTTATATACCCAGACTCCCTGCGTCAAATGCGTGCCCGAGGTGTTACCGACGCAGACCTCTTCTCCATCCTGAAGATCCTTGGCCTTGAGCACCTGGTCGAGCTGTACGACGAAGGCTGGGATGCCGAGGCTGAGTGGCGCGACGTTCTTTCTGGCGGCCTGCAACAGCGCGTCGCCATGGCGCGCCTGTTCTACCACCGCCCGCAGTACGCCATCCTCGACGAGTGCACCAGCAGCGTCACCCTCGAGACGGAAAAGGTCATGTACGACAACGCCAAGGCGCTGGGCATCACGCTCATGACAGTCAGCCACCGCCGCAGCCTGTGGAAGTACCACACGCACATTCTGCAGTTCGACGGGCAAGGCAACTACATCTTCACCAAGCTCGACGCCGACAAGCGGTTGAAGCTCGAGGACGAGAAGGAGGAGCTCGAGGTGAAGCTGCGCCAGGTGCCAGAGCTAGAGCGGAGGATGGAGGAGCTGAAGTCGCTATCATAAAGCGGAACGCGTATCACAGAACGAGTCCCAAGCGACTTGTTCATGGCTGCTGGCCTCGGGGTTTCTTGGATACACCGGAAGAGATGCTGCGTGCACCCGCGCTGTACATTACAGGGGATGATACATAATAGCTGACGAGATATGTCAGGTATAGAAACCTGCATCCGCAATGTTGACAATGACCAAAGCCGTTCAGAGAAATACCAACTCAAGATTTGGAGCTAGCCCTTGGGCAAGTGTTGGCTTGCGAACGCGGGAGGAGTCGTTTCTTTTCCATGTCTGATTGGATTTCTCGAAGCTCTTCGCAATCACCGTCGTCAGTGACAAATCCGGCGAGGATGGATTGAGTCTTGAGGCATCGGGCGCTGGCTTGGTTCCGCGGTAATTAGTGTGCGTGTAAGTGAAAGTCACGTCACCCATCCAAAGTCACCGGGGCCACACCAAAGCAAAATGGACAAACGGCTTTGGCTGTTACAACCTCCGCCGTAGGGCGACTGAGATGTGACGGAACCCACAATCATTGCTGTTCCAGAGACGCAGAGGGCTCGGTGTGGCGTTGCGCTGTGCTGATGGCAGTGATTGAGGGCCAGGCCATCGCTTGTGGCGGAGTCGGGTCAGGCGCCCGGTCAGGCAGTTCGCCCTGGCGGCAGGTGCCGCGAACCCCACAGGCGGTTCTTGCCGTATTTATCCATCCGGCAAATGAAGTTGATATACGTTGTAAGGTATCATCAGCTTTGCCTCAATCACTCTCTCACAAGCCGTTGCCAACCTCGTTTAACTGCCTTTCCATGCGGCCGCGAGCCTCATAGACGACTTCTGGTTGGAACTTGGCGCTGCAACAAAGGCTGTAGGTCATTGCACTGGCTGAATCCAACAATCCGCGACCCCACGGTATGGTCGTCGAGGAACGCGACAGCATTTTGGTGAGCTGATCGATATGTTGTCTGTGGAGCAGTTCCGATTGCAACATGAAGCAGCATGGTTTCTGGTCATTCAGATACAGGTCTGAAGACTTAAGACCCTCCGCTCCGCCCCGAAAGACGATCGCGAACGGCGACGTTGGCCGAGGCAGACTGGCGCAGCCGCAGCTGATGCCACCGGCCCCTCTGCTGCCTGCCTCCGCCACCACCCCCGGAGGACTCCAACATTCTGGTCGCCCGGCGCGTGCAGACGCCCGCCGGGCAACGCGACCTGTGAGGCCTGGTGACAGCTCCGGGTTCATTCCGCCTGATGCGCCTGGGGACCTCAGCACGGCCGCCGCCCGAGTCGCACACTACGTTGGGAACCTGCCAGGCAGAATGGCGCTTCGCCGTAGCTCAACGCACCTCTATGTCTCGAAACAATGTCCGCCGATTTAATTCTCCGGCCGCGCAGCAAGATGCGTCGTTTGGGCAAGCCCCCGTCGGAGTGATCAAGCATCCTCGTTAGGCCGGCGTGTAAGTCAGCCAGCCCAGCAAAGCGCGGCCCGCATCCCCATCGACACGGCGCACCACCATCGGCAGTCATGCTCATCCGAACAGACATTGAGCCTGGCAGGCTCCTCATGAGCGAGCAAAGGATAATAGTCGGCATCGACTTCGGCACCACGTACTCGGGCGTCGCCTGGGCGGAGACCCAGCGGCCCGACAGGCGGGTCGCCGTCAACTCGTGGCCCATCAGCACGTCTGCCCGCGAGGGCGAGTCGTCGGACAAGGTGCCCACGAAGCTCAGATATACGAAATGCGGCGACGTGCAATGGGGCTTTGCGATCCCCGACACGGCGCCGCAGGACGAAGTGATTGAGTGGTTCAAGCTGTGCGCACTTACGTGTCCCCGCTCGATGAGAAGCTGCATACTGACGTCCGAGAAAGGAACTTGGATCCTTCGTTGGAGCAGGTCAGCCAAGATGCTGCGACTGGTATGGGACGTGGGAGCCTCGGCGCAGACAGAATCGTCACCGACTACATGTCTGCCCTGAACGAGCATCTCATATACACCCTCCGTCAAAAGCTCGGAGACGCCGTGGCCAGGAACATGCCGCTAGAGTTCGTCGTTACTGTGCCGGCCATATGGAGCGACCTGGCCAAAGACAGGACAAGAAAAGCGTGTCAGAGGGCATTTGGTCTCTCAGCGTCCCAGTGTCCAGTCCATCTAGTGTCTGAGCCAGAAGCTGCTGCCATATACGCTCTGCATGGCCTCGACCACCACGGCTTACAAGTCGACGACACCATGGTCGTTGTCGACGCCGGCGGCGGCACGGTGGACTTGATATCGTACACCATCACGGGGCTGAAGCCCATCCTGCAGGTCGAGGAGGCGGCGCCAGGGACCGGTGCCCTTTGCGGCTCGACCTTTCTCAACATGCGCTTCGCCAAGTTTCTCAAGGCCAAGTTGGGCAACGAAGAGGGGTTTGACGACGAGGTCCTTGCCGAAGCACTGGAGGCTTTTGAGAAAAAGGTCAAGCGGCAATACACGCTCGGCGCTGACCCGGACGACTCGTTCGTCATCCCGGTGGGCGGCCTGGCCAACAACAAGGCCCTCGGCATCGCGCGCGGGCGTTACGCGCTGAAAGGCTCCGACCTCAACACCATCTTTGAGCCGGTCGTTTTACAGGTCATCAAGCTGATCGAGGACCAAATATCCGCCAGCGGGGCGCCGGTCAAAGCCATCCTGCTCGTGGGCGGCTTCGGCGCCTCGCAGTACCTCAAGGAGCGCATCCGTGCTGCCGTCGACCGCCGTATCCAGATACTGCAACCGCCAAACGCCTGGCAGGCGGTGGTGCAGGGCGCCGTCATGAAGGGCCTCGCCAACAGCGCGCCCGAGCAGCTCACCCTGGTGCAAGTCCAGAACCGCAAGGCGACGAAGCACTACGGCACCGAGTGGAGGACAAAGTACGACCCGAAGCTGCATTCACATCTGAAGAATAGACGGCATTGGTGTGGCCTCGATGGGTGCTACAAGGTGTATGGGATGGAGTGGTTTATCCAACGGGTACGTCTTACACAGCCTATTTGATGCCCGTGTGTCACGATCCCATATCTGACGATATGCAGGGCGACCGAGTCTCCGAAAACGAACCCTTCTTCACATCCTTCGTCTGGACCGGCCTAGTCAGCCAAGGGCGCATCCAAAGGATCAAGATGGACATCTACTGCGACCAAACGCAGAGGGACGCACCCGTCGCGCGGGACGACAACGTCCAGCTCCTCTCCCGCGTCGAGGCCGACGTCAGCCACATCCCCGAGCACCAGCTCGCCCGCCGCCTGGGCCGCGACGGGCAGTGGAACTACGAACTCAGGTGCAGGATCGAGGCCGTCTACCTGTCGGCGTCGACGAGGTACACGCTCTTGTACAACAGTAAGACTTTCTTTTCTTTTCTCGCTGTTCACCCTGCAGGTGGCCCTGTCATCTGCCCCTAGATATATGTTGTGCTGACTTGACTTGCCGCGTATAGACAAGCGGTATGATACCGTCACTTGCGAATATGTCTAGACGTACGTACCACCAAGTAGCGCTAGAGTAGTTGCGCGGTTGGTTCATACGATCAGGTTATCGCAAGATTATGTGAGGGGCAACGGTAAACAAGAGGGGGGCCTACTTCTTCGTACAGACCGGACACTGGTCTATTATCTAGCTCTGGCTTCATATCACACCTTGCGAGGCTTATTATTCGAATGCTAATTCACACACCCTTTCTCGTCCCTCGTCGACGCTACACATCTGACCTCACATCATCCCCAATCCCCGACCCTGAATATCAAACACCACCAAGATATTCAGAAAAAAAAGAAAGCCGACGTGGGCGTGAAATTGGTATGGTATGACCTGTGTGCAGATTTCCCCTTCCCCCCCCCCCCCCTCCCCCCCTCGTCATGCCTCTCTCTTCCATCCCACCACCTCTCCCTAGCGACGACGACGGCATCATCCAGAACACCCCAAAGCCAAACCAAAACCAGCACCAACCAAAATCCTCCATTCCATCCATCCTTCCGTCTCTGTTCGTCCGCAGCCGTACGTACCATGAATTAGCGACGCGCAAAGCGCAAAAAGAAAGAGAGAGTGCCAAAAAAAAAAAAAAAAAAGGCAAGGAAGCCGCCGCTGAAAAGAAGGTATCGAAAACACACGTCCTCCGAAAGTGTCAAGGTACAGCAGTGAATAAAGTACGTGATGAAGAACCACCCCGATCAACAAGCCGCTCCCATGTCTTCTTGTCTTTGGACTTGCTCCACGCCCGCGGCCTCATTATCTTTGTGTGTGTCTTTGCGCTTTTGTACAACGAGAACAAAGTAAAAAAAGTAAAACAAAAAAACGCACGCTTTCTAAGCTGTCAGTGAAGGATGGGTCCCGACAAGACGTGGCTGCTGCGCTCAAGCCCCGAGGCCGAGGCTGAGCTCGTGGCTCGTCAACCCCCCTTCTCACTCCTCGTCGACGCTCCTCATCGCCGAGCCCGTCTTGCTGCTCTTCTTGCCCAGCTTGAGCATGCTGAACCGCTTCCTCACGCTGCCCCGCTTGACTATCCCGAGGCCCTCCGCCTCGAACTCCTTGTCGGACCGGACGGAGCTCCTGTCCATGCTCTGCCTGCTCACGGAGCTGCTCCGCCGGCTTTGCGCCGACGTCTCCACCGGCGTCTCCTCAACCGACTGCGTGCGGAAGAGACTCTGCCGTCGGGCCGTGCCCTTGCTCGCGCTCCGGCTGTGCTCGATCTTGGTCTCCGTGTCGCCGCCGCCGCCGTTCACCTGTGCTTCCTCCTGGGCTCGCTCGGGCTCTTGCTTGCGGCCGCCCAGGAGGCTGAGCCTCGCGCTCCTATGCCGTAGCGCAACCTGATGGACGACGGACACCTCGTCTCCGCGGTCCCCATTCAGGGGGCTGGCAATGTTGGGCCACTGCGGGCTATGCCGCCCGTTGGAGGACAGGGATTGCCGGAACGCCGTCGAGGGAGTCGACACGGTCTCTTGAGGCGGCGATGGCGGCGGGGGCGCAAACGTGGCGATTTCCGCCTCGTACGTCTTCTCAAAGTCTTGGAATGGTTAGCCAAATCCTTGTCGCCTGTGTACTCTCAACTCACATCTTTGAAGCTCCTCGTGCCTGTGCGAGAGGACTTCATTGTTGCTGTGAGCAAACATGGCCAGGCACCTCTTGATCATGATGGCGTGGTCTACGAGAGCCATCTTTATGGCTGCATCTCTTGGCTCGAGCCCGACCTCTCCTCCATGACCACTTTCCTCACTGCCGGCCTGGGATTCTGGAAGAAGGTTGCGATAGCAGACCACGCTATACTCCGACGATGGGTCGACGGATATTGATATAGCGTCTACCAGCAGTTGAGCGATGGCTGTGTCACCTTGGCCTATACGTCGTTCAAGAGTCGTCATTTCCTGGGTCTTGCGGACGATCCGCTCCAGTGCAGTATCGTGGGCGCCAAGCAGGATCTCCTGAGCGTCGACAATCTCACTCCGCCGTAGCAGGGTAGGGAAGGGTTCGGCCGTTGTGAACACCACCTTCTCCGCGTGGTGTTCGTGAACGGGCCCAGACGTGCTGCGCTTCGTGGTATATGAAAAGCACTGAGGGTGAGACGATAGCAAGAAGTCTCGGACTGCCTGTGGCACCCTTGCTCGCTGGAAGACCGGATGAGTCAGGTCGCGATGAGGTGTGATGGCGGAGACCACCAGGAACTGGCCTTCCACATCATCGACATCTCCATTGGTGACGATCTGCGCCGCCGGGTATTGCTCTTGCATGCGGTCGGTGAATGCGGATGCTCGCTCCGCCGGCGAGCCCTCGTAAACGAACTCCTTGTCCCGAATGCCGGAAGGGAAACCAAGGCCCTTGTACACGACCTTGAAATACCGCGGGACGAGCTTCTCGCTCTTCGAGATCTTTTCGTAGATGGTTGCAATGGCTCGCTCCGTTCTTGCCAGCTTGGCAAAGTCAAACACATTGGACTCGTACTGCACCTGGAGCTCCTTGTACGCCGTCAACGCGTTGCTCCACGACTCAGCCTCCTCGAAGTGCTTAATCATGTCAAAGTAAATCTTTTCCTTGCGCTCAAACATGGACTGCGCCGGGAACTCGGGGTCGGCAAGCACGGTTGTCTGCTTCGTGGGGTCCCATTCGTAGAGGTCTGCGTGCAGGCGCAGCGCCAAACCCGCCTCGGCATGGTTCCCTGACTCTGCCTGGAAACTTGCCAGCTGGTGGACGTAGCGCACAAAGATTTCTTCCTTCTGCATGTCCCGCAGGAACTCCATCAGTCGAAGCCGGTTGATGATGTTTGACGCCTCGTTGCTGCCGTCGCCGCTGTGCACCGCAACGAGCAGGTCGAGAAACTCGTCCAGTGTGGCAACAAGATCTTGAACGGCGACGTAGAGTGGCTCGCCAGGAATCTTGGACAGGGGCTCGAATCGCTCAATAAGCTCGCCGACGAACAGCTTCTGCAGGATACTCTCCGTCAGGGGCTTCGACTTGAAGTAATGGTCCAAGCAGTCTATCATCTCCGTCTGGATGACCGTCAAGTCCTCGCTGAGGGTCCATTCGCTGACGATCATGGTCTGCAGGACCTCGACTGCCATCCTGCGAAGACCTTCGTGGACGCTCAGACAGAGCTCGACGATGGGGCCCACCAAGGTAGGGACGTATTGAACCTGGTATCCGCCTATCTTGGACAAGCCATAACGGGCGCGCTCGTCGGTCGTCGTCTCCCAGCCGATGGCTTCCCACGTCTTGCGCAGGAGGTCTGCCCCATGCTCCCTCACGTCGCCAGCAATTTTCCACACGGCTCGGCGCTTTTGTTCTGCAAAAGTCTCGAGGGCGAGGGATGAGCTTCCGACGAGCTTCAAAAGCGTGGTGACGAAGAGCTTCCAGAGCTCCGTGTTAAAGGTCTCGGCGTCGTCAGGGTCGGGGAGGAAGGACTCCAGCAAGATTCCGGCCAGGTACTGCAGGGTGGACATGGTTGATGTGTGGTGGTAGATGTGCACGCTCAGCCACCCTGCTGGGAATGCCTCGCCCGAGAGAATGCTCTTGTGAACGCGCAGGAGATTCTCGAGGATGATGGCAAGGTCTCCTTCCGCCAACTCCAGCTGCATACCCGCCGATGAGTTTGACACGGCAGAGAGCACTGCCGACAGTTCCGCCAACGCCTCGTCGTACGCGACTTGGTCCTGAACAGCTTTTGATGGGAAGGGGTATGATGCAGGGAATAGGAGAGACAGCCGATCCCGTGACTTCTGTGGAGATGCTAGAATCGCCAGGTACGAGTCGATGATCCTAGGCAGATGGTCCGGAATCTCGGGGCCCAAGTACTCAACCTGGCTGGCGATGATGGAACAGCACAAGCGGACTTGGTCTCTCCATTGGTCGTTTACAACCTCGGGGTGGCCCCAATGCGGCGAGATCCACCTGACAGTATTCGCTCCGAGAGCCGCCTTTTGATCCGGGTGGGCGAACAGATCAAGTTTGGAGTAGTTGATGATGAGAAGCAGCTTGTACAGGACCAGTTTGCCCTTGACATGCGTGCAGGAGTCCATGAAGTCTATGGCGATGTGAAGAATCTCCTCGGTGCTCAGGAGGCCGCTGAGTTCCGGGAGCCAAGTGTGGAAGTGCTGGACGGCCAGTGTCTGGCTTCCGACCAGCGCCGGGGCAGTGTTGCGCATCATTGCGTCCAGTGCCTTAAAAATGACTCGCAATTGTCGCGTGAAGCCCTGCGGAGAGGACTTGATTCCTATGACCGCCTCCTTGGCCTTCATCTGATGCCGGGCGTGTGTGATGAATTTCAAGATGTGCCGCACGACTTTAAACGTGGCTCTCAGCTTGCGAGCAATCTCGGGTTCGGTGGGGTTCTCCAGCAGGCGTGTGAAGGATCGCACCAAGCTTGTGGTGGCAAAGGGATAATTGAACTGGTTCTCAGCGTACGTGTCGACCAGGGGTCCGAGGTTGAATCTCCTGTCGTGCACGATGCCCAGCACTCGGACCAAGGCCGTGAACACAAGGTCCTCAAACTCGTCGTTGCCGGAGTTCTCCACAAGCATGCCAAACAGCCCATCCAGGACATCGTTCAGTAGCTTGACGACCTCGATTTCTGGAACAAAGATAAGTTGTCTCAGGGTGGCGGATAGTTCGTCCTGAGAAAGGTCTTTCCATTTGAGAATGCCCAGAATTACGCGGTCTTGCGAGAACCTTGTGCTGCACAGGAACGTGTCGACGAGCAACACGGCCAGAGGCCCGGTCACCTCGGCGGAGTGCTCGTCTCTGCCCCGCGGCGCCCATGGCAGCGACAGGTAGCCGCCTCTGCCGGTCGGCCCAGCTTCCGCTGTCGACGTGTGCTCGTCCACTTTGTAGAGAAGTAGCCCGTGCTGGCCGTCTCGTATGAAGGCTTGCTGGTCCCATAGCGGCATATGTGCCACGGCAAAGGGCGGGTTGGGGATGTCGGCCATAAACATGACGACGTGAGCTGTCGATACGTCGCTGGGCGACAGGGAGAGCCGAAGTGTCTGCTTCCAGGACTCGCCTCTTTCGGCAGCCGCCGACTTGAACGTAGTGACAGGCTGCTTGTTCGACGCTGTGTGGATGCAGTGTTCGAAACGCTGGCCGGCTGGGCTTCGGACCTCGAGCGTGATCTGGAGATTCGTACCCTGCAAGCCCGGTGGCATGCTGGTTGCGCTACCGCCAAACCTTGAGAGCAGATTCTGCCGAGCCAAGGCCGCTGTGTTGATCGTCAGGTAAATATCAGACCTGGGCTTCGTCGGAGCGGCAGAGAAGCCGATCCTGTTGGTGCTAGACACCCCTGAAAGCAGGGTCGGTGTGGCCTTGATTAAGGCGTCGGCGTCCGGATGGTTAAACATTTGCAAGCCGACCTGAAGCCGCTCTCCTCTTCGTGATTTTTCGAGAAATCCGCTAGGTCTGTCCAGCAGTTCACGAATCAGCTGATCCCCCTCTTCCTTTTGTTCCTTTTCATGTCCAGGCCGGGCGCTCGGCGCCCAAATGCCGATGAGCTGCTCAATCTCATCGTCGTGTTTCAGCAAATCGTTGAGCTTCAACACGCCTACTCCGACGGTGCGCTGGGCCGTGTACGCGGGTTCTGTGAACGCAACAGCTCTCGACCCGGCAGTGCTCGGCGGCGCATAGCCATCTCTGCTCTCCGCCGTGGTAGCTCGGTACGAGCTTCCCTGCCGTTCCGAGACTGAGTCCGTTCTAGACACGCCGTTGCCTCTCGAGAAGGTTGGCCGGCCACTCTTGCTGCCCCACATCAAGCTCCTCCTTGAGGACTTTGCCGTGGCCGGGGCAGCTTTCGAGCTCTCTCCTGGGCGGCTGAACTCGCCGCCAGTGCCTGTCCGAGAAATCGGCTGAGGTGAGAATACTCGCTGGAGCGCCAATACTTTGACGACAAGGTAGAGCTCAGACTCCGCCGCTGGTGCGTCGCCAATGTCCTGAGCAGAGAGATCGGTGAAGAGCGTCCGTGTTGATGAGCCCAGAGTGAGCCCTTCTATCGCGCCGCCCGCGGGTATGTCGACGGAGAAGCATTCCGACAATATCGACATGCTGCCGTGGCGGGGTTTACTGGCAAGATACAGGACCAGCGTAGTTTCTTCGTTGGAGGATCCTGCGAACCCTTTCACGTCCAGCAAGATGTGATGTAGGCTGGACAGTTCGACGGCCGGCTGCGGAGGCTCGTCCAGCAAACTCATTTGCGATTGGAGTCTCGTGACGTCTACCACCGAGTCGTCACCCGTCAGAACTCGGCCGCGAGCGGCAGGGTCCCGAACAATGACCTCTCCGCCGCAAAGCTTGTTTAGCTTGACGAGGTCCCAGACGGTCTGTTCCCGTAGCCGCTCATACTCGTGTGTGGTGAGAACGTTGTAGAGGAATTGCTGGCGGTGAAGGTTGAGGCGTGCAATGAGCTGGGACAATTGGTCCAACTCGGCGTACTTGCGCGACAGGAGAAGCTCGTGGAGGTACTTGGAGTGCCATTCGCGCAAACACGAGGCGATCTCGTCGATCAATGGCTCGGCAGCCGAAGTTGGTGTCTCGTCACCGATTTTGAGCATTGGGACAGGGGCCGCGGGTCGAGGCGCATTGGGATCCCTCTTGACGGGCACAGACAGATTGCCGAGGGTCCCATTGGGGAGCTCGCTCAACGGCCTCCTCCTGCCGCTGCTGCGGAGGCTCGTCGTCTTCTCGCGGTGAGTCCGCTTCGTGGGCGAATGCGCGCTGGTGAAGCCGCTCTTGGCGGAATCGCTCGCGGGACGGTTCTCGGCCGAGCCCGTGGTGTCGCTGATGGGCTCCTCGCCCCTCTCGTCTTCGTACTCGTCGTCGACGGTGTCGTCGCGGTCGTCCGCGCCGCCCAGCATCTCCCGGACCTCGACACAGCTGCGGGGGAAGATGCCGCTGAAGACTCGAGCCTCCAGCGTCTGGCCCTTGACCGACGTCAGGCCAGCCAGCAGGCTGGGGGGCGCAACCAGATAGCCCCTCAGCCAGGCGCCGTCGGGCGTCTCCTCAATGATGTAGAGCTCATCGCCAATCTCGAGCGGCAGGTCGGCCGGGCTCTCGGCGGCGAAGGGGTACGTCGCAACGGCGAAGGCGATCCGGGGAAGCGGCTGCCAGGGCATCTGGACTCTGCGCGAGCGCCCGCGGGCGTCCGAGGGAGGAGGGAAGGCGTACGGGCTACTGGCAGGTCGGCAGGCGCGTCGCGACGGTTGAGCAAACCAGGGCCTTGTCGCGGGCCGCGGCAGGTCGTCACAGGCTCACAGCTCACAGCTCGCGAGGGGGTGAAGCGCGGCGGGGTCGAGGTTGCGGAAGCATCGAGAGGCGGAGCGCGGCGTCCGGTCTTTGCAAGGAGCACCCAAGGTGGTATCGAGCTTTGCTGCACGGGGGACGAGGGTCGGCATGAGGCTCCAGGGACTGCCGAGCATGACCACACTGGAAGAATCGAGAGATTGAACTCACAAAGTGGGTGCCCACTCTCGAATATTGGCCGCGCCCAGGGTCCCCCGGTGCGCGGAGCCCCTGAATTGGAGGTTTGATGGACGGGCACTGTGCAGCAAACGCCGGGGGGGAGCTTTGGCGAGGGCTAGCAGGGTTCCCATTGCGCGCACCAATGCTGCTGGACCGGTGCTCCAGGCGAGCTTGCGGACGGTAACTATCGATAAGACGATTTCCCCCGCAACCCTCCAATGCCACGCATCACCCCATGGCAAAAGAAAGCACGAGGCGCACCGCAAGAACGACTACTTCGTTACGTGGCCCAGCGGAGAGGTTCTGAACCAGTGCTGCTAGCGAACTGGAGAGCGCTGCCCCAGGCCGGCTGCAAGATTGGACGAAGGGCCCTGACTGAGACGATTGCCGACTTCAATATCCCCCCGGAGCGGTCACCGCCGAGGACCAACGCACGGGCACACTAGCGGGCGCCCGGGTGGCGCCTCGCTCAGTGGAGAGAACCTTTAGTGGTACCTGAGCGCTGCGGTCCCTCCCAGGTTCCCTTTTGGCGCAAGGTGTCGGTGCTCCCCAGTGCCCTGGGCACCGGGAACCCCGTGCGCGGCCGGTTGAAGGTTCCGCGTTCCTGTTCCATCCCGTCAGAGCACGACACACCTCACTTGGGTTGGGGGCCGTCAATCCGTGCGCCCCCCTTGCCGTCCTCTGTCGCGGCAGCAACCCCCTTGAGCTGGAACAGGCCGACGACTCCATCCTGAGGTGCCAAACCGACGGGACGGATGCCCGGCGGCGGGATGCCACGATGCGGTTTCGCCCGCGTCAGGCAACCCCTGCACGCGCGTTTGGCATCGCATACATGGGCGATGGGACCCGTACGGTAACAGATACCTGACCCTGGCCAGAAGCCCACCTCAACCCATTGGGGCTCCTTGCCCCCAGTCCCCCAGGCTGGACAGCAGGAGAGCAACAACTGGCGCGACGTGGACAATGTCCGCTCTGGCCACCACCAATAAAAGGAGCGCATCGCCACGTGCCATTGTGAACCAGCGGTGCGTCGTATGACAGCACGCTGATCGTCTTTTGGGAAACAGCTGCTTTTAATCAGTGGCCGAGACATGGCAGCCCGACCGAAGGAGGCTAGACTACGGACGACCGACCTCACAGCGGCAGCATGCGGGAACCTACCAGCCGCAGCCGGAGCCGTTCTGGAGCTGTGCAGTGAGCCCGCCTGCGAACCGCCCAAGTACAGGCTACCAACAAGTGCTACTTCGTATACCAAAGTTGGAAGACGACTTCTTACCGTTGCATGGCAATACCTATCCAGGTAATTATGTGTTATGTCGGCCACACCGCCGCCATGGCTCAGAGATCCCGGAAAACTCACCCGGTCATCGGCCGCCTTGCTCACAAGTCATGATCATCGCCTGCCAATTTTATGCGCAGTCAGGTACGGCGATTGCAGCCCAGCACCAGCACACGCCGCCTTGTGCCACGCGCCACCTCGGGAGCCCCAAAATGTCAAATTTGCAAAAAACGTGTGGTCATATTTTTCGTCGTTGCTTTTTTGCGCCGGGCCATGTTCGCATTGCACTGTGCTGCCAACCGCAACTCCTCGCCCGCATCACCGGACGGTGGAAGAACCGTGAAGGGGGCATGCGACGGCATGCACACACACCGTTCATCCCGTCATGTCGTGATGCCGGTGGCGGCGGAACACTGCAGCGTGCCACGAGTGCATCGCCCTCCGTGAACCGCGGGGCACGGGGCTGGACCTGCGTAAAATGTACGTACTGGTAGTCCGCGCCGCGTGTACGTCCGAAGCAGAATCCCGGTGTCACCGCCACCGCCCCTGGCAGCCGTTGACATCGGCTCAGCGCCGGCCCCGCCCTTCGCCGTTTCCACCGACCTCAATCGCCCGCGCCGCCTGGCCGCAGCTGGTCGACGGGCGTCGGTGGGCCCCCATCCGGTCACAGCAAAGATGAGCGCGCTTCTCCGCATCAGGCGGCGCCTCGAGGGAGGGAGGACGAGGAGGGGGCGAGGACCTCGTCGCCGCATCGCGTGTCCCACGGCCTTTTTGAGTTGTGCACACTTACTTCTCCTCCGCAGCAAATTGGCCACAAGCGCCTTCGTCGACGGCGAGTGAGATTGATGCCTCGAGCACCCCGTGGCTGCACGCTGGCGTCAGCCCTGGACCTCTCTTGCCCCTTCTCACGAAGTCACTCCACACCCAGTCATAGTACCTAATTGTGCGCCTGATTTCCTCTATCCACTCCTTCACTTCCATCTTTCGCGATAGCCCGCCCCTCCAGTCGGCAAACTCGCAAGCTCCAACGAAGCCCGCAAAGAACCGTCGACGTCCCTTTTTTTTCTTCATACAGACATCAGTACTGCCATCGCGCCTCCCCGCGTCATCTGCTCGTACGAGTACCCCGCCATGGCGACCCCCTTCATCACCCTGCTTGAGCCTAGCAAGCTCGAGGGGTTCCTGGGCGGCATCCGCCACAACGAGCAGCCCGCCACCATCCCCCAGCCGTTCCTGGACGCCATGGAGGTGCGCGAGGGCGTCTTCGTCGACGAGCAAAAGGTGCCCCTCGAGAACGAGTTCGACCCCGACGACCCCCGCTCCTGTCACTGGGTCATCTACGCCAGCATCAACAAGACGGAGGAGGGCGAGGTGCGAGACGAGGACGGCAACGTCCTGCAGCCGCGCAAGAGCTCGACGCGAACGACGCCCATCGGCACGGTTCGTCTTGTCCCCTTTCCGCATGAGCCCCATCCCAAGGCCGGCGGGAACTATTGGAACGGAGTCTTGGTAGGAGACGATGGCCAGGATCAGAGCGACGCCGGCGCCGCACCCGGAAAGACTTTGATAGCCGACAGGCCGACGTCCTTCCACGACGGCAAGGAGCCTTATGTCAAACTCGGACGGCTAGCCGTGATCAAGGAATTCCGCGGGAAGAACCTCGCGGGCCTGCTCGTCAGCACCGTCCTGGCGTGGCTCAAGAGGAACCCGTCGTACTTTGACCCCAGCATCACGGAGCTCGGCCTAGAACAAATGGGTGCCGCCAACGAGACGGACGTCCCTAAGTGGAGCGGCCTCGTCTGCGTGCACGCCCAGGAGCAGGTGATCAGGGCCTGGGAGAAATGGGGATTCCGTGTCGACGAGGGCATGGGAAAGTGGTGGGAGGAGGGCATCCCCCACGTAGGCATGTTCCAGAGGCTAGAGGTGAATCCCGAGGAGGTTCGCATCTAAGATGAAGCAAGCGGTGCTTTTTGCTTGACGACGTTACGACAGATATCCATAGATACGCTTGGTCGCCGTGGCCATCACCATCACCCCCGGCTGGACCGATTGGACGACGGGCAGCAACAATCAAGTTTCCAGGACGCAATGCTCCATTTCTCACAATGTTCGGACGAGTGGAGCAAGTGACGTGAAATTCATTGTGACCCATCTGAGCCCAGCTTTTTATTGAGTCTCTAGAGCCATTTGTGACAATCCATAGCCGCGTTCCCAGACCCGAACGCAAAAATGCAATTCTGAAAGATGCCAGAACCACGCCAAAGCCGCAAACCCTCCAGCCAGACACCGTCCACGTCCCATTTATCGGTTGCTCTTGGCCACACGCTCCAGCTCGTCCTTCTTCTTGATGGCGTACGAGTTGCTGCTGCCCTTGGCGGCGTTGATCAGCTCCTCAGCAAGGCACTCGGCAATCGACTTGACGTTGCGGAAAGAGGCCTCGCGGGCACCGGTGGTGAGCAGGGCGATGGCCTGGTTGACACGGCGCAGGGGGGACACATCGACGGCTTGTCGGCGGACGGTACCGGCAGAGCCGATTCGGGTAGAGTCTTCGCGGGGGCCGCAGTTGACGATGGCATCGACGGCGACCTGGATGGGGTTCTGGTCGGTCATGAGGTGGATCTGCCGCACTTGTTAGAAAAAATTCATCGTCCCTCAGGCGCGCCCATGGCGCATTTTGCCTGCTATCATGTTCTCGGGCGGACGTACGATCTCGAAGGCGTGGGCGACGATGCGGACGGCCATCAGCTTCTTGCCGTTGTTGCGGCCGTGCATCATGAGCGAGTTGGTCAATCGCTCGATGATGGGGCAGTTGGCCTTGCGGAAGCGCTTGACGGCATATCGGCCAGCGGAGTGGGTGACATAGACGGGGTTTCGCAGGGAGATGTAGTCACTGTTTCGCTCAATCCGTCAGCACACGATCGGTCGTCCAGGCGCGGTCGCCAGTTCCCGCGCAGAGAGGTGTTCATTCTCGACGTACGTCAGGGAGATGTCGCGGACCTCGACATCGTAGTCCCACTTGTTGAACAGCTTGATGTTGCCGACCTCCTTGACGACATCCTTGGGGAGGACGTCGGAGAGAACGGAGTTCTCGACCTCGATATCGCCGCCGTCAGACATTTTGGCTGTTGCAGTCGTGCGTTCGATCTGGCGGGAGGGGGACTGCGGGTTAGTATTGCAGGTGGTTCGAGATGGGAGTATTTTCGCGAGGTTGAAGATGGGCCTGGTCGTCGAGGGTTGAAATTTTGGTGGTGTGTGGGTCTGGCGAATCAGACGCCGCAAAAAGTTCGGTACGTACCCAGCGCACTCAAAATGTTAGGGCAAGCCTGCCCTGGGCCCGAAACTCCGCCAGAGGGGCGCCTCTCAAGTGGTAGTCGCTTGCCTCGTCCGCCAAAAAATCCCGTTCCTCCACACTCCCGTCGTCAACGTCAAGCACATCAACAGACAAAATGGTATGCGCGCACCGAACCACGAGACGATGCCCCTCGGCCGCGACGAGAAGATGCTAACCCGCTCGACCTCAACAGGCGCCCGCTGCTGGAGCTAAGAAGCAAAAGAAGAAGTGGTCCAAGGGCAAGGTCAAGGACAAGGCCCAGCACGCCGTCCTCCTCGACAAGACCACCTCGGAGAAGCTCTACAAGGATGTCCAGTCCTACCGCCTCGTCACCGTCGCTGTTCTCGTCGACCGCATGAAGATCAACGGTTCCCTGGCCCGCCAGTGCATCGCCGACCTCGAGGAGAAGGGCATGATCAAGCCGGTGGTCTCGCACAGCAAGATGAAGATCTACAGTATGACCGCGACCGCCCCGAACATGAAGACGACGAAGAACGCTGAGACTAACGCATTTCTGCAGCCCGCGCCGTTGGCGGTGCCTAAGTTGCTCGAGCGGAGGAGGTGGAAGCTGGAGATATGGCGTCTAACTGGCCTCGACGAACAATCGGCCATTGGATCGGAGGATGTTCACGGCACAAAATGCCCGGATGGGACACATTTCATGCTCGGTGTAGCATACATAGGGACCGGAGTTGTCCTTCAGCATTCGGCAACGGAATCAAAAGATCTTCAAACACCATGTGGTCTCGGCATCACTGTGACTGCAGAGTTCATCCGGACTCTCGGAAGTAGGGCATGGTTGACGGAGGCCAGCCTCTGCAAAACGTAGACAATGCCGTTGAACCTGGCACAACTACCGAAGGGCGCATGCCATGCCAATCTATGGCGGGCAAGTCATGCCAGTGAGAGTGCATAACGGTCTGAGGGTATTCAAGTTCCAGATGAGGAAATGGCGCTACGACCGGGGTCTCCATTGGGGCGAGCGACGTCAAAGCCATGAGCTCTCTTTGAGTGGGATAGGAGGACTTCAAATGTGCCGTCAATGCATGAGTGAGACCAGCGGCTTGAACAGGGACGGATGCCCAGTCACATGCGTGGCTATGCCCCTTTCGTCCAGTTGGTCTCGAGGTCCAACGACCTTGAGTGTGGAAGGGCCATATCAAGCGGGAGTGTGAGGCTCGGGTGCCTGGTACAGCATAGGCGAATGCGTTGCGGGATGCTTTGCGGCAGCAGGAGCGACAGCAATTGCTGAAGCTGCATTGGCTTCCGCTGTCTGCAATCATGGCTGGCAACCTCTTACGTTGCTATTCTGAAAGGTGATCGGCCGTAGACACGAGACGGCAGCCAGGGAACCGTACGAGGTACAGTACTGTACATACGCCCTGAAGAGCATTGCCGTCATGAAGCATACGCCAGTCGCGCATTATCGCACGCGAGGTTCGACTTAATGTGGGCGCGTCACAATTCATGAATCAACGATACGAGGCTTCAGTGTCGCTGCATGCCCTTATCTCGGCGCCACCGGGGGCACGAGCCTTGAACGGGGCGAGAGGCTCTTTGGTGCAGCCGAACAATACCCACAGCACGCTTCATGGACGGCAGTACTAACCTGCCTCGTAAGTCCTGTGGGCGGGCTATGCCGCACGACGTAATGTTCCAGAGCCTCCCGCTCCAGACAGCAAAGTCAAATTAGTGGGGGGCAAGGGGGGGTTGTGGCCTCGCTCTCGATACGTTGCAGGTGAACGGGCGCCAGGGAGAGCTTGGCTTTGCCACAGCGCCGCACCAGATAATATGGAGAAGGTGAGGCTCGGTCTGGGCATAGTGCGTGCGGTCCTCGGGTCAAAGGGACCCCTGAGGGAGGCAAAGACAGGACGGCCGGGCGAGAAAGAAAAAGTCGTTTTAGCTCGGCACAGTGGCCTCCCTTGGCTTGGTGGAGCCTGGTTCGGCATGGCGGCCGTGCACAGGCAGCTGATGATGGCCGGGCGGATGCCAGCAGGTCATACCTAGTACTGTGTGCTGAGCGTCTTGCAGTGCAATGCAGTGCAGTAGGTGCGGTACAGTGCTGCATCCGCTTCAGCGACACTGCAATTCATCAACCGCCTCAGGCCGTGCCATCCGCAGACGTGTCCATGACGAAACGCGCAGAGGAGCGAAACAAGGCGCGCCCCGTGCTGCACGCAGGCCGCTGCTGCTGGACGGAGGGACGGGAGGGTCATGAGGCCGCGCGCTGCTGCTGCTGGTGGCCACCCACTCCGCCAAGGGGGGTGAATGGACGGGCGAACCGAATCGCCAGCGAGGGCGCGTGCGAATGGCGACAGCGACGGGAGCCCCCAGAGCCTGCGCCAGCGGAGCCAGCGCGGCATCAGAAAAAAAAATCTCGGGGTGAACCGGGGACAGAGTTTGGGCTCAGGTACCTGCAGGCACCACCACGCTGCGCCGGGGGGCCGTGTACGCTGTACCCACCGCCGGCGGGCGCGCGCCTGGAGCCAGGCAAGCCAGGTGCCACCAGTGACGCTCCAGCCGCTTGGGCTGCGCTACGCTGCCGCAGGTGTCTGTCTTGCCGTGGTGGTCCTCGGTCGGGTGTCCCGCCGTCTCCAGGCCTTCGGGCCTCAGGCTGCCACGCTTATTAGGTACTCGTACGTAGCCGTGCATGGGGGGCTGCGTTGCCGTGGGAAAGCAAGGGCAAGGGAACCATCCATCTGCCTGCTGCGCGGCGGCGGCGAGGCAACGGAGTCTCTCTGGGCGCCGCTAGCCCTTGGGGGTACTACGCGCGGGTACGTACCTGGGGATCCCCAGCCAACCACAGCGCGCCCTAGCGCGGCCCGGGTAGATTCGCTCTCAAAACCTGTCCCCTTCCTGGCTCCGCCGCAATTTTTTTCCCTCTCCCCCCAAGTCCATCCGCCAGCCGGTGCAGAATTTATTTCGCTCGACTGCCCCGTACTTCCCCTTCCTCCCTCTTCCATCTCCAAATCTCCTCTCAATCCTTTGTCGTTGTTTTCGGAAGAGCGCCAGCTACAGCCGTCAACATGTCTCCTCCCGAGCAGCAGAAGGTCCTGGGCATGCCGGTAAGTCGTTCCTGCCTCGTCTCGCCTTGCCTCCCTTGTCGCGACCTTCCCCGTGAAATGCCGCGCGAGCTCCGTCGCCGAGATATGGTCACTGGGACATCGCGTCGAGGCATCGAGGCCTCTCGAGACCCAATTGGGTCGGCGCGTATCGTGTCTTCGTTGATACAGCACCTCGCGAGGGCTCCAGTCGATGGACCTGCTCGCGGGCGCTGCTCCGTGTCCTCTACGACAGCCGCGGCAATTCCGGGGAGGGAAAATTTCGCGTCATCGATTGCCGAACCAGAAGAATCATGTGCTGACCTGCTTCTTTCTATAGCCCTTCGTGGCGGACTTCCTGAGTATGTCGCCTCGCTGATAGTCGTCCCTCGATGATTGCGACGCCCGTCGTCGATGTCGTCGCACTGTCGTCGCCGCCGCCCCGTGATACATGGTCGAACTAACGTTTGCAACTATAGTGGGTGGTGTCTCCGCCGCCGTCTCGAAGACTGCCGCCGCTCCCATCGAGCGTGTCAAGCTTCTCGTCCAGAACCAGGATGAGATGATCAAGGCTGGTCGTCTCGACCGCCGCTACAACGGCATTGGTGACTGCTTCAAGCGCACCATGGCCGATGAGGGCGCCCTCTCCCTGTGGCGTGGCAACACTGCCAACGTCATCCGTTACTTCCCCACCCAGGCCCTGAACTTCGCTTTCCGCGACAAGTTCAAGAAGATGTTCGGCTTCAAGAAGGAGCGTGACGGCTACGGCATGTGGATGCTGGGTAACCTGGCTTCCGGTGGTGTACGTTTTTTTCCCCTTCATGATCCCCGGCCCTGGCCAACCACAGGTATGCTAACATGAGCGCGACAGGCTGCTGGTGCCACTTCCATGCTGTTCGTCTACTCCCTGGACTACGCCCGTACCCGTCTTGCCAACGACGCCAAGTCCACCAAGGGTGGCGGTGAGCGCCAGTTCAACGGTCTCATCGACGTCTACCGCAAGACCCTCGCCTCTGACGGTATTGCCGGTCTCTACCGTGGTTTCATGCCCTCCGTCGCTGGTATCATCGTCTACCGTGGTCTGTACTTCGGCATGTACGACTCCATCAAGCCTGTTCTCCTGGTCGGTCCCCTCGCCAACAACTTCCTGGCCTCTTTCGCTCTCGGCTGGTGCGTCACCACTGGTGCCGGTATCGCTGCCTACCCTCTGGACACCATCCGTCGTCGCATGATGATGACCTCTGGCGAGGCCGTCAAGTACAAGAACTCGCTCGATGCCGCCCGCCAGATCATTGCCAAGAACGGTGTCAAGTCCCTGTTCAACGGTGCCGGTGCCAACATCCTCCGTGGTGTTGCCGGTGCTGGTGTCCTGTCCATCTACGATCAGCTCCAGATGATCCTCTTCGGCAAGGCCTTCAAGGGCGGCTCTGGTTAAACGCTTTTCCTTATGTCCTGTATAGACTACATGCCGTGGGCGGGGTGAGCAGGTTGGCGGATCGACCAGGGGGCGGAACGCAATGTCTCTTGGTTGACGAAAACGGAGATTGGGAAGATGGCAACGAGGGAAGCTGGGGCAAGATATCCCCACGTGTTTCTGTGCAACAGATGCTCTTTGCGGGTTAGACTGGCATCGGCATGGCGTATTTCTCGTTTCGGCTCTGCCATGCTTTCTAGGTCGCTGTAATTTATACACCTACGCAAGTTCCCTTGATGTTTATATGATGCGCTCTCCGATGCTGGGTTGCAAGTGACGAAGTCCCCGCCGCCTCATCTTGAACATGCGCGGGTGACAAGATATGAATCATCTGCGACGCTTCAACCTTCGCGATCCGAATTGTCTGCCTCGCGGTGCAACGTCGAGGAGGGGTGTTGTTTGGGGTGCGTGAGGATGACTAAGTGCCTCGACCCACCACTTGAACGACGCGACGCGACCGAGATCACCAGACAACTTGGAAGTACCATCTGGTAGCCGCACTTCAGTCCAAAGCAGCATCGTTGTAGCTGGCCGCTGCTCGCGGAAACCATTCGCCATGCCACCAAAGCAAGCTTCAGCAGGCGCCCGCGGTCGCCCCAAGGGCAGCACAAACAAGCGAGCGTCGGCGGCGGCAACAGCAGCAGATTCCGCCGAGTCGAGCGACCCGTTTGATTCCCCAGACGAGCAAGCCGGAGAAGACGCAGCGCGAAGGCGGACAACAGCACGCCGGGCGAGCAACAGCGCCGCGGCCGCGACGCAGGAGGATGAGGGGCACGCGGAGGCGGAGGCGGAGAAGACGATACCGCGGGAGCTGCTGACGCGGGTGCTGCACGAGTTCTTCGCCAAGGACGCGACGAGGATATCGCGGGACGCCAACGCGGCGGTGGGGAAGTACGTGGACGTGTTTGTGCGGGAGGCGATTGCGCGCGCGGCGGTGGACAAGCGCGGCGGGTTCCTGGAGGTGAGTCTGCAAGCCTGCTCCACGGTGATGAAGGCGAGAGCTTCTAGAGACGGAGGAGAGAAAAGTTGAACTTGGGCAAGGCTGACTTGGGCTCGACAGGTTGACGATCTGGAAAAGATTGCGCCGCAGCTCCTGCTGGATCTATGACCAGGCAGCTGCTGATGGATCGACGACCGGAAGCCACAGGAGGGGGGAAACACTCGGGTGAACTACGACGGGCACTCCTCGAGGCGGACGTACGTCATCTAGACGCGTGGTTGTCGGTAAGCGACCCAGTCGGTTCCCGACCGTTTCTGATTCATTCGAGATCCGGGAGGCTGATCAAACAGCCATGCTGCGACGAGCCCACGACGACTGCGGCAACACGCAGACGCGAATCCACGCCGCTTCTATAGAAAGCTCGCCTCGGGGTTTGGAGAGGCGAGACAACAATATGGAACACGACCAGTCTTGTTGACTCAACAGAGTGGCCAAAGATATCTACATGCACAGGGATGGCCATTGGTGGGAGCACCCAGCATACTGCTGCGACCCAGGAATGGACCAAAGGGTTGTCGGCACGCGGCACGACTCAACGTGTTTGTGACGGGCTCTGGCGGACGCAAACCCTGGCAAACGCGGGAGGGGCTCGTGGCAAAGCGGCTTGGGCGAGCCAGACGGCGTTGCAGATTGCCAAGGATGATGACTTCAGGGCAGTCTCAAGGTCATGCGGCGGCAATAGGCTGTCATCGTGGTCATTATCCAGCAGCCAGTGGGTATCCGGCACGGCTGATGTGCTTCTTCGCCTGCCAGGCACGGACAGGGTCGTGATGGTCGCGTTGATCAAGACCGTTTCGGCGCCGGCACGTCGGCGCCTCGAAACGTCGTCTGCAGGTCATAGGCAAGGAATTGACAATCCCTTTGGCGGGACGCACATGGCCCTGCCTCAGCTCCTGGATCGTAGGCATCGTAGGCTGGCGTCTGGTGAAACCCAGAGTTTCGTTTTGGCCGTTGCTGTGCAGTGGCCGATACAGCAATACAGAGGATCGCTGGGTATTATCCGGCCTTGCGGCCCCACCTGCACGGAGACGGAGAACCGGGGGGGGGGGTTCGTGATTACCGCATTTGTTGGCAGGCAGGGATGGGGCCTGGCCTCGCCCCTCGCACAAGCATCCATCTGCCACAACTGACACGAGCGGTCACAGGGTTACAAGGCAAGGCAAGAAGAAAAAAACCGATTCCATGAGCGGAGTTCCTCTCACCGTTGCTCCGTACTATTCTGCATTGGCAAGAATTGGTAGTGACTTTGCCCGCGTGGCTGAGGCGAGTCGCGTCGCGGCTGATTCGCCGCCAGCGCTGAAACCGGGGTTGTCTCGCCTGTGTCGGAGCCGCGACAGACGTGAGGCACGCCGCCGCCGCCGCCGCCGCCGCCGCCGGAACGGCAACGCGCCCCCCCAGTTACCTACCTTACCTACCTTACCTACCTGCGTGCCTACGTACCCTTGCCCCATCCGAACATGGGATTTCTTTCGTCTTCTTTCTCTATCGGGCAGGGCCCTGGTGGTGGGCTATACTGTGCTACTATACGCAGGGCTGCGAAGGCAACGGGCCCGCGCGACTCCGTGCCCTTGATTTCGGGTGCGACGAGGGCCGGTCGGTCGGGTCGGCTGGGCCTGGGCAGGGCCTTGTAGGGCCTCAGGCGTGGCGACGGCGGCGGCCTCCTTGCCTCCCCTTGAATCCCTTTGGTGCTTTGCTGTGCGATGCGAATGAGCGAAGTCTTGTGGTGGTTTCGTAGCCGTCTGCGAGACTTGTTAAGCACCCAGAGTAGCCCACGACCGGCACGCGCTCTAAATCTCGGGAAGAGCTCTTCCAACTTTAGGATTTTTGCTGTTCAATAAGAATTACAATAGTTCGAGTGTAATTGATGTTGCCGTCTGAGCAGATGCACGCTCTTTCCTTTCTGCAGCAGCACGGCTGGCACGGACATTCTGCAGCGGTCGGCTATGATGCGGCCGCCCCCCCTCCGCCTCAACTCCTCCTTCACCATGAGCCACGCCGCGTTTCAAGCCCACCTTGCGCACCGCTTGGAAGACCTCCGCGAGACCCTCCTTTTCGGCGGCAACGAGGCTCAACCATTCAACCCTTCCCCCCGTCCGTCCCAGGTCTCTCCGTTTTGACAGCGCCACGCCGAGACCTGCGCATCCCCCTTGCAAGAACGAACCCCCCCCCTCCCCTAGACAATCGTTCCAAGTTTTTCCTCTTCCCTTCCCAGGATGGATGGACGGCATCTTGACACAGTCTAAGCCCTTGCACGGGGGCCCCCACGATGCCACGGGTTGGGACGATCCCGTGCCAATGCCTTAAAGGACTGGGTGTTTCCATTACTGGGCTCCAGCTTTTTTCCTCTCTCTTTGCGTCCCGTCTCTTCAAGTTCTCTTGTTTTCCTTAACTCTCTCATCCCTTTTTTTTTCTCTCGACTCTAGTAGTTGTGTTTCCATTTTCCTTCCCGTCCTGTCTGGTCGTGTGTCTTCTTGGTCTTCACGCCTTCTTCCTGTTGATACAGTCGCTTATACCCCCAAAGGCTAGTCCTTTTTGTTCATTGTCACGGCTTAACAGCGTGTCTGGGCACACTCTTCTGGAAAGAGGACATTCACTCACTCAAACTCACTCGACGACTGCTTCACTCGCACACGCACACACACACTCTCTCTCTCTCTATTGTTGGCTCGTGTCTTCGAGCTTCCTCACATCACCATGCAACTCACATCTCTCGTCGTGGCCGCTCTGTTGAGCGTTGCCCAAGGTAAGGCCTTTCTACTCTTCCGCCTTCCATCGCCCGGTGTAAGCCCCCCGAACAGCCTCACTAACATACGTTACCCCGGTACAGCCGTCAACGTCCACGTCGTCGCCGTGGGCAAGAACCCCATGAACAACCAGACGGGCATCAAGTTCTACCCGGAGAAGCTCACCGCCAAGGCCGGCGACATGGTGCAGTTCCAGTTCCACGCCGGCAACCACACCGTCACGCAGTCCAACTTTGACCGCCCCTGCGTGCCCCTGTCGACGAGCAACTCGAGCGCCGTCGGCGTCTACTCGTCCTTCCAGCCCGCCGCCGCCAGCGCCGCCAAGGGCATGATCCCCGTCTTCACCATGATGGTCAACGACACCAAGCCCATCTGGCTCTTCTGCAGCCAGGGCCCCCACTGCCAGAAGGGCATGGTCATGGTCATCAACGAGAACACCCAGGCCAACGCGTCGCGCTCCCTCGACAACTACAAGAAGCTCGCCGCCAGCGCCGAGCAGGGCAACATTGAGATTCCCGGCGGTGGCAGCGGCAACGGCGGCGGCAACGGCAACAACGGTGGCAACGGTGGCAGCGGCAATAACGGCGGTGGCGGCAGCAACACGACCCCCGGCGGCGTCGGCGCCTCGCCCACCGGAACCCAGAGCCCGTCCACGTCGGCCCCCATCACCGCCGGCGCGAGCCCCAGCTTCCACGTCTCGACGACGCTGCTGCTCATCGGGGCTGCCTTTATGCTTCTGTAGAGCGCGCAATCATACACAGGTTATGTCTGTGTGTGTGGTTGGGTGAAGGAGGGGAGGGACACGAAAGTGGCAGTGCATTAATATCTTTCAAAGTACATTTCGAGGTTCACGCTGCCCGGGGCGGTTTCCATCATGCAAACTCATTAGGACAAAGAAGACCGGATTTGGAACACGGCCAGGCACAAGCCGTTGCGTTGTAAACAGGCCTAGTCTCCGTTTTATTTGCGAATGGGAAAGAATTCAGTCAACCTGGATGACCTTTCCACTTTACAATGCGTTGCCATTCTGTATCTGCGTTTAAGAAAATTCAAGTCAACATCGGTGACTCACTCAGTGTACAGTAAATGCCCATTCTGCGCCTCTATAATCCTCCAACTCCTGTTGTACACGCAGGGCCATTTGCCCGGGTCTAGTGGGCAATGACCCTCTTTCTTCTCCCCTTCTGCGCGCCCGCACAGAGCTCCCTCTTGGGCGTCTTCTCCAGCCAGTCCTTGTCCCTCTTGACGTACCCGACCCTGTGGTACTTCTTGCTGTTGGCGAAGAAGTCGACCCAGTGCTTGAGCGCGCTGTGCATCCGCTCCCGCGCCGCCTCGAGCTCGCTCGCCCGCAGCTTCTCGAGCTCGGCCGCCGTCCAGTGCGCGTCCGTCTCCGGATCGTCCAGCGGCAGGAACATCTCCTCGACGCCGCGCAGGTCGGGCGTGCGGTCCTCGGCGAAGCAGCCCGTAACGTACGCCCGCGCGGCGTCGCAGCCCGCGAAGACGCTGTAGGAGCCACCGGGCCCGTACATGCGCCGCCCGTTGGACACGTCGTAGATGGTGCCGTTGATGGCCAGGTATAAGGGCTTCTCGGGGTCGCTGCCGTCATATTGGGCCAGCTGCTCGGGCGTCAGGTACATGGGGCCGCTCTGTGAAGAGGACGTCAGTTACCAGGCACGACACCAGCAGGTCTCCAAACGGGCATCCAGGATCATACCATTTGGGCCTTCCACCACCGAGGACTGAGATAGTTGGGCTTGTTCTGCATCCCCCAGAACCAGCTCTCCCCTCCGCTGATGGCATAGCTCAGACCACACGAGGCCACAAAGAGGAAGCTCAGCACCCTGAGAATGTCGAGCCAGGGAGTGTAGTCGTCACCCTCGTCGGTCTTTCGCTTCGACTTGCTGGACTTCTTCTTGGGCTTGTCGTCGCCTTGCGGCTTCCGCTGCCGCAGCTCTGAGTCGGCCATGACGTACCAATTTGCCCCTCAACGGATGCTCAAGAAATCTTCGCTTCGCAGGGGTCAATTAAGCAAGGAGCAAGTCAATCGTGGCGGGATGGGATGGGGTCTTCGAGGGACCAGAGCTCCGGCTGTGCTGCTGCCACTTTGCACCCCACCCGCCCCGCAACGCGCCGGGAGCGGCTGCTTCCAGCAAATCACGGGCGAGGAATTGGCAGCGTCATGCCACCCTATGGCGTGTGCGCTGTTCAAAGCGGCACCAATCACCGCCAGCCGGGACCCGGCCCCGTCACATGACGTCGCGTCACCACGGCAACCGCGTCCGTTGATTGCCCGCCTTGGCGCCTCCGCTCCGTAAACAGCACAGGGCTCAGGCCCAAATTAACATTGATACCTCGCAATACCAACCACGCATCACCACGAGCACCCAAGCAAGACACCTCACACACGAAAACGCCAGACGGAGGCGGGAGGCGCGACGGAGCGCAACACCATCGACATCGCCCCAAAGTCATCGGCCGTTTTGCCAAATGGACGTGACCTCAAGCCTGCCCGGCAGCCCGGCCGGAGGAGGGCCTCTGCAGGCGGCCACGCCCGACCGCGTCAACCAGTGCCGCGAGTCCTTTGTGTCCGCGCTGCGCAACGAGGGCCGCGACAGCTCGGTACACGATAAAATCAGCCAGTTCAACAACCTCAGCGTCGCCATGCAGTCGAAGCAGCTCGAGCGCCGGACAGCCGACGCGGCGCTCAAGCGGGCCATGGTCGGGCGCGAGGAAGCCGAGGCGGAGATTCGACGGCTTAAGGAGGAAATGAGGCTGCTGCAAAAGGCGGTCCAGGAGGGCAAGGAGCGCGAGAGGCGAGTTGGCGAACGACTCGAAACGGTCATGGTAGGTCGCCGCCGATTCGCATATGACGTGCGCCCGGAGGTGCTAGGAGAAGACGCTGACGTCGCTATCAGGAGAATTACGGACGCGCCAAGGAGACGCACTCCCACACCCAGGCCCTCTGGGAAAAGGAGATTCGCCGCGCGAGAAAGGAAAACTTCAAGACCCAATCCAACGTCGTCAAGATCCAAGAGGACCTCAAGTCGGCGAGGAGCGCCGTCAGGATCCTTGAGGAGAACCTCGACCGAGAAAAGGAGCGCAGCCGAGCTCGCGAGCAGGAGGCATTCACCGCGCGATATCAAATCGTCGGCGTGCAGGAGCAGCTGGAGCAGGCGCTCGAGCGCATCAAGCTGGTGGAGCAGGAACGCGATGCCTTCAAGACGGCCGCCAAGAACGAGGAGGTGGCGCGCATCGCCGCCGAGGGCCGCCTCCCTCTGCCCAAGACTGAGGACCCGACCGACGAGTTTGCCTCACCGAAAAAGTCGACAATCAAATACACGGCCGGCAAGGAGCCGCGCGTGTCCTTGTCCACCATGGACATTGTGTCATCCGCTGCCAGCGAGATCGAAATCGAGGAGCTGACGACGCAAGTACTGTGGGAGCGGCAACGGGCGGATCGGGCCCAGGAGATGGTGGAGTTTCTGCAAGCAGAGTGCGAGATGCACTGCTGCCCGTGCTCAAAGACTAAGAAGAGGCACGCGAGCTCTAGCCCGCCACAGAAGCGACGACGAGAATCTGTCGAAAGCCCGGAGCCTCACGAGCACGCGCCCGAGGAGTGCGGCCGGCTGTCACCACAGGCTCTGCCGAGCCCTCCTCCACGAATCGAGGTTCCTCCCCAGATCGAGGAGCCCGAGCCCGAACCGCGCCGGGTCAAGTCCAAGAAGGAGCCGCGACGCAGCACCATCTTTTGCCCGCGGGAAGGCATCTTCCGCACCGTCTCGGAGCAAGAGGCTGAGGCCATGGAAGCAGAGAAGCTGGAACGGGAGGAGGAGCCCGCGCCGCGAGAGCCCGATGCCCACTCCCTCGACCCGATGGACGTCGAGACGAACCCCCGCATGTACGCAAGAACTCCCTCCGTCGACCCTCCAACCTTTGCCCTCCTGTCGCAGGACCGGACGTCCCTCCAGTCGCTCCTGAACGCCCCGCACAGCGGCGGCGGTGACTCCACCCATACCGACTCTCTCCCTAGCATCCGCAGCGTGCCCGTCGTCGAGGAGGACGACGAGCCCGCCCCGACAGCACCACTAGACCACCACATCTCACAAAGGGAATCTCCAGAGCCTAGGCCGCACACGTCTGCGACCATCTACACCGTGACGACGCAGGTGCCCGTCCGCGACGAAAATGCCAGCTCCACGTCGTCCTTCTCGGAGAGGCTGCGCACCCCCTCGGGCGCCAGCAATGCCAGCAGCTTCGACCACACGAACCCGGCGCTCACGCCCACCATGACGAGGGAGCAGGCGCTCGCAAAGATCCGCGAGCGCAGGGGCCGCGTGAGGAGCGCCGCCCAGGCCGCGGTGGCTCCTTCGCGCAAGGGCTCCAAGGGAACGGACAGGAGGGACGTCAGCGCGCCGACCGCTAAGACCGCCGGCCGCGTGCGATCCTGAACGGCGGCGTGGCTCCGCTCACCCCTCTCGAGGGGAGGAGCAAAAAGGGGAGACGGGCGCGGGATACACATACACCACTTTCTGCGCGTTGCTTTCGTTGCCGGGCAGTCCCGTCACCGGGAGTGCGCCATTTCATGAAGCGCTTGGCGAAGGGGGCGTTGGGTCTGTTTGTTTGACATTTGTTCGGTCATGGGTTTCTTTCCTCACGGCCCGGGAGCATGTACGGCGCAGCGACGGGAGGGCGGTCGTTCTAGCTAGCATGGATGGGCAGGCCAGAGTCTCTGCTTTCTTCTCTACCCAACGGCATAGCACACACTCTCACACACACACCTACTGCACATAATACTGTACAAATTCGTGTCCACGATCCGAAGGCGCGGGCACCGAGCCGCATGACTACCATATCCAAGTGAAAAAGCCAAAGCAAAAACGTGAAATATCCAAAAACGTGCGTCCAAAGGGCCTGACGACGTCCCAAGCCGTTCCCCTTTGGTGACGCGTAAAACTCCGTCCGTCTAGGCAACAACACCTTGCGCGCGGATCATGACCCCGGGTTTTGACCCACCAAACGGCCGGAAAGGGGGTCTTTCGAGTTAAAAGGAAGAGGGAAACGGGGTTGCGGTGGAAGGGCATCAGCTGCCGAGGAAGCCCCTCGTCGCGTTGCGCGCGCGCTCGGAGCTCACGGCGTCGAGCTTGACTGCAACGAGCACGCACTCTAGGCCGCCGTTCTTGCCGCCCTGAGCCGGCTGCACGCGCAGCCGCCACTGCCCCGTCCTGACAGTCCACGCCTCGGCTTCGTTGCCGTCGGCGCGTCGTCGGCGCTTGCGCGGATGAACATCGACGCCGCTGCTACCGTTGCTGCCTTCGCCGCCGGTCGCTGCCGCAGCAGCAGCAGCGTCGTACGCGTCGTACGCCTCGCCGTCGAGCGTGATGGCCGCCTCGGGCTCGAACGCGACGCGGACGAGGTCCTCGCTCAGTGGCGTGTTGCCCGGCGTGGCGGGCTGGGAGCTGGCGCCGCCGGCGCCCATGAGCAGGCCGAGGGGCTGCGTCGTGGGCGGCAGGTTGAGCTTGGTGGCGACCACCTCGAAGAGCTTGGCGACGCGCGCGCGCGTGTCCCTGAAGAACTCGGCGCGGGGCGACTCGCCGCTGCCGGGCGGGGGGACATGCAGACGGGTCTCGTCGCCGCCGATCTCGAGGACCAGCTCGTAGGCCGTGCTGTCGACCAGGGGTCGCATGTAGTTTACCCACAGGGGCATCATCCGCCCGCCCGAGTCGGCAGTGGTGCCGGCAGCAGCAGCACTGCTGGCGCCGTCGCCTCCAGTCTCGGTGCTGTCCCTGACGACGCCGATGCCGCTCTTCTGGACGTTCTCTAAGCGCAGGACAATCTCCTCGCGCTGGCGCAGCGGGTTGTAGGTGACGCGGTGGGGGATGAGCTGCTGCTCCAGGCCCTTGAAGTGGAAGTAGCGAGCGTCGCGGAGGAGCTGCTGGCGGTGCGTCTCGCCGCGAATCTCGAGCGGGTAGCCCTGCAGCAGGAGCAGCAGCTCGGCGAAGATCTCGGGGGAGCGGTTGGGCACCGAGGGTGGCAGGATGGCGGGCGGGCGGATGAGGCCCTCGCGGTCGAGCCCCGGGAAGACCTTGTCCGGGTGCGAGAAGAAGGCGGCGAAGCCGAGGGAGAAGTAGTTGGGGCTGTTGGGGCTGGCGAGGAGCAGCCCGCGCGGGATCTGGAACTCGCGGTGGCCGATGGAGGTGAAGATGCTCTCGTCGTAGAGCTGGGATATGAGCCGGGGCACTTTACAACAGCCAAGGATCCCGCGTCAGCATCCACATCGGCGTCAGGTAGGGCAACGGGTTCGACACATACGGCTGTAGAACTGCGCGTCGGCAAAGAGGCGCACAAAGTGCGTGCCGTCCCGGGGCGTGACGTGGTAGCCCTGCAGATGCAGCGCGATGTCGGCAAAGGTGGCCGGGTCGCGGTCGATGTACAGGGTGCGCAGCGCGACGCCCACGTCCTCGCCGTGCTCCTCGGCCGACTTGATCTGGCAGAGGAAGTACTGCGAAAAGTACGACGGGGCTGGACGGTGGTGGTCTGCGCGTTAGCTTTCGTGTTGTTTGCAGCCCGCGCGCGCGCATCTCATCATCTGAGAGGAACGAGCGGCGAGAGGGGAGGCCGCGCGAAGACGTGACACGGGGACGTTTTGTTTGGGGGGAGAAGACGCACCGTCGGAGGATATGGACGCTCCGGAGAGCTTAAACAGCTCGCTGCCAATCTGTATGGGGAAGACGCGCTCGCGGGGGAGAATGTCGGGGATCTTGGAGATGGTCTTCTCCGTCTGCTCCCCGCTGCCGGCGGGCGTCAACAAGTCGCCGGCGTCGGCGTGGCCCTGGCCTGGGGCGCCGTCGTCGGGGCTGCCGTGCATCATGGTGTTCGAACTCGGGGGCGGTGACGACGATGGTGGTTATGGTGCTGAGCGCGCTCTCTCTGACTCCCAGTCTACAGACATGCGCCAACGAGCGCGGACGCGAAACTCGGTCTCGAGATGCCGGATTGGTCTGCGCCGCGCGCGTCGCGCAATGGACGTTGCTCCGCGGGTCTAGTAACCCTGGGACGACGCTGTGCGCCGTGTTGGATGGGAGATATACAGTACGTCGGTCGTTCGCGGAGGAATCAATCGTGGGTATCGCGTGTGCGCGCGCGCCTAGAGAGGGAGGAATGGCGAATGGTCGGGGCTCAGAACGAGGGAGGGCAGGTGCTGACCAGTGATGTCGGGGAGCTCGACTCCCGGTGAGATCGGATCTCGCGGGCCGGAGCTTGGGCGGGGCAGGGGGCCCGTTCACCTGGAGGATGGAGGGAGGGTGGGGCGGGGGACCCTGCTGCAGATTGCTGGGCCGGAACCGCGCCGACCAAATGCGTTGCACCAACGCTTCCTTGATGGTTCATGCGAAGCACACGATGCGACCTCACAACACCTCACTTCTACTCTTCCCTAGACCACCCCGGAGGATTCGAGCTACTATTACACGAGTTGAAGTACCCATTCTTTCACGCTGCATTTCCTGGAACCCGCACGCTACAGACCTGCGAGCGGCTCGCTATTCCCTTGTTCAGGGTAGCCGGGTAGTTCTTGCCATAGTAAGCTGAGCCCAGAGTCTCAGATGCGGCGACGACGATGTATTTAGTGGGCGCGACATCGGGCAGCGTGATTCCGCAAGGTCCTTGCTGCGTATCACCTTTATTCAGTTCAAGGGCTCTGTGCTTTATATGAAGTCCAGTGTTCTCGTTAAGCAAGGGCGGAGCGTGCGAGATGGATGGGTTTGAGCCGTCGCCCAAAACTTTGTAGACGATATGGTCCATATTCTATTTCATATTCATGTTCATGATGCAGCATTCCCTTTTAACAATGCCGGCGGCCTACCTGCTCATCAGCTCGACTCCACCCCTCACGACCCCGACCACCGCCCCCGTCTGCACCGTCTCGCTGCCGCCGCCTGCCACCCTATGCTCGATGTCCGCCAGCCCATCTAGCCATGAAATCATGACCTCTGGGCTCACCTCCAGCTTCGACAGCTCCTCTGACAGCGCCGTGATGATGTCCGCCAGCGCTAGCCCCCTCGTCGCCTTGAGCGCGTTGACCGTGTTGAGGCAGCTCGTTACGTCCGACGTGTTGAGCAGCGTCGTCACAATCTCCTTTATGGCGTCGGGCGGGGGCGCCGCGATGCAGTTGTATATCGTCTCCGTCGTGATCATTTCGCGCTGTATCTCGCTTTCGGGGACCTTGGGCGCGCCCTTTGGTCGTAGCGGCGTACCTAGACAGATTGTTAGCAGTGTCACTTGCGGGCCGGGGGCCACTCGTTACGTGGCTGGCACTTACTCGAGGCGTGGCAGGCCTGCAGGACGTTGAGGGCCCGCCTCATGTCTCCCTTGCTGAGCCTGACGAGCGCGTCGACGGCCTCTGCGCCAATCTGCACGTTCTCCTCCTCCACCACCTTCTCCACCAGCACGCGAATGTCGCCCTCCTTGAGCGGGCTGAACCTGAAGCGCGTGCACCGGCTCAGCAGCGCGGGGCTCAGCTTGTGCGAGTAGTTTGCGATGATGCAGAACCGCGTGTTGACCGTGTACTTTTCCATGATGCGCCGCAGCGCCATCTGCGCCGTGTTGGTCATGGCGTCGGCCTCGTCCAGGATGATGAGCTTGAAGCCGGCTATCGAGCCGCTGCCGCCGCCGCCCTTGTTGGCCGCTCCAGCACCGCCGCTGCCCATGGAAAAGATCTGCTTGGTGCTCGCAAACGTCTTGATCTGCTCGCGCACCACGTCGATGCCGCGGTCGTCCGAGGCGTTGAGCTCCAGCACCATCTGCCGCATGTTGGAGGCGCCGTAGATGCGCCGCGCCAGCGCGAGAATCGTGGACGTCTTGCCTGTTCCCGGCGGGCCGTAGAGGAGCAGGTGGGGGAGCCGATTCGACTCGACGAACTTGTTGATGGTGGCGAGGATGTCCTGGTGGCCCGAGACGTCGTCGAGCGAGACTGGCCGGTACTTTTCGACCCTGGACAGCTGTCAGCGCCGCAGACAATTATAGAAAGAACGGGATACGCCACTGACCATGGCAGGCTGTCTTCTGCCTCCACCGGGAGGTTGGCGGCGCTTCGCTTGCCCTTGGTCGCCTCGGCGGAAAACGTCACGTCCTTGGACGGCGCGGGGTCGACGTCCATCTCATCCTCAAAGTCCGACATGGTGACGGGCTTGGGATCTGGGGGACGACGGGATGCAAGAGACGGCTGGGATTGAGTGGTATGTAGATTGGCTGGACACGATGGGACGGGCAGCAGTTGTAGGCTCGATCGAGGTGGGTTGAAGATGGGATGCAGTTCGAGATGGAAACGCGTCGCGTGGTTGGTTGCGCGCGCCCTGGCGTTGCCAATTAAGAGTGCCCCACCTTTTTCTGCCAGCTCCAAGTCGGGCCTCCTCCTCCTCCACGCAGCCTCAACCTCCGACGACCAACGACCTCCTGCTGGTAAGCATGCAACAGTCTTCAGCACTGCACTGCTAGCAGTGGCGGCACGTCAATTGATCGATGCAAGCCCCGAATGGATACGAAACTCGCATGCAGCATGCAGCCTGACCAACAGCCCATGTGCTCCACGCCTAGGCTGGGCATTCAAGTCCCGGCAACGGACATGTCGCTCTTCAAAGTCAGATGCTCCTGTTTCCATTCAGTCTACACATTAGAGGCACTATGCTATATGTCCAGTTCCAGCCGTCTTCTCCCTCACATCCGAGCCCACTCGCCACGCACCCAGCGCACCATCATATCCAGCGCCCCCACGGGCTGGTAGCTCGCCACCGTGTGGCCCGCCTTGAATATCCGCATAAACGCAAAGTTCTGCGCCGCCTTGATCTCGCCGTAGCTGTCGTTGGTCCCCGCGACACGCACCGGCTTGGACTCGGCCTTGTTAAACTCCCCCTTGCCCGGCCACCAGAGGGCGTTTGTCCACGCGCGGTTGCCCAGCCAGTTGCCGATGAAGTCGGCGTCGCCCGCGAAGACGAGCACCGAGATCTTGGTGAGCGCCTGCACCACGGGGAAGGACGACGGCCGCATCCAGTCCCCCGCCTTGATGAAGCTCTCGTAGACGGTCATGTTGCACGCCTGGAAGCTGCTCACCTCGACGCCCAGCGCCTTCTTGACCTTGTCCGAGTTGAGAAACTCGAGCCCGTACGAGTTCTGGCCCGCGCCGTTTGGGTTCCTCACGTCGTAGATGTCGCGCCCGGAGCTCGCGTAAATGTCCAGGAGGCCGTTGCAGGTCGACGTGGCGTTGACGCACGCCGAGGTGCTGCTGCCGTCTTGGTAGCACTGCTGGATGAGCTTCTCGCAGCCCGGCCAGATGGCGTCCATGGCCTGGCAGGAGGTCTCGTTGACGACCGCGGGATAGCCGCCGTCGCCGCAGGCCATGGGGCGGTAGTACTGATACTGCGTCAACGGCTCCGTCAGCCCGTTCCCAATCATGATGCTCTTGAGGTTGATCAGCGGGTTCTTGGAGTCGAGAATCTCCTGAGCGATCGACGGGATGTAGTGCCCGGCGTACGACTCTCCGGCGAGGTGAAACGGCAGCTTCGAGTACTGCAGGTATTTGTGGAAGAAGAGCGTAAGCAAGGCGTAGACGTCCTTGGCGGCGACGGCGGTCGTGTTCACGCTCTGGCTGCTGTACGAGTACCCGACGTTGACGGGCTGATCGAGGAACATAATGGAGGCGTTGTTGGTCCACGAGTTTGCGTTGCGGACTGGGATGAGGTCCTTGTTGGGGATGAAGGCCGGGCCCATCTCGGTGAACAGCCCGATCATGGATGAGCACCCCGGGCCGCCGTTGAGCCACAGGATCACCGGGTCCTTGGCGGGATCGTTCCTTGACTCGAAGAACCCTGACCAGCATTTGCGGTTAGCGACTGGACTGGACCCGACGATACACTGCGCTGAACCTACAGTAGAAGAGATGCTTGTCTGAAATCTTGTTATCCAGGTACCCGCTATACTGCTTGACCGTGTCGACCTTCAGAGACCCCGGGTCAACGGATCTCGTGCGGAGGGCGTAGGAGGTGAGATCCCCGCCGAGCCACCTGGGGATGCCTTGGAGAAGGTCACTTTCCAGCACGTCTGCTCCATTGATGACTGCATCCCACTTCTGATCCAACAGGCTTGTAGCGACATTCAGTTGAGGGCTGAGACCTCTGCCCACGAGAGGTCGCGGCCCCTGGAGTGGCACGACTGAAGACGAGGCGATGCCGCCCAGCAAGAGAGCCGAGACGAAGAGGCGCATCGTGGTCGATGATTCGGAGTATCGATGAATGGTAGAGAGCGTGTCGAGCCGTGAGAACGGCCGAATTGTTATCAATGTCCAGCAGTGAGTGGTTGCCCGATCGGGAAGGCAGCAGAGAGGACTGTAGAGACTGGATGCAAAGCAAAACCTCTATACCAGCGCACCCCAGGACGGACGCTTCCCAGAAACAGTGCAAGCCCTCGGAAGAGTTCACAGGAAGAGAAACCCATCCAGGGACCGGGGTGCGTCCAACTTATCCACCACCACGCCTCTCCCCTCCCGCAGTAAAACACATATTAGATGGCTGAGGCATCGTGACCCTCTCACCCGCCTCCGTCGTGATACTCGTGCGGGCCGGGGCCGAGCTTGGTGGCTGCCGCCGCCACCAACAGCAGAACCCCCCAGGTACTACTGCTGCATGGCTGTCGCATCACAGACGGTTCCTGCATCTCGCTCGCAGCAGGTTCAGACGAGTAAAAGGGCGAGTGATTGGGCCGCACAGTTTGGGCTTGCTACCTGGCAATAAGGCAGAGGGGTACAGCCACGCGCAAGGGACTAAGTAGGACAAGCACTGCGAAGAATCGCACGCATGAGGTGTGTTATGCTGTACCGTGACCAGTGCGCTGCCGTACCACTGTCTCTTATACACATCTAGATGTGTATAAGAGACAGGGACTAAGTAGGACAAGCACTGCGAAGAATCGCACGCATGAGGTGTGTTATGCTGTACCGTGACCAGTGCGCTGCCGTACCACGATCCACAGGGGCGTCCACAAGCCTCAAGGCAGAGGCGGACGAGCGTGTCGTGCGACCGGCGTGGCTCTCACACTACACAATAGTAGCAGCAGAGGAAGAATCCAAGGCACCGGACGCACGGACAAGTTATGTGGACATCTTGGACGCTTGCTTCCCAGGGGGCCTGAAGCCTGGCTAGGACTGGTGCCATTTCTTCCTTCCCCATCTTTCCCCATCTGGTGCTACATTGGCCGGTACAGTATGTGCGAAGTAGACATTATATCGGCCGTTTCGAATACAACCTTCGGCACCCAATGAGCCCAACTGCTCACGCACAGTTACAAGTCATAATAACACAGCGTCGTAATCATCACAGGATCCCTGGGTTCAGAAAAAGCGCAGAGCCCGCTAGTGCCGCCCCTGCCGGCGCGGATATCTCGCGCCCACGCAGCCCCCCCATCGCACGGTGAGTAGCGGCGGCCTGCTGGTATTGCTGTTCCTGCTGTTGGTGGCTTGCGACGTTTCGCATGCAGGCATCACGTCGGAGCGCCTCACCTGAAATAGCCCAGCCCCGAGAAGAGGGGACGGGGGCTTTTTGGGGCTCCATGTCCCATGCACGGCCGTCGCCGGCGATGGTCTCGGTCTGGCCCGTGCCGGGGCTGGCATCTTCCTCTGGAGTCCGGAGTCTGGACAGCATGATACCTATGGAGTCTGCCTGCCTGCCCAATGCAACGTCGCTGGCCCCCGTCGTCGTGGCACCCCCCGTCCCCACACTGTCCTCTGCGATACAAAAGTGACGGCGATGCTGCGGCGGATGATGATGATGCTCTGTCATACAGCAGCACTTCCGACATCGCGCCGAGAGGAACAGTTTCCACTTTCCACTAGCAGAAAGGGGCTCATCTCAATCGTCAAAGCTGCGAAACGCAGTCTTGACGCAGCACGAGCACAGAGAGGATGATGAGACGTCAAAATGGCAGTGGAGCCGCCCTCACACCCGCGACTAGGGCGCCGCTAACAGGCGCCATCCCGCCCGGCAGAGAGGCTCCAGATCTGAGATCCTAGGCCCCTGGCGAGACCACAAAAGCTGTAAAGCACGCCCTTTGCATCCCGCCGCCGTTGACGACAAGGGCATCGCCGTTCCCGATCTGTGTGGGACTCTATATTGCAGGCTTGTATTGCACTACCGTCAATATGTGGAGTGCAGTACATCCTGTCTGATGACTGACTCTATTATGTACAGGTCATATCATCCGCCCACGTACGACTGCTATCAGAAAAGCTAGCGGCAGCGTTGTAGTGCATGTATATCATGGAATTCGACCTTGATTCTAGAATAAGTACAGGCCAAGAAGGCTTCAGACGATTAATGGCCTGCGCTGTTGAGTGACGCACGTGGGAAGGGTAGACGTCGATGTCTGGAACCGCATCTGCAACGCCCATCAAACGTCACTGCTCGCCAAGCCTACTAACTTAGTACCCTAAGTTGACGAAAATTTGAGGCCAGAGGGCAATCTGGGCTATGCTTGCACATTCGTACCTCGTCTTCTGCGTGAGAAGAAATGCGCTCTGGCTTAGACAGGGATCGCACATTCAACGCTTCTACGATTTGCAGTGGGAGTGGGTGCAGGTACGTGTAAGTCACCCGCCTGGCTCCATCATCATCCACTCGCAAATTCCGCCTCGTAGCCCCTAAACATTGTACAAAAGCCTAGAAAACAGCCAAGCTGGCAGTGACCTTGGTACCAGTGTTTCTAATGACGTTACTTTCGTGTTAGGCGTTCATCGTAGCTGGCAATCTGGCTGGGCCACGGCGCCGACCACCATCGAAACAGCGACGCGCTGTTGCAGCAACGCACTACAGAAAGGCGGTGCTCCACGGAATGTGGCATGTTTCGCTGTCATCAGTGGCAGCTATCACTCAGGGCTAGGCACTTCGGCTGACTAGTACAGTCGGAAGCACGACAGGATTCAGCAACTTTGTGAGCGAAATCGGACGATAGCTCCTTCGGGAACAAGGAATGGCATGACGGGAATCAGTCTGCATCGATCGTCACCCCAATCAGCAATGCCCACCCGCAGCTACTGTCGCAGCAGCCCACTGACGCGATGAAAGGTGTTGAACCGAGCATTTGGAAGTGAGATCCAAGGGGTACAGTAGGCTCAGGCTCTCCAAGTATCTACCGACACTCGGCGCGCCAGAGAGTCCATTCCGATCCCTTGTACTCCTTGTCAACTAGCCAAACGTCCTCCAAGCGTCATACAAAAACCGAACCGCAAGATTATGTGCCTTCACATCGTAGCCGGGCAGCAACTGGGTACCAAAAAGCATCATGCGCCCCCTTTCGCGATTCATGGTCCAGATGATATTGGGATGCCCTTCAAACGCGACAGTCCCTTTGGGGATGCCTGTGCCTGGAAGCGTACCGTCCTCTTCAACAAAAGCGCCCGCCGCGGTCCAGTTCATCGCCGGAGGCGGTGTCAACGCCCATGATACCTCGTGGGACACGCCCTGTTCGAGGGGCAGCAGGAAGCCATAGTTGGTGGTTTCGGCCAGCAGCGACTGGTGTGCCTGGCTACCGGGCGTCAACTGCGGCGTGAAAAGCAAATCACGGTGTTCCTGGCGCTGGAGCAGCTTGCAATCCGGCGACATGATATCGCCAAAGAGCCGGGCCAGATCGGAAATACTGCAGGTTAGGCCGTACGTGTCCTTGTCACGGGGCACGAGGCAGGCCTTGCCGTCCGTCGCGGAGGCGTCAACCTTGCGCTCTACCATCTGCAGGCGGCGGTTCCAGACATGCGGCACCAGAGCCGGTCGGTAGGTGGAGGCGGTCATGCCGAGCGCGCCAAAGATATGGTGGTCGACGTACTGGAAGAACCGATCCTTGTCGCCAAGCCGCTCGACGAGTAGTTGCACGCAATACAGCCCCGATCCGTACTCGAAGCCCTCGCCGGGCTCAAAGAAAAGGTGCGTAAATACATTCCTGGCTAATGGATGGGCGTCATCGGGGAAGTCCGGCGGCGGTACTCTATCCTCGCTGCCAAACCGTGCTTGGTACGTATCGGGGGTGCCCATACCACCCGTACTCAAAAGCAGGTGGCGCAATGTGACGTCGTGGGTTGGACGGCGTAACCGTATTTCCTCATCTACTTCCTCGACGAGCAGGCATTTCTCAATCTCAGGAAGATGCTTGCTAATCGGCTCGTCGAGCATCAAAATACCGCGTTCAACCAGTTGCAGGGCCGCGATATTGGTGAAGAACTTGCCTGCCGAGGTGAGCGATATAGTGCAATCAGGATCCAAGGGCGGCGAGTCGGTATCAAGCAATTGGCGTCCAGCAGCATGTCGGTATAAGAAGTTTCCTGGTCACGTCCCACAGTATGAATTAGATACCCTCTTCTTATCCCCTCATACGTATTTCAACACTTGCAGAGAAACGCTCTGTCTCACCGTTGTTGTCAATGACCATACCAACGGCACCCAGCAAGTCCCCATTACCAGGGTTTGTTGCTTTGGCCAACTCGGCTTCAAACGCTTCCATTGCAGGCAATGCTGACGTCTTTCGATACGTCCTTTTCTAGCTTAGGGCAACGAAACTAAGGTTCGCTGGGAGGAAACACTTGGAAGAAGGCCTCCAAATGATCTCTCAACACACCTGAGCCAGAGAAGGAAAGAGGATTCTGACCGGGTGTGTGTAAGCAGAAGAGTAAGATGATCCGATGGGCTGTCCCGAAGCAAGGCACACACGAGATCTCATTTCCGATGGAAGAAAGATGCAGAGCGATCCACCAGGCCCTCCGAACTCACGTCGGGGACAAACTAATCAGTCTGACAGCTTCCCTTGGCGCAGCGCTGGCCCACAGAGTACCTGGGGCCAACCCTGTGCCATGGGGACTAGTTCCAACAAACACATGGCACAGCTTGCTTGAGCACGTTTGGGTCCGAGGGCCGAGACGAAATGCGGTTCGTCTTCAACTTGGGAGCGAAGCTTCGGCCAACCACGTCCATTGCGTTGTGAGTGACCACGACAACGCTGCAGCTAAACATGCCGTGGCGTGTTGCTCTCGGCCGAAGGATGAATGCGAGCCGGGGCCGGATTTAGGCCTGGACTTTAGACGCGATAGCTCGTCAGAAAAGGAAAAAGCCGCGGTGCTGTGGTCGACGACGTGGCCCATCGACTCGAGCTGTCCGACATGTGCCCTTTGTCCGTGGCCGTATATGCAGCACCAGCAGGCATGTAAACGATGCCGGCCATCCGTCGGGTACTGTGCCCGTCGCCAAACATGAGACTCAATCATCTGGCACCCCTTGATGAGGCGTGGGAGCTCGAGGCGCCAAGCCATAGCTGTGCAAAGACGGGGCGACTCGTGGCAGCCGTGGAGCGAGCCATGGGGGCAGCACGCCGCGGCCGTCCGGGGAATGGGGTCACATCGAGTATTTGTTACGTCCTCATTAGGGCATCGTAATGACAAGTCTCCGTGAGGGCGGGAATTACGGTGGCGGATCTCGAGCCTCGGGGGCTTGGGGGGGTCCCTAAACCTGGGGCTGTCGCGCGAGATGTGGATGCTGGCGTCGGTGTCGCGGGGAGGCTAGGCAGGCTGGCATCCCCTTCAATGTCGCGAACTGAATTCGGACGATCGTGCCCCAAAGCAGGCCGAGGCGGTTGGAGGCTTGCATGGCTGCATGTCCGAAGGGACGTTTGCGAGTGTGAGCGGGCATCGCGCATGAATGGGCGCCGTCGAATCTGGTCACGGAGGAGGACTAGGCCCGTCGGGGTAAGACTTGGCGCGCATCATCTGCCGCAAGCCGATTTTTCTTGACGGCGGGCGGCAGGACGGCAGCGGCGGACGTGGAGCCGCAGACGATGGCTTTCCAGGTTCCATGGAGGTGCGGCGGTGGTGGTGGCAACCGTGGTGCTCTGCCCTGCCATGCCTGCATGCCCGTCAGCCTGGAGGTGCGCATGGCGAGTCAACCAGAACCCTGGATTCCATTTTGCGCATTATCAAGCAAGCAACCTTGCAGGAAGCGCGGGCCCCGCCGCAGCCATAACCATAATTCGTAGTCGTAGGCGCGGGGTGGAGCGAAGCTTGGGGAAGTGGGCTCTGCTGATAGATAGGGAATTACTTGCATTTCCATCTCGAGGGCGCGTCTCGTAACGTGTGGTGTCCATCGTCGGTCTCCAGACTCCAGACTCGAGCAGACCAGGCGAGCAAGTCACGGACCGGCGCATGAGGCTCGGGTGGCCCGGTGTGGAATGGATACCGAAGGCAAGTTGCTTGGCCGGCCGATGGTGGCTTGATGGAGTTTCTGGAAGACAGGGGGACGATTTCTGGGTCGCGACCGGGGGGGTCTTGGCACACGATTGGCCAAGACGGGAGCGGCCTCGGCACAGCGTCGGAGGGTTGCGGCGCCGAGGCGCTGTGATTGGCGGGCGCCCCGGCAGGCGACGATGGGGGTGCCGCTGCTGGTGCGCTGGGAAGCTGGTAAGGTAGGTGCGGTGGGTGCCACTGGGTGGCATGGTGGATAGGCAGGCAGGCGCGGCGCGGGCAGGAGCGACACGACACGACACGACGAACAAAAGGTCCATGACTCCATCCGTGAACCGACCCGCGCCGCCCTCGTCGCGACCCGAGTTTCCAGCAGACGCCAAGGTGCCCTCCCAGTCATCCCAGTGCCCTGCCGGCGCCTGGGGTGGAGGGACGGAGGGGCTCGCCTTGCTCAGCTCGTGCCGTCCAGCCCGGCCGCCCGCCTCGTACTCGTCGACTCTGGCAAACTCAAAACGCATCGCGGGCGTCAGGAGTGACGCTGGCTGCCCATGGGGGCGGAGAAGAGGCACGCCCCGGGATCGCGGTGCACGAGGGCGGCTGTTCGCGGTTTTGCGGATGGCCATGGCGATCAGATCCCCTTGCTTCTATTTCCCCAGAGTGGATGGTTGCAGCGCCATTGTTGGAGCCGGCTTTACCAATATGCTTACTTTGGGGCCTGGCTTACTAGGTACTACGTGCATTTCCGCCCTCCCGGACGAGGCACATACGATGTGCGTACGTGGACGGACGGACACACAGTTTGATTTGCACACGCACACACACACACACACCTACCAGGACTTCGGACACACAGGCGCCGCGGCCGCGGACAGCACCTGCGGGTGGGACACGGCCGATAAACCGATAAACCAGGGGTGGGCGTGCCAGCAGCGCGACCGGGCTTCCAGAAGGCGGAAAGGAACAGGCAAGACGAAAAAAACTTTGTTTCCGCCTCGCCCGGGTGAGAGTGTCGCAGCCGGCCGGCGCCGCCTCGGCCTGCGCGATAAGAGCCTGGAGAGGCCCTTTCATCCAGAGTCCAGACGAAGAAGCCGGCAAAATGGTTCTGTCCCCGATCACGGCATGGCACAGCATTACTCGAACGTCGTTCGAGATTTTTTTCCTCGGGCGCCGCCTCTGCCCTCCCGGCAATAACACGCGCTGGGAGTTGACAGCTTGGCACACGAGGTGGCGGCCAGAAGCCGCTCAGGAGACAATAAGCCGATGCAGGCCAAGCCGGAACGTGTTCCCGCAAGCCCTCGGTTCGCCTTCCAGCTTGGGCCAAGACTCGACGCCACCCGGGGTGAGGGTGGGGATGCGGCGAAGGGCCCTTCGAGGGCGCCACCGAAACCAGGCCAGCCCGGCCAACCACCAGCCCGGAGGAACAAGCTTCGTCGAAGATTTGGAGCCTCCACCGCGGCGAGTCGCGTGGTTTCGTCGAGTCGACCGCCCGCCGTCGCTGCCGCCGCCGCCGTGGTTTTGCCTCCTGGGCGCTCGGGGGCGCTGTGGCATCTTAGTCGAGGAACCCAAGTCGGGTGCGGACGCCACCGCGGCCCAATCCCGCGCAGCGCAGCGCAGCGTTGCGCGCGTGCGATATGCGATATGGGGACGGGCCACGGCCTCGCCGTTTGAAGGGGCGAAGGGGGAGGGGGGGTTTTCCCGTTTGCGCGGGCGGGCTCTGGGGCGGCCCTGTCTCAGTTCGGCGACTACGACGGCGGAGGATGGAGGGAGGGAGCAGTGATGTCGGGTGTGTGCATGCATGCGCTACACGTTTGGGGGTGCAACGACGGCGCGGATCGAGTCGTGCCTCTTCTTTTTTTGCCAGCCATGCGTGCCATGCTACATACAGTACTGGCACAGGAAATACTCATGCCATGAGGCGCCACGCTAACACTGCAACATTCGTACGTACCGACCGGCTCCCGCGACTGCGCTCGCGCTACTCCGTCGTTGGCGTTGGCGTCGTTCGGAGTTGGCGCAAGCCCAGGAATCGTCAGTCGTTGCATCCGGCAGGCGCCTGCTCCACACACTGATAGCACCGTTGACCTCCTGCCATTACCGCATCGATACCACCACTCCACGCTGGCTGGCTGGCCGGATGGCTCCTGCACTTTTGCAGACCGGCCGCACCAGTCCGTCATTAATAAAAGACCCAAGATCCCGCGTCTCCCCCACGGGGACCAGCTTGCGACCTTGTTCCTGTCGACTCCCCCCCTTCTTCACTCCCCCCCTTCCTCTCCTCTCTTGTCCACCTCCTCCAAGTCCTTGCCTCGTGCGAGCAGAGTAGAGCGTGACAGAGAGCGTTGCTGGCGACCGCCCACCACCTGCAACCGCAACCATGGCCACCAACCACGAGGACCCGGCTGCCGAGTACGTCATGAAAATCTCTTACACCGTCGCCTCATGTCCGGCGGCGCACAGACTCGCAGCCACGCTGACCTGAAGCTCTTCCCCCAGGCTCCACGAGACCTTCGCTGAGCGCGTGCCCAACAAGGAGACTGACATGGCCGGCGGCTACATTGGCCACTCCGACCTGAACGAAAAGTCCGACTCCGCCGGCGCTGCGGAGACGGATCCCACCCCGGATGGCGAGGAGCCCAATGAGTACGAGAAGCGCACGCTGCGCCGCGTGGGAGAGAACCTCCCCGCCTCGGCATTCCTCATCGCCATTGTCGAGTTGACGGAGCGCTTCACCTACTACGGCGCCCAGGGTCTGTTCCAGAACTACATCAACAACCGCCCCGATGGCTCCGACGGTGCCAAGGGTCTCGGTCTGGGACACCAGGCCGCCACCGGCCTGAACCTCTTCTTCCAGTGGTTCTGCTATGGTACGTCCATGTCTCTCGCCTGATTCGCAAGCATGCGCGCCTCGCTCGTGTTCTCTTCAGAAGAGGTGCTGACCGCTGCTCGCACAGTTACCCCCATCCTTGGTGCCATCATCTCCGATCAGTACCTGGGCAAGTACAAGACCATTCTCATCTTCTGCGTCATCTACTGGGTCGGCCTCGTCATCCTTTGGACCACCTCTCTCCCCGTTGCCATTGATAATGGCGCCGGTCTCGGCGGCTACATCACGGCCATCATCATCATTGGCCTCGGCACTGGTGGCATCAAGTCCAACATTGCGCCCCTGATTGCCGACCAGTACCAGCGCCGTGTCATGGCCATCAAGACGGAGAAGACGGGCGAGCGCGTCGTCATCGACCCCGCCATCACCTACCAGCGCATCTACATGATCTTCTACTGGTGCATCAACGTCGGCGCCCTCTCCCTCATGGCCACGCCCTTCATGGAGAAGTACGAGGGCTTCTGGACTGCCTTCCTCATGTGCTTCTGCATGTTCAACGTCGGCATCTTCATCCTCATCATTCGCCGCAAGTCGTACGTCGTCCGCCCTCCTCAGGGACAGATCATCACCGATGCCTTCAAGGCTCTCGGCATGATGATCATGGCCCGCGACCTGGACGCCGCCAAGCCCTCGTGGCGCGAGGCCCACGGCAAGACCAAGGTTGTGCCCTGGAACGATCACTTCATCGAGGAGTTGAAGCGCGCCCTCCGTGCTTGCAAGGTCTTCATCTTCTGTGAGTTTTTTGCCTTTACTCGTCATACGACAGAACCGTGGCTAACATTTGTCTCAGACCCCATCTTCTGGGTGTGCTACGGCCAGTTCTCGACCAACTTCGTCACCCAGGCCGGCCAGATGCAGGGCCACGGCATGCCCAACGACTTCATGCAGAACTTCGACCCCATCTCCATTCTCGTCTTCACTCCCCTCCTCGAGAGCGTCGTCTACCCCCTCCTCCGCCGCGCCGGCATTGAGCTGCGCCCCATTGCCCGTATCACCATCGGCTTCTGGTTTGCCGCCCTCTGCCTGGCCTACGCCGCCATTGTCCAGCACATCATCTACTCGGCTGGCCCTTGCTACGAGCACCCGGGTGCATGCCCGGAGGGCATGGATGGCAAGACGCCCCTCCCCAACAACGTGCACATCGCCATCCAGGTCCCGGCCTACCTCTTCATCGGCATCTCCGAGATTTTCATCTCGGTCACCGGTCTCGAGTACGCCTACACCAAGGCGCCCCCGAGCATGAAGTCGTTCGTCCAGTCCATCTACCTCTTCACCAACGCCTTCGGCTCCGCCCTGTCTGAGGCCCTCGTCTCCGTCGCCACGGACCCCAAGTTCCTGTGGATGTACACGGGTGTCGCCTGCTTCTCCTTCGCCACCGGCTGCATCTTCTGGTTCCTCTTCAAGCACTACGACGCCGACGAGGAGAAGATGTACGACCTCGACCGTGACCTGCCCGCCCTCACGCACGAGGGTGCTGCCGTCCCCACCAACAACGAGAAGGCGCAGCAGTTGGAGCACTGATTTAGGGACGCGAGGTCAAGGGGACATAGTGTAGAATAGTTTCGTTTATATACCATGATCATGAATTGATCACCCGCATTTACCAGCGCACTCTCTCTCTCTGGCCTGTCTTGTTGTCTACCTACTGCACTTTGTGACATTTCGCCCGTCTGCCATGTTAACACTGGGCGATTGATTGATGCAGTCAGCACAACCAATGGCGGCGATGCAAGGTATCTACCACCAACCGTCGCAGAGACATAAAGGCAATGCAAGGCAGATGTGAGATGTAGTGGGCGCCCCGACGCCTTATCGTGCCCGCAGCCCCGTCACGTCCCGTCGCGTTCGCGCGGCCCCATCACGTCATTTCGCATGTGCAACTCGGTCAACGTCCCGCGAAACTCCCCACGGCACACCGCCCTCACTCCCGTCATCACGCGTTCGACAAAGGCCAACCAAACACCCAGGCAGATAAAGGAGGCAGGCAATGAGGTGGATTCCTTCCTCCCGCGCAGCAATTCGCCCAGAAATCACAATAATGATAAATAAAAAAAGAAAAGAAGTCATGTATATGTATGTACCGTTAAAAAAAAAGAGATAACGTATCTTGTACAAGTAACGTTGCCGACCCGCGCGCGTGCGTTATCACGGGGCTGTGTGCGCGCGCTCTGCCCTCTGCGATTTTTATATATGCATGCAATGTCGTCATCATCTCCTGATCCCGCGCCAACTCGCGGCGCGCGCCCGCCCGCTCGCTCACTCATCTCATTACCGCCTGCAGGTGGTTGGTCCCCAGGCCCACAAACTCAAACATGATGGGGATCAGGGCCGTCGCGAACCAAGCGATCCCTAGCGGGCGAATCCGCGGTCAGCGTTTTTCGTTTCTCCTCCGCGATTGATTCTCTGGTAGGTAGGTTTAAGGGGGGGAAGGGGGGGAAGAGGGAGGGGGGTGGATGACTGTACTCACCAGTGTAGACAACCAACTTCGTAACAACTTCCACGTCATATCTTACTCGCGGTCGGACCAGCCGTGAAAACATCTCCTTCTCCGCCAGCTCCTCGCCCTCCTTATCGAAGCCGCCGCCCGCGGCGCCGTTTTCCCCCACCGGCGTCATGACGACCTCCCCGTCTCCCATCATCTTCTCGTACTCATGCGCGGGGGGCTTCTGCGACCCGGACGCCTGCGCGACCCTGCCCGAGCTGTCCGCGTCCTTCGCCCCAGGGTCCACGGCGCTCGACAGGTCCATGTTGCTGGACTTGCTCTTGAGGCTGTGGTTGCTGCTGATGCTCTCGCGACGCCGCCTCTCGCGGTACGCCAGCGTCTCGTACGCATCTGCCGCGCTCTGCGGCCCGATGGAGACCGACCTGCCTCGCGTGGTAGGGTGGCGGATGCTCTCTACCATGCGCGGGAAGTCGGAGGCCTTGGGGAAGAGCGTGTCGAGCCGCGAGCCCGGAGGCACCGACTTGTATTCGCTGGCTGGAGTAAAGTATCGTCGCGGGAGGTTCCAGCCCACCTGCTCAAGGCCGCGGAACAGGTGAGGTAGCAGTTTCAGGAGGGCCGGTTTCATCGTCTCCCGCCATACGAAGATGACGAGGACGCCAAAGACGATTCTGGCCACATTCTTCCAGAGACCCAGAGCCGAGGTGTCGACCGTGCCGTTGCCGTAAGCATGGGTTTCCCACGGATCTCCGGGAATCTTGCCGTACGTCCACGTCCCGAACTCTAAGCCGATTAGCACGCCGGCAAAGGCAACGCTGTCGTCGAAGCATGGGCAATCGTCGGCGGGTTCAGGGTGGATGCGAACAAACACGATGATGACGAGCATGGCTATGAAAGGAGCCATCCAACCGCTCGAATGCATGTATTCGTCGAGTGGAGGCCCGTAGTAGTACTCGATCCAGCCGATGGCAGCCCCCATGGTCGATCCCACTATGACGTCCATGAAGCCATGCATGCCACAGTACAGGCGGCCAAAGACGATCGAAACGGCGTAGAAGTAGGACACGCCCTCGAGGAGCAGCTTCGTGTTCGGGGCAAACGTGTTTTCGGGGCTTCGCAGGAGGAGAAGCGCATAGACGGCGACGGACACGGCGTTTGCGCTGTGCGTCGAGGGGAAGCCGTACTCGAGCGCGGCCGAACCAGACATCGTAATGCGGTGCAACGGTGGCGAGAGCGGCCGCGGCAACGAGTAAAAGTCCTTGATGAAGCCCGTCCAGAAGACGCCGAGGGCGAGCATGTGGACGAGACTGAGAATGGCGGTCCAATGTCAGCGTCAGGGGGCCACGAACAAGTGTCGCATCGAGTCGACGTACCCTTTCCCAAAGGACGCATTGCCGCACCAAAAGAGCATGGGCAGGCCGATCATGAAGAAGGTATGCGTGCCGAGGTTGGCGGTGATGGCGAAGTAGCTGTCGAGCGCGGGCGTGCGCAGCTTGTCCTGCATCCAGGCGAGATACGGCGTCTCCCAGCGGATCAACGGCAGTGTCTTTTGGCGCACGGCATAGCGCCATCGCGGCAGCGCCCTCTTGTCTGTCGCGCGCAGCATCGAGTCAGCAGCGCCTCAATTGACCGCGAGTCTCGAGGGCCCAGCGCCTGCACCGGGCAACGGCCAACTTACAATGGTCAAGGCTCCTCAACCCCGCGTCTGGGACATCGTCGGGCTTGGGCGGGGCCTCGCGAGGCGGCTGCGCGCCGACGCTCATGGTCGGCTCGTGGAATCGGTTGATGCGACAGCAGTTGCGCGGTGCTGCGGGAGGCGTCAATGGGTTGCGGTGGGAGTCTTGGAGGGTGAGGCCGCCGCCGACATGAGGGCCAGCGGGGGAAGCAGGGTGGAAGGAGTGGACGGGAGGCGACCCGGGACGGACTGGCGAGAGTTGGGAGGAGGATGCCGGACGAGGCATGCAAGGTGTGAAGCGCGAGGTCGTCTTGTGGTCCGGGGTGGGGAGAAATTTAGTGTGTCGCTCCAGGTACCGTCCAGTGCTGTGCTGAGCTGTACCTGCAACGAGGTGTAATTGGAAGCCGAGGCCGCCCGCCAAGACGCTCACGGGCCCCCTCCATAACGGCCCACGATGAGTGGCAGCGGCTGCCTATTGTCCCCTGAAAGTTTGCCGTCCATTGCCCGTCCCCCCATGCCCGGGCTATCACCTCACGTATACCCCCAGTGGCATACATGACCTACCATACGGATGGTAGCATTTCGCAGATCCAAGAAACCGTGTCTTGCAAGGTACGCGGGGCTGTACCCAGTACTCTACACTCCCGTCGCGTCGGGGCCAGGCCAGCCGCCGCTTGCGGGAGCATCGAAATCGCCGGCCCCGGCTCCAGATGCCCATCCTCCCCGCCCAGTGGCCCGTCGACTGCATCACCTGTCAATCAGGGGACTCGTTTTACAGCTGGGGCATATCCTGCAGGCGGGGAGGTCTCCACTGGCCGTCCCGCCGAGCAGCTCGGGGCGAGCAGCATTGACGGGCGCGACGCACGTGTGACGTCGCGGGCGGTGACGACCGAGTGCAATCTGCGACAGCTTCTCGTGGCTCGATGCTCCAGGGCCCCCCGTGACACGGGAGCGAAACACGCGACATGGTGGCCATGCAGTGTCCTCGCACCTCGAGCCTGGTCGCCGGCATGTCGTGCACATTGACCCCTGCGTCTGGCTCACTATCGATGCCAGTGTCTTTGTGCAACGGGACGTTCCTCAAAAAGTACTTGTTTCCCCTTGGTACCTCCTCTTAAACCTACCAAGCTCCCAGAACAACACATTCTTGGCCCAAAGCCAAAATCACGTCTTTCGCCAAGGACAAAGGGGCAGTGCTGTACGGGATGGAGTTTATGCTCTCATCAGGCCCAAGTAACAACTGACAGCTGTTTTGCTGAAGTAGCACCGTCGTGCAACCGCCGTGCAAGCACTCTATGGCGAGCAAGCGCGAAGCCCTTGTGCCTGCCCCACCGGCCGCGACCTCCCCCAAGCTCTCTCAGTGACACGACGCGGCATGCTGAGATCCAAGGTTGCATCTCATCAGTGACAGGCGACCAACTCAGTCGCGAACCACCAGCTCTCCCTTCGCTGCCCGCCCTCCGTCGTCCAGTCCACCCCCAGCGCAATGACGACCCTGCGCCTCGCCGGCAAGCACTGCGCCGTCGTAGGCGCGACCGGCATCATCGGCGCCCAGATAGCCAAGGCCTTCGCCTCCCACGGCGCCGTCGTCTCCCTCCTCGGCCGCTCCGCCCTCCAGGCTCGCCCCAAGCTCGAAGCCGAGCTGGCCCCGTACTCACCTCCGTCGCCGGCCCCATCCTCGTCCCCGGATAACGCTCCCGCGCCATCGGACGTGCCGGCCGCGCACCGCTTCCTCCGCCTGGACGTCTCGGACCCGGCCGACATCAAGAGCGTCTTTGGCGGACGTGGCGCCGCTGGCTCCCAGGTAGATTGCTCCGTGACTGACGTGGGTGGGCTTTGCGGTAGCTGACTGCGTGCTCCAGCCAAGTAATGGCGAGGCTGTTGGGCCCGTCGATATTCTCGTCAACTGCGCGGGAATCTCGCAGACGACCCTGCTCAAGCGGACCCCTGACCCGGAGCTCGCTTCCATAGTCGACACGAACCTGCTTGCCCCCATGCTGGTTTGCAAGTATGCCAGGATAAGGCCGAATGGTGCGGATTTCACCCCCATCCGTCCAGCCCGGGTACTCGTCTGACAGGCAGGCATTTAGGATGCATCATCAACGTCTCGAGCCTCATGGCCACCAAGGGCGATCTCGGCGTCACAGCCTATGCGGCCTCCAAGGCTGGTCTTATTGGTGCGTACACTCTCGTCCATCAGAATCGTTCATCATTCCTACATGGCAACATGGCTACCCTTGTGCTCCCGCCTCCAATCCTATTTGTACATGTATATAGCAGCTCGCTCACGTGCGCCTTCTAGGACTCACGCGAGCCCTGTGTCGCGAAATGGCCGCCCGATCTATCCGCGTCAATGCCCTCCTACCAGGATGGGTCAAGAGCCCAATGTGGGATCGTGAGTACCCCCTCTAACAGTACCCATCGTTGCTCCTCGCCTGAATCCCTTTCGCACGAAAATACCCCCAAGACATGGCAAAGCTGATAGGTCTCCAAAACAGACCTAAAGCCGGATCTCAAGGAGGCATATCTTCGAGATACGCCCCTCAACCGTGTCGCGGATCCTGCCGAGGTTGCCGATGCGGCCATCTTTTTGGCCTCAAACGGCTTTGCAAACAACTGCGTTCTCAATCTCGACGGAGGTCTGAGCGCAGCCTGAGCGCCCCGAATTCCCATCGTAACCCAGAGCCAATTTTTAGTCGTCAATGACGATGGCGCCACCGGCATCCTCCACAAGGACGACATCGTCTGCCGACGAGTCACCGGTCTTAGCCTTTTTGCTAGGCTGGTTGTCGTCTCCGGGATGCGCTCTCTTGAGGCTCTTTTGCTCAACCTCAGCCACATCGTCGAGCGCATGCTTTCCGTTCTGAGCAGTGCCGTTGGCTTCTGCCGGGGGCAGCTGCTTGGCCTTTCGAGGGATGTCCGGACGATCTGTCAACAAGGATTTGACCGGCTTTTCGTCATAATCAGAGGCCCTGGGCTCTGTTAGTTCGACCATTGTCACACTCGGGCCGTTTATGAGGACATACTCTTCCTGGATATCGATGACAACGTTCACGAATGGTTCATCGTCGTCATCGTCCATGATGGTCAGGAAACTGGAGCCATTGACGCCTGTAATCCGTGAGCCCATGGACCTTACGTGGGGGTAATATAGGATGCTGTGGACTTACCGAGCTCAGAGAGCTTCTTTGGGAGGTTCTCCGTTTCATCGGCATCGTACAGAATGCCGACTTCATTGCTGACGACAAATTCCCTCTCACCGAAGCCGAGCCTATCCTTGACGATATCCTCAACCACATCGTTGAGTGTCGCACGCTTGAAGTCGACGGTAATTCCAGTGTTGAAAACACCACAAACCGGGCAGCTGGGGTTCGGATTCCGAGACTTGTCAGGGGCGAGCAGTCTCGCGGCGGCAAAAGGTGTCAGGAACACCTGCGACACGTCAGTTTGGAAGGCAGAAGTTCAGGGTTGGTAGACTCACCTCCTTCGAATGGCCATAGTCTCCTTTCAGGACCTTGAAAGACTCCAGGACGCAGAGTCCGGCCACGATGGCATTGGTAGTCGCAATGGCCGGGATGATGTTTCCTGCCATCTGCTTAATGTCGAACCGCGACTTGCGGTCGATGCCGAATATCGTTGAGCGAATATTAGCGCTCGAGGCGACGAAGTCGAGTGTGTCTTCGTCGTCTTTGTCAAAGGTGATTATGGGGTCCGTGGCCGCAGGTTCCTTGGCCTTCTTCAGCTGGAGCATCCGCTTGCTAAGCCGGTCCAGGCTATCTCTGAATACGACCAGGCTTTCCTCGAGCGACCACACCTTCTGGTCGTCTTTCAAGACATCGTCCTTTGCTGACAGCGCATCGCTTGCCTGGGACAGCAGCTTCTCGTATTTGAGCGGCTCGGGTCGGCGGCGCAACTTCCACATGTCCTCCACAGACCGGAGGCGCTCAACGTCTGCGTCAAAGACTTTGTCGAAGAGCATCTGCGGGAAGGCATCTGTCCCGACGGCCTCTCGAATCTTTTTGAGTTGCTCGGACTCCTTCTTGAGCTCTGCAATCTCCTCGGCTGTCGGTGGATTAGCATTCAAGCTTCCTCACTGTGCACGCAGCTTCCGACGTACCATTGTCCGCGTCAGCTGAATGGTCGAAAGCCGACTCGTCTTCACTAGCCCCGAATATTTCGCTACCAGTCTGATTAGCATTACAAGCATCATCGCAGAGGCAAAGCACTCACTTCAGGAGGTAACTCTTGCCCCAAACAATACAGTGAATGGGCTGGCTTGGCGTGCTCCGAATCGTGCAGACGGGAAATGTCTTTGGAGTCTCCTTGGGGCTGCAGTCATAACAGGCCGTGAGGCCCTTCTTGATCACCTGCACCTGACCATTGAAGCCAGTGGTACCGCTCTCGATCAAAGGCACGCCAGCCGCGAGGCACATTTTGTTCACATGTCGTCTCGCCTCGAGATTGTCGAGGGCGTTGAAGACTATCTTGAATCCTCGAAACCACGACACGGTGAACTCGGAGTCTTTTATGTTCGCGTGATGGGCGACAATCTGGGCGTTGGGATTGAACTTTTGTGCCGCTTCCTTGGCGACCTGAGGTACCCGTCAGCTGGTCCGAACTAAAGCTAAAGACGGAAGGCAACTCACCAGGGCTTTGGACTTCTTGATGTGCTCTTGACGGAAGAGGAATTGGCGGTTGAGGTTGGACAGGTCGATAGTGTCCAGATCCACGACATGTATTTTGCCAAAGCCGCTGAGGACCAGGTTCTTGAGCAGTTCGCAGCCGATGCCGCCGGCGCCGACCATGAGTACTCGAGCCTGTAGAGGGATTGGATGGTCAGTTCGATCCGACGATCAGCGAGAGCACACGCCGGCAGCGACGCGCTCTGGGGTTGGGGGACGCACCTGTTTCACCGACGAGTTCAGCGACACGCCGAGCGATTGGTGGTTGAATCTGTCGCGCGCCATGATCCTTGGCCGCTGCTGAAGAGACGGCTTCGGCGTATTGCTCGTGCTCGTGCTCGTGCTCTCGCTCGATGGGAGCTGGGGTTGTGGCGGCGGCTGTTGTTTCTCTTCGCGTGACTGTTGTTGCGGGAGGTCGGAAGAGGGAGCCGTGGTGGTGGGAGTGGGAGTGGTCTTGTCCGTGGCCGTGTTCGCAGTTGCTGGAGCAGCTGCTGCGCTGTTCCCAAGGTCGGCCGGGACAGCTGCGAGGGTCGGCGCGGGAACAGGCGCACTCGCACTCGCAGGCGCAGGCGCGGCCGATGCGGCTGCGGGAGCCGCAGCTGCAGGCTTTGTGCTCTCTGCTGCGTCCCCCGACTCCATCGCCTGTTATTGGTCGTCGAATTGGAGGGGAACGAGGGTGCGAGGGAGCCGCTGGGGGATCGGAGGGGGAGCGATGGACGGTGTTGGAGAGGTGAAGAGAACGGCTCTGAAGGCCGCTGAGCGAGTGCAGTGAAGGACGAAGGCTGCGGCTGATGCATCGCAAGCTCGCGACCAATTGCATGAGGTCAGCGGCTCAGGGATCCGGCATCCGAGGCGAGTGCAGCGGGCGGCCCGCATTTCATTGGCCGCCTCGCCATTGACTTCGATAGTGGGGCCTGTGCAGGCACTGGACGCGCGCCCTGGGCGGTTGTTTGCAGCGCCCGGTGCAGCAGCTCCCCAGGGTGGCCTGGGTGGTCATGCCACTGCCAGGTCCGCAGTCGCACAGGCAGGCCCCAGATAACATCCCACGCCGGGCAGTCAATGTAATGGCTCCATGGATGCCAAAGGCAGAGCGTTGAAACGCTGGAGGGTGTGTATACCAATGGGGCCTGCAGGAGCAATGCGTCAACCTCGCATTGTTGATAATTCTCCGAAACGAAACCCCTCTGCCTTGTCCCTTGTCTAAGGCCAGAAGTAGAAGTCCAGGTGTCTGCCGCCCCTAGGTACGGGGATCAGGGTCTCACAGCGCGTGCCAAAGGCCGCCTAAGCAGCAGCCAGTGAACTCCCGCAGTACCTCCACTGTCCCAATCGGCTCCCAAGTCCTCGGGAAGGCCCAACTGCCGACTCCATATTTACACCAATCTGGAGCAGCCACCCTGCAAGCTCCATGATCTGAAGGCGTAGATTGAAGAAGCTTGATCCAGTCCAAGGTCCGAGTGCCGCGCATTGCCATTTGTCTTGAGGCGCAGGCACCAAGGACAAGACAACCAACTGCAACATGTCGGACGACGAGGCGGACCCTGAGCTTCTGGCTCTCCTGCGCCAACACCTCCAAGGCAAGCCCGCCGTCGAGGACGAGCCCGAGACGGGCGTGCTCGAAGGCGCAGAATTCGTCTACGACCATGGCATCGACGTGGCCATCGACATGCGGGCCACCAAGAACGCCGCCGAGAGCATCTACAACCAGATGCAGGAGAAGAGCTTTTCGACGGCCTCTTGGTCAGAGCATGAGCTGCACCCCAAGGCCAAGGACGAGGCTACCGTCGCCTTCATCTTCACCATGGACCTGCTGAACTTTTCGTTCTGGTCCGAGCTGCCCGACGATGAGAGATTCGCCATTGAGTATCGCGGAAAGAGATGGACGGGGTACTGGAGCCTCGTTGCTGCGCTGCAAAGAGCGCTTGATGATGGTGAACCTTACCGTATTGGATGGATACGACTCGACTTCTAACATCGGAGTGCAGACATTCCGATCACCGACCCGCACTTTTGGCAGAGCGAGGACGAGTGCAACCTCGAGTCGCTGCGGCACATCTTTCGCTCTTGCACGGAGGAAGGGATGCCGCTGCTAGAAGAGCGCCTTGAATGCTTGAGAGAGAGCGGCCGGGTTCTTTACGAGGTATTTCATGTTCTCTGTTTGCTTCTCTGTGATAAGGATTCTGACGTCGGCCAGCGGTACGAATGCTCCGTCACCAACCTCATCGCCTCGGCAGACGGCTCCGCCGCACGCCTGGTCAATATCTTGGCCCGGGACTTCTCGTGCTTCCGGGACGAGCATTCCTTCCCGGGCAGAGAGAAACCCATAAGGCTGCTGAAGCGGGCCCAGATCTTGGTTGCGGACCTCTGGGCCTGCTTCCAAGGCGAATCCTACGGCACGTTCCGCGACATTGACAAGATCACCATGTTTGCCGACTACCGGGTGCCGCAAATACTAATCTCTCTCGGTGCGCTCTACTGCAGTCCGTCTGTGGCCACGGCAATCAAGGACAAGCAGCTGCTGAAGAGCGGCAGCAGCTGGGAAGTGCAATTGAGAGGTGAGTTGGCCGTGCTCGAGCAACCCCATGGCCGACTGCTAATCTGCTGTTAAAGCATGCAGTATATGGTGCGTGGAGCTGATCCGGAGAGAAATCCGGAGGCATCATCCCAACACTCATGTGAATGCCATTTTGATAGACTTCTTCTTGTACGACAAGATGAAGGAACTAGAAGCAGAGGGGAAAGAGGCGTTCCCTCATCACAGGACGAGAAGCATATGGTACTAGACGGACCAGAATCCCGATTTCATGGCCTCGCAGCGTCGGCGTGTACGGCCGAATAAAGTGTATTTCACGTCACTTCGTACAAATCCTGCCGACTGTAGCGACCAAACAAACCCAACCAAAACGCCAGAGCTCAAACAGATCATGAAGCAAGCCAAAAGTCTGCACGCATAAGCGTTCATGCACCAACCGCGATCGAGTTCAGAATGTGATCAATCTGCGCCGTCTCGACCCCCTTGGTGCCCTTGCGCTCCTCTTTCAGCAGCACGGCAAGCACCTCGATCGGAGGGTTGAGGCCCAGACGCTCTGCCCTCTGCCACCGCTTCATGCGGGCGATTCCCACACAAGGCTAGGTGCCATGCGGTCAGCGAACGGTGCGCAACACTGAATTGCAGATGGAATACTTACTCCGTATTGCGAGCTCACGTCAAAGTACCGCAGGACCTTCTCGCTGGTGTCGAGTCCCTCCTGATGTACCCGCGGCGATTTGCGCTGGCCCTCGACGCCCTTCCAGTACTTGTTGATCTGCGCATCGGTGATCTTCTCCGCCCGTATCTCGGCCTCGGACTTTTGCGGCTCGTCTTGCTGCGGCGCCTCGACCTCGGCCTCCGCTTCGTCTTGGTCAAGGGTTACGTCGGGGACGATGTCCTCGACCTCTTCCTCGGCTGGCGAAGCCGCCCGTTCCGGCTCAGGGACCTTGACGACAGCGGGAGCGGCGGCGACGACGTTCTTCTTTGCGTCCTTGGGCACGCTCTTGGTCACCCGGTTGGAGAAGCTGATGGTCGACTGGCCCTTTGCCGGGCCTGGGCGTGCGCGGGCGCCGCCTGTGGAGCGTCGGGTGGTCGGCATGGTGGGCGGGCGAGGAGTGTTGAATGGCGCGGGCAATGAATGATGCGCTATAGATTTATCTCTTCAGGTGAATGAATTGCTAAAGCGTTTGTGTATGGAGTAAAGGACGGTGATTGTGCATCGAGGTTAACGGATTCCTGGGGCTGAAGGGCCGGTTGGGGCTCGCTGCGGCCTATGACGGAGGAAGCGACACAAGCCATTTGGCGGGGCAACGCGACATTGGAACGACGTCACGTGATATACTCTTGCTCACATCGCTCACTGAGCACCATGACAGACATGCACAATACCTGAAGCATCTTGTCGAAGTGCCGAATCGTATAATGAATGTTCATCATGATTGAAAAGACTTAGGTCCTCTCTTATGCCTGGCACCTGCTTATCACGTGGCGCAGTCATATCAAGGCTAAGTGAATGGTCTTGCAAAGTTACCATGGCATGTCGCTGGTGGCGTGCTACCGATACAAGCGAAGAGCATTGCATTCAGAAAGTGTCCAGATGCCGATACGCGGGTGTATTTTTATGTCTTCTTTATTGGGATCTATATCTCAGCTGCTCTGCGCCTCAACTATCCGTTATGACCATCGTCGGATCGCAACGAAATGGGCGACATGTCTAAGCCGTAGGGGAACTACATGCATGGCTAGAGCTAGAGACCTAAAGCCATAGAGTTCACAGTCCTGTCATCCATTAGTGAGGCTTATCACGTGCGTAGGAAACACTCAGCAAACGCTGATTGGCATATGGGACACGATATACACTCCCACCGTAATTTGACTGACTTGGTGGCTGAGAATTGACAGGGTCGATGCGATGCTCAAGATATTACATTTCATGAGCAGCACGCAATAGCATAGTCGTTTCTATATATCATCTGGAACCGAGGCTTCGAGCTATTGCCTGCAGGTTCAATGGCAGCACGTTTTGCCCAAGGTACCGCAACACATCCGCCGCTCTCAACCTCCAGTCGCCTCCCTGTAGAAAGACAAGCTCCTGTGAGCGCCGGCTGTACAAAACATCTCGCTCTTCCCCGTCTTCGGCAGCCACCTCACGGCCCAGAGCGCCTTGTCCGTCTCGCTGTGCGTCGCGACGCAGGCGCTGCGCTCGATGGACCACACCTTGACCTTGCCGTCCATCGAGCCGGTGAGAAGAAACTCTCCCGTGTCGCTCCAGTCGAGCGAGGTGATCCACGACGAGTGGCCTGTCAGGTTGCCCACGTGCTCGCCGTGCTTCATGTCGTAGAGAGCGATGATGCCCGCGTCACCGGCCGCGGCGAGTCGCGTGCTGCCCGGCGAGAAGGCTACTGCTCGTACCGGCTTTGCTAGACCTAGACGATTATGTTGGCCTATAGTCTGAATACAGGATAAGAGGACCAACTCACCCGTAAGGGAGTACAGAATTCGCCCTGTATCGTTGTTGAAAATGTAGACGGCGCCGCTCTGATGACCGCTGGCGGTGTATTTCCCGTCTCTGCTGAGGTCGACGGACATGCCGAAGCTCCCCGAGCCGGCACTACCGGTCTCGTACTCCTGGATCTTGGACTTTTTCTCGTCGCGGATGTCCCAGACGTTTATCCGCCCATCGTTAGTCGTGGTGGCGAGGTAGCCGCCATCCTCGCTGAGGGCCAGCGCCCACACCTCGCCGGGCTTGGCCGACGACCCCGCGAGCTCACCGTCGCTGCGCCAGTCGCCCGTGTCCTGGTCCAGCGACCAGAGCTTGACCTCCCCGCCGAAGCCGGCGCTGGCGGCGACCTTGCCGTTCCTCGACGTGCAGACGTGGTGGCAGCCCAGCTTGTGGGCGTCGGAAAGCGACTGCCTCAGCGGGAACGCGGGGTCTGTGGTGTCATGCACGTGCAGCGTCGACGAGCCGCTCGCTGAGAGAACGGCTCTTGGTGTCGTCGCCAGGGAGAAGATGTCTGTGATGTGGGCTGCAGGCGATACGCTGGGTCAGCTTGAGAAGTCACGCTGCGGCTAGGGCCGCGGGGTAAAAATTCGGTGTCTGACCGTCGTCCACGGTATGCGTGGTCAGATACTGCTTAGACTTTGAATCCCCGTCAGCATTTTGAATATTTCCAAGTGTGCGGGAGCCGTTACCATCCTGGCTTGTCCGCAGCGTGCGGCGGGTGTTGGTGCTGTGGTGGTTGAGAAGGACAGAGCGTCACCCTTGGTGGGGTTTTCCAACGTCACGATCTTGGGTCGCGCGCGCAGACAGGACTACCTCACCGACAGACGACGTCGCAATCAGGAGCAGAATGCTGCAAGTCCAGACTACAGATTTTCTATGCAAATTATGCAAATCAGACGCAGGAGCAAGGGGTTGGACAGCTCTGGTGTTACACAAGGGAAGCTGTCATTCACGCAGGCAATTGCGGCGTCGTGGAATGGTACGTCTCAATTCGTCGACGCATCGTTCCTCCATCTATAATGATATACACAGCTCGACCGAGCCAAACGCCGACCGAATGCATGAGCTGACGCAGACATGATATACACAAATTTTGATACAACACTGAGGTCCCTGCCTCCACCTCCACATCCTTAGAACGGCTTGTCCGTCGGGTAGTCCTCGCGCCATATCCTCTTCATGTCTAGAATCACGTTAGCAATTGCAAAGCACATCGTTGTTCGCTTTGCGGCGCGATTACGCCGTACCTTCAAGACATCTTTGGCATAGCCGGTGCGTCCTCTTGGTCTCTCCGCAGCCGGGGCACTTGCACAGGTTGTTGACGTCCTTGAGCGCCTTGCCCGCCATTTGCCTGTGTCGCTTCCGGGAATGAGACACCTTGTTCTTCGGCACTGCGCGCAGCACTGACTCCCAGATGTCGTCCAGAGTGGGCAGGTTGAGGCTGACGCCGGGGATGGCGATGGCGAGGGACGGGAGGAAGCTCGGGCTGACGACCCGGCTGTAGAGTGTCGCCCAGCGCGAGGTCGCGAGGACACTGGGAGAGGACAGTCGAGAGACGACTGAAGTTGCTATTGCGGCCATCGTGGACAGTGCTCCTCTCGAAGCTTGTTCCTCAACCTCGGTGCGATTCAAGGTCGTCCCGGACGGGATTCGATCGGTCGCGCGACTGGTGGTATCGTGTCTGGGTTCGGCACCGCGGGCGGCTCAATCGGTTCGGAATAACGCAGCGGCTCACGGGTGACCGTAGCGGCGGCCTTCTTCGCGCAATGGCGTGCGATGCGGTGTCGAGAGGCGTCGTTTCGTTTTTTTGATGCCGTTGAGACAACGGCAAATTCGCGTGACGGACCATCATCCAAAAGTCTGTCCGCGAGCTTCCCATGCCGGCCAATCACGGGCGCACAACGCACGGACTGTGGGTTGGCCAATGGCCAGCTCCAAAAGCAAGTGCCCAAGGCCCGCCCCTTCCCCCCTTTCTCGGTCCCTGCACTCCCCTGCACCTGCCTCTGGCGAGCGAAATTATGGCTGGCAATTGGCAGGGGCGGGGCGGCGCTGGCCAACTCAACTCGGCTTGTGCCCCAGGCCCAGGTCCCCAAGCCAAAAAGTCACCCCTTCTTTGGCCCGACCTGTCCTGACCTGCTTGTTCATCGGCGCCGCGCTCCCCAGAACCTCAACTCTCGTTTGCCATCCCCAGCTCAACCACGCCCGTTGCGTCTGCGTCCCTTTGCGTGTCGTCGCGTGCGAGCCCCGTCCCTCATCCTGCAGGCCTAGCTCAGCTTCCCTTTCTTGGAATCGGGCAGAGATACGGCATCTCAGCTTCATCAATCCGCAGCCCCTTTCGTGGTCCCCTTTAGCCGGACCGCCACCCATCGTCCGACAGTCAAGATGGCCACCATGCCTGCGAGCACCATCGTCCCCAAGAGCCACGTCGGTTTCGACAGCATCACGTCTCAGATCGAGAAGAAGCTGTTGAAGCGGGGTTTCCAGTTCAATGTCATCTGCGTTGGTATGTTCGGCGACCCCTCCGGCGACTCAAATGGACGACGTGCTCCGCCCACCCCCCGCCGGCTCTTGCACGAGCTGCGTTCACTGACATTCTGTCTCCTGCAGGCCAGACCGGTCTGGGAAAGTCGACCCTGATCAACACCATCTTCGCTTCGCACCTCATCGACTCCAAGGGTCGTCTGCAGCCCGAGGAGCCCATCCGCTCCACCACCGAGATCCAGGCCGTGTCCCACATCATCGAGGAGAACGGCGTCCGGCTGAGGCTCAACATTGTCGACACCCCCGGCTATGGCGACCTTGTCAACAACGACCGATGCTGGGACCCCATTGTCAAGTACATCAAGGACCAGCACTCTGCGTACCTGCGAAAGGAGCTCACTGCTCAGCGCGAGCGCTACATCCAGGACACTCGCATCCACTGCTGCCTGTTCTTCATCCAGCCTTCCGGCCACTCCCTGAAGCCTATTGACATTGTTGTCCTGAAGAAGCTCTCGGACGTAGTCAATGTCGTGCCTGTCATCGCCAAGGCAGATACCCTCACTGTCGAGGAGCGCCGCGACTTCAAGGAGCGCATCAAGGAGGAGTTTGCCTTCCACAACCTCAAGATGTTCCCGTATGACAACGAGGAGTTTGACGACGAGGAGCGCGCTCTGAATGGCCAGATCAAGGTATGGAATAGCCCTGTTCTGCTGACTGCCTTATTTGAGTCTAACCCCCAAGCAGAGCCTCGTGCCCTTCGCCGTTGTTGGGTCGGAGAAGTCCATCATTGTCGACGGCAAGCAGGTCCGCGGCCGCCAGAACCGATGGGGCGTCATCAACGTTGAGGACGAGAACCACTGCGAATTTGTCTACCTGCGCAACTTCCTGCTGCGAACCCACCTCCAGGATCTCATCGAGACGACCTCTCAGACTCACTACGAGACCTTCCGTGCCAAGCAGCTGCTGGCCCTGAAGGAGAGCAGCGCACACGGCGGTGGTGCTAGCAGCCGACCCATCAGCCCTGCCGCTGACCGGGAGCTGAGCCGCAACTCGCAACGAATGGCCATGAACGGGTACTAGGCAGATCTTTGATAATGGTGCTTGTTCTTGCGAGGGAGCAACGGCGTGGCTGGACCGCTAGGAAGGGGGTGCACCAGACCGTTTCCCTAACGAAGTCGACATCCGTCACGGAACGGAGCAGACGGCAGTAATATACCAGGTCTGGGAAGGGAGACCATTCTTTGCGTGGCGATCCGACTCATGACTGATCCCAAAAGCCTTTTGTTCGTCGAGCCATGGTGGAGGGGGCACCGGAGCGGGCCATGCGCAGTCGAGGCGACGAGGCTGACTGACTGGCGGCAAGGAGAGCATGGCCAGTGTGTTGAGCGGATTTGTTTGAGCCGGATTCCGAGGCTTTCTGGGGTCTGCCGCATTACAGTGGTTGGCTGTATGTTTTTTGCACGCGATTCAATTTGTCTTTACTAGCCCACACAGCCTCCGAGCTCTTCTTTACCATTTCCCCCTATCTTATAATCAGGCCGCTTGCCTCGTACTGTAATACGACTAGAGTCGGTTTGTCACGTCGTGAAAGGTGACTGCGTGTAGGGCACGAGATGTAGGGGGGAGACCACTTTCACGTGTGCGGCTCGTCATGAGTATCGTATGTGCGCAGAGTACTCCGTGTGCGGCTGAACCGGTGCGGAAGAACGCCGCGGTGTACGCTCAAATGTTCATTGTGGAAATGCCGCCATATGCGAGCCCACGTCACCGTCTATCTAGTTGGTCGTATATCATGATTCATTCATGCGTCGAGGGGCTTGTAGACAAAGTCCTCAAACTCCTTGTAAGCCTTCTCGAGATCGTCGTTGACGATGATGAGGTCGTGGACGCCGGGCGTCTTGGAGTACTCGAGCTCGTTCTTGGCCTGGGCCAGGCGCTTCTGGATGCTCTCCTCCTTTTCGGTTCCGCGGCCGCGGAGGCGCGACTCGAGGGTCTCGAAAGACGGCGGCGAGATGAAGACGTAGCGGGCCGGGAAGTCGGACTGCTTGATTTGTTTCACGCCCTGCGCGCAGGGCGCCGTCAGCATTCGCGGCACACGCAGCACGGGGTCAATGGGCCCAATGGGGGAGCAGAGAGCGAGAGCGCACCTCCATCTCAATGTCGAGCAAGACGACCTTGCCCTTCTTGGTCTGCTCCTCAATGGTCATCTTGCTGGTGCCGTAGCGGTTGCCGCCAAACTTTGCGTGCTCGACGAAGCCGTCGCGGCCGATGAGGTCCTCGAAGTGGTCCATGGGGACGAAGTGATAGTGGACGCCATCCTGCTCGCCGTCGCGGGGGGAGCGCGTGGTGTGCGAGACGGACAGGGTGAAGGTCTCGGGGTGGCGCTGGAAGAGCAGGTTGTAGAGGGTTCCCTTGCCGACGCCCGAGGGGCCTGAGACGACAATGGGGCGGTTATCGGGGGGAACTGTAGCAGCGGCAAACCGCGGGTCAGCGTGTTTCGTTTCCCCTCTCTCATATCTCGCACGTCTTGAACTATGCGGGTGCGCATTCAGGAGGATGGGGCAGTGGGGGAGAACGCACGGGTGGCCATTCTACGAAGGAAGCGAGTGGTCGGAGACCGGGCGAATGGCGCGACGGAGTGGGAGAGTCGAGGAATGGCGGCCGAGAGGCGTGGGAGCATGGACGACGGGGCGATGTCGATCGAGGTGTTGAGAAGACGAGACGAAAGAAACACTTTTGGGGGTTCTGCCGCCGTCAGGAGGGGCACGCACCTCAGTCAGTCGCAAGCGCTTGGAGGGTGGGCGCCACAGCGACCGTGACCGGCGAGTGGCGGCAAGATTGAAACCGGCAGGCGGTGGAGGGGCGCGTTTGGTGGCGCGGGTGTGCCCGTGGGCAGGTGACCGTGCAGCGCTGCCCCTGGCCCAATGCGCGAGCATTCGTTCAAGCACGGCGCACTTGACCGACTAGGTAGCCGGCGTCGTCCATTAATTTCCCCGGCACGCAGGTTACGAGCACACAAAAGAGGGATCAATTTATCAAGCGAAATGTGAAGCGCTTGTGCGCGCCGTCCTTTGTTTCTCTACGCGACAAAGCGGTCGGGCTCGTTTCGGGCTCACCGCAGAGGCGAGGGCATCGCGGAGGCAGTAAGGTGCGTAACATGGGGCGCAAAACGTGGCGGCCGCCTGCTCTCCGTCTCAAGGTTTCGGGTCAAGGGGGGGAACGAAGCGGGTTGTGTGTTTCGCGAACCATTCACGTTCATTGCATCAACACAAGGACTTGGAATGGGGGAGCCAAGGTTTGAACAGGACAGCTCGACGAGCGGGCATGGAAAGGGACCGGGGCTGAAGCGCAATGCATGACCTGCGAGGACCGTGGGTCCTCCTTGGCATATTGAAGCCCGTCGCATGTTCCTCGCTGCTGCCCACGGACGGAGGGGTGTTGTTGCAGCGTAATAACCGGTTTGGCAGCTGATACGAGACCTTGGAACCAAGCTCTGGGACAATGAGCACGAGCACGAGCATGAGCATGAGCATTGATGATGAGCGCAAATGTCTCACATTCGGGCAAGAATGAGGGGCCCAGCCATCCAGCCCGCTCGCCTGTCAGTTCATCCCCATCGCTCTGCGTCTATTCGTCTACTTGTACGAAAGAGACGAAGTTGCGGGAGGAGAAGCATCGTGGTGATACGAGAATTATTAGCGCCGTCCTCTGCGTCTCGCCCGAGGTCAGGCACCGTCGCGCCGGCCGAGGAGACGCTGGCATGGTGGCTTGACTGGATGGCATGGCTCGCTGCTGGAGCTGGTGCTGCTCGCGAGAGTGAGCGGTTCCTGACGCTAGGGCTGCGGGAGAGTCGGCCAAATTGTCTGGATAGGCAATGGTTCCAGGGCGGACCAGGGGCCGCAGAGTGGTCTGGGTGGTCTGGCCGCCAGCCCCAGCTTTCCTACTTGAGAGAGTGGGCTGCAAGATTGACAGGGGCCGTCAAGGATGGCGTGGGTGGGTGGCCTGTGGATTGGGGGACCTGCAGGACCTGCCAAGAGGCGCGCTGGAATCCCCGGCCCACGTTTCGCAGGGACCGAAACGGCCCCAGCGAGAGTGAGTGAGTGAAAGATGGAGCGAGCGAGCAGGCGAGTGAGTGAAGAGGGAGTGATGGTCTGTGTGCATGGGCCCGAATTTGGCGCCATCGTCACCTGCCTCTGGTCCTCTGTCCGTTACAGTGGTTAGGTAGTTATTCAACACCGGGGTCGCCCACTCCCGTCCTCGACCGTCCACCGCGCTTGCTCTCCTCCTCCTCTTCCCGCGCGCCGTGCTGTTTCCACAACCGCGAAGCCAACTTCGTGCGCTCCTTCCTCAAGGATATTCGCTTCCTGTCGCTCCTTCAGACATCCGACTGGCGCTCTCACACTCACTCACTCTGTCTCTCGCTGTGCGCCGCGCCCCTTGGCCTGCTACAACCTTTCTCCCCGTAATCCACACAGCGACAAGTCGCTTCTCAGCGCGCGAATCGCGACTCCTCGACGCCCTTGCTCGATCGCCCTGCCCGCTTCGTAACCGAGGGCCCTGCATCGCGACGCGAACCCGTCTTTTTTGTCGATCCCGGGCTGCTTGTTCCGTCAGCCATGCTTGTAGGTGATCCCCCAGGTTGGGGGCCGTTCCTCCCCGCCGGTGCGCCGCCGCCAAGGGCTGTGTTACACTATCTCGACATTTACTGATCGGCCGCCCCCTCGCCAGTTCAAATCGCTCCTCGTGGCGCTCGCCGCCACGTTGGTCACCGCCGTCCCCTCGCTCGAGGTCAAGGGCACCGACTTCGTCAACCCTGACACGGGCAAGAAGTTCCAGATCGTTGGTATTGCCTACCAGCCTGGCGGCAGCGCGGGCTACGACCCAACGACCGGCAAGGATCCTCTCAGCCATGCCGACACCTGCTTGCGCGACGCTGCTCTGATGCAGGTCATTGGTGTCAACACTATTCGTGTCTACAACCTGGACCCCTACATCAACCACGACGAGTGCGCCAGCATCTTCAATGCTGTAAGTGACGAATCGAGGAACCCCTCTCAATCTGGCTGACTTGCGTGCAGGCCGGCATCTACATGATCATCGACGTCAACTCTCCCCTCGTTGGCGAGGCTATCACCTCGTTTGAGCCGTGGACCAGCTACTACGCCGCCTACCTGAACCACACCTTTGCCGTCGTCGAGGCCTTCTCCAACTACCCCAACACGCTCCTCTACTTCTCGGGCAACGAGGTCATCAATGACCTTCCCTCGGCCAAGGAGGTGCCCCCGTATCTCCGCGCCATCACCCGTGACATCAAGAACTACATCAAGAAGAACATCAAGCGCGCCATCCCCGTCGGCTACTCGGCCGCCGACGTCCGCGAGGTTCTTTGGGACACTTGGAACTACATGCAGTGCTCTGAGAAGGGCGAGAAGGATGACATGAGCCGTGCCGACATCTTCGCCCTCAACTCGTACAGCTGGTGCGGCATCAAGGCCACCTACGAAAGCTCCTCCTTCAAGGAGTTGACCGACAAGTTCAAGGACACGTCCGTGCCCGTCTTCTTCAGCGAGTACGGCTGCAACACGCCGCAGCCTCGATACTGGAACGAGACGCTGGCTATTTACGGAGACAAGATGACCCCCGTCTTCTCCGGCGGCGTCGTCTACCAGTGGACTGAGGAGGAGAACAACTACGGCCTCGTTGAGATCAAGGACAACACTCTCACCATCATGGATGACTACAACCGTCTCAAGGCTCGGTGGGCCGGCATCGACTGGAAGACTGTCCAGGCGCAGAGCTCCAGCAACAAGAAGGTGTCGCCGCCCGAATGCGAGAGCAACCTTATCATGGAGAAGGGCTTCAAAAGCAACTTCACCCTCCCAGAGCTTCCCCCCGGCGCCCAGAAGCTCATTGACAACGGCGTCACGCCCAAGCCCAGCGGCAAGATTGTCAAGATTTCGGACTACAACGTCAAGCTGACAGTCAAGGACAAGGGCGGCAAGACTCTGTCGGGCCTCAAGGTTGTTCCCCTCAAGGATGATGAGTTCAACTGGGCTGGCAAGAACAAGGCCGAGACTGGCAGCGCCAGCGGCTCCGACAACAGCACCAGCGACAGTGGCAAGAGCGGCAAGAGCGACGACAAGAAGGACGCTGCCGACCTGACTCGGCCGATGATGTGGGCCGTCGCGCTGCCCCTGGCTGTCATGATGATGTTTGCTTGAGCTTGGCTTGACTTGACGTAATGGTGGCTGTTGTTGTATGGGATGATGGGGCATGCTTCTTGTAGATGTGTTGCTCTAGTGCCGTAGATATCGCATTTAAGACCTCGAGCTTTGCGCTGCTTTCACCCACCCCCCGCGTTGCCGGCACTCGCCTGTCGACCAAGAACCGTGGCCAAATAAATCGATCTCGCAAAACGTCAAGACTGCCCGTCTAAGTGAGCGCCTCATAGTGCCCCACAATGTGAATATCAAATGTTCCGTCAGCTGAAGCGTCAACTTCAACACATGCTTGCGCTTTACTTGGGCCCCCTTCCCGCAACAGCGGCCCCCTTCCTAGACCCCTTGGTCTCTTCGGCACGCGATTTGCTCGCCCGGTGTTTTTCTGCGCCGCCACTCGAGTCCTTGGCTGTACTCGTCTCAGCACTGTGCCTCTTTTGGCCACTCCGTTTGCTAGCCTGGGAGGGAACCTTGCTGTCAGGCTTCCGTTCAAACGCGCGGGACGTACCAGCGGCAGTTTCTTGATGGGCCCGGCGCGGGACCGAAGCAGAGGACGAGCTCCAAGTATTGTGGCGAGATGAGGAAGTATAGGAGGAGGAGTAGGAGGAAGAGGAGCGCGGGCAGGATGGGTTCGAGGCGCAGGGGATGCAGTAGTCGTGCACGCCGAGGTCCGGGGCGCGGCAGCAGCTGGGGCAGCAGCCGCCCGAGTCGGCGACTAAGTCGTAGTCGCCGGCGTTGCTGTAGTTGGCCATGCGCACGGAGATACTCTCGCACTGATCGGAGAGAGTGTGTTGGCACTCGGGCGCTTGGACGGCGGTGTCAAGAGGGTTGGACTTGTAAGTCGGCGGGTGGACTGGCTGGGTCTCGCCGCTGGAGATTAACGTCCCCAGAAGGGTATGCTCGATGCAGACTCTGTAAGCTGTTGAGAGATGAAAGTGTCCTGAGCTGCTGTGGTGAATGCAGGTGGTGGCAGTCGGCGCCTTGTCTGTCGAGTTTGGAGGTCGGCTGCCTGGACTCGACATCATATATACCCGTATATACACATGTACACTGCCCGGCAGAGTCGGACCCTTGCCTCCTTTTGTGTCCGAGAGCTGCACAACAACACGAAGGAAATCGCTGTCCAAAGATGGAAGGGGGCACAAGAGACCGCCGCGGTACAACACACTCTGGTCCGGGTTCGCATCGGCCTGCTCAGCCGGGACGAAAACGAGGGAACCCAGTCCACTTCTTACCTTAGGCCGTGATGAGAGCGCCGCGGAGCAACAACAGTGACGACAGTGACGACGACAAACAGAACACAAAATGCGAAGAGTGGGACGATGGAATGGTGCCTTCCCTCTGTATGTCCTTGCCGTCAGGCCGGTCTCACGTCGCCTCAAGGAAGCCCTGCCCACTGTGGCCTGACGCCTCGAGACGCTGCAGAAAGGGCGAAGGCGAAAAGGAAGGAGCAGGGTGTTGGAATAGGGATAATGTCCGCCCCGCGATAGGTTGTGAAACGGACAGAAACCCAAGGTGGCACCCGGAGGGCAGTGATATTGAGTCGTGGACGCCCAATCCCGCCCGTCCCGGCTTGCCCTGTCCCCGGTAGTTGGGTCGCGGCTCTTGCTCAGGGGCGTTGGCTGGCACGATGGAAGCCGCGAAGTGAGGCGAGACCGCCTCAAAGACGAGTGATGAGGTGGGCGGACGACAAGTTGCTAGACCTAGGTGAGGTATTGTAGGTCTCTGGCTGCCGGTGGTCTTGTTCTCGATCAGCCTGCAGCAGAGGAAGAAGCGGCAGCACGGCCAGGGGAGCAATCGAGGCACCGGATCGCCTTCTTCGGTACGGTATCGTACCTGCGCCCATTGGTAACACCTTGCCCTGCCTTGGGCATGCCGCTTAATATTACCTGCCTCACATTGCCTTACATATGCGTTCCGCAGCTTCGGTAAGATCGGGAGGTAGGGTACCTTTTATGGGGGCCGCCAGGGGGGCCCACCTTTGCGCTGGCAACGCAGTCGGGGACTCGCGAGAGCAAACCTGCAGCAAAGAGAAAATGATACGGCGGTTGCCTCGCGTTGCCTTTTGATCTGCTGCCTTGTGCTGTGTTGCCTTGCCGTGTCTCGTCGGTGGCCTCACCCAGCGGCCAAGGACGCGAGAACAGGCTCCTGGGGGAGGGAATCAGGCACGACGCAGGCAACAGGCGGCGGCCTCGCGTCAGTCGACAGACCCGACACGAACAACACATGATGGGCGCCTGGTCAAGACCCCGACGACGACGAATGGGTGACGCGGGACTGGCCGTTAGCGGTTTGAGGAGCTTAGCAAAGGATGCGTCGTATGGGTGGATGGATGGAACCCCAGTTTGCGCATCCCGAGTTGGGGCATGGCCGAGGAGGTTCCGTATTGGGGAGGTCCTGCCGTGGCATGAGCCGTGAGCCACGAGGCATGAGCCACGAGCCAGGAGCACCTCTGCCTAGCCAGGCAAGAAGCACCCATACGTGGGCAGGAGCACTGGGAGGACAGAACCTGCCTCGTGGTGTCCGCAGTTTCCCAACTTGCGGCATCGCAGTGCCTCGCAACTTCCCGTTACCCCTACTAGCCCGTTCCTGCCTTGGTAGCTAAGGTAGTTCCAACCTCCAGCCACGGAAGGCAGTACGAAGTAGATGGCCAACTAACATGAAACGACAACTGCCATCGTGCTTGCCACGGTCAGCCATGGCACGAAACACACAATGCCAAGGAGATCAAGGCTGCGATCGCCCATCGCGCACATCCCCCCGCACACAGAACGCCCTCTCTCTGTCTACACCGTGCTCGCGCGTGTCATTTCTTCTCAGTTCAGTCCAACGGCTCGCGCGCAGCGATCCCTCGCCCCTGACAGCGATCAACCACCATGGCGACGGTGCCGCGCCTCTTCGTCTTGCGTCGGACCCGACGATCAAACGGACTTGGGCGCAGACTACCGAATACAGCACCAGCAAGCCATGATGTGGCCCCGCAGGGATTGTGGCAGAGCGCGCCAGACGGGGCGTTGTATCTTCTTCTCTTTAGGCGCCCAAGTCTCGAACTTGTCTGTCTCGCCTCTTACACTGCCCAGGTCCCGGAGCTTCCCCTTCAGCCCGCAGCACCGTTGTGGAACAAATCGGCTGCCGTGGCTGAGCGTTGTCCCCTGACGATGATGACCTGTTACCCGCAGCGAAGCTGGAGCTACAAGTCCGTGAAACCACAGCTTTGGACCTGGGACATGAGCGACGACGAGGGGGGAGCACGACCCACGCACCGAGGCGACTTGGGTATGCTTTCTGCAAGGTAACTTATGCCCGAGGCCGCGGTACACCTCATCAGACGCCAACAAGTGCAGTTTAATGTGAGCAACAAGGACCACCGGGGGACCACAGGTCCGCTCTGTGGTGCGAATATGTGCAGGAAATTCGTGTGATACGCCTTGTCTGTGAGGTGTGGCCTTGGGGCGGGCGCCAAACATGGACCAACCCAACCGATGCGAGGCGTATGCAAGGCCAGGGACATTGCAGATGTGGGCGCAGTGGCTTGCACAGATGCCTGACATCGACATCCAGGACCGGGTCCTGTCAGTGACAGCTCAACTTCCCGGTCCCAAGGGCAATGCCAACGCACAGGGCACTTGCGCCACGACAGGTACCAAGTACGGTAGGGCATCGCTCTGGAACGCTCATCGACATTATCGTTTGTATCTTGTCTCATGCTCCGCTAGTCTGGTCCCTCCGATACCAGTACACGCCGCCGCAGCCTGCTCGCCACTTTCCACAGCCGCGGGCATCCCCTGGGCGAAACACACAACGACAAACCGAAAGCAAAGAGGCTTGTTCCTCGTCTAACTCGCAAAGTACAAAGTAATAGGGTGTTGGTCACTTTGACCATCTATATCCTCTCCTGGCCGCCTGCATTCTCGTCCCTGGGACACACGAGTTCAACGCCCCCCTGCCATAACATTAAGGTAATCGTCAGTTTCATCGCTTAGCCCCTGAACTCCTCGGCCTTGCTCTCCTCCCACTTTCCAGGGATGAGGGCCAGAGGCACGATGCCAGAGACGTGCATCTCGGGGCCAAAGATCTTGGCGTTGAGGCCCAGCTCCTGCGTGGCCGCCTTCATGTTCTTCAGACCCTCCTGGTAGTTGGGGCCGGCACGGCGCACCCAGATCTGGACGTTGTGCTCGATGAGCTGGGTGGCGAAGTCCCGCAGAGCGCGGATGACGCCCTTGAAGGTGCTGGCGACGTTGGTGAAGTTGGCAATGCCACCACCAATGAACAGGACCTTGCCCTTGTCCGACAGCGGGGCACGGAGCATCAGGTCGAGGACGGTGCGGGCGTAGTGGTAGGTCTGCGACTCGGTCGGCGCACCAGAGTATTCACCGTAGTTGGCGAGGTCATCAGCGAAGCCAGCCGAGGCGATGGCATCGGCGTACACGACCGACGCACCACCACCAGCAACGAGGGTCCAGATGCGGCCGTTGGGGTTCAGCACGGTGAGCTTCAGCGAGGCACCAGTCTTGGCATCGAGGTCAGCGATGTAGGCCTCCTCCTTGGTCAGCTCACGGCCGAAGGGAGCAGGGAAATCCATGGGCGGGCCGGCATCGATGTTGACCTTCTCGCCAGAGGCAGGGGCAACGTTGGTGAGGCCCAGGGCAGCGGGAGAGCGAGCAATAGCCCACTTCACACCGCACTCAAAGTCGGCCGTCTGGTCCAGCTTGGCCGCCAGATCCAGGAAGTGGACGGCAGCAGAGGTCTTGTCCTCATTGGGGATAACGACGAGAGGGTTGATCTCGAGGTACGTGAACTGGCAGTCGACGTAGACGGCATACAGGCGAGTGATGAAGTCGACGAGGACGTTGTGAACGCCCTTGGGGACCTTCTTGAGGAGAGCGGCAGCAATCTCCTCGTTGGAAGGGTATTGGGACAGGTCGACGGGAATCAGGAGCTTCTCAGCCTTGGCGTCGACATCGCCAACGTCAACACCACCCTCGTGGGTGAAGAGGATCCAGTCGCCCTATGAAATACACCAATTAGCTGGATGCCATATGAAGCAAGCCTGGACAACAAGATGGGAGCGGAATCGTTGCGCTAAGCGTGACCCGAAAAACGGTTGGAGCGATGGGCGCCGGACAGGGGGGGTCCGGCCTGGGCAGAGGTAACCTGCCTGGACCCTCCCTATCGTGACATCCGTTCGCCCGCCCGACGCATGCCGCCAAAACCCACCCGTCAGGCGCACCAATTGGTCTCTGACCACCACATAAAAAGACTGCCTGCAGCTGTTTTCATCACACAGCCTGCAAACATCTTCTTGTCTCTACTTTGTGGACATTTTGCGCACTTGCGAATGTTTTCCAACAGTGATGGTCTTGAATTGACTCAAGACTGCCCGGCTGGATTGCATCCCCGGCAACCACACAGGCGCAGGGCCTGGATGCAGAAAACAAAGAAAAATCGGACCAAGCAACGGGACACGGCAAGAGACTTACATCGCGGACGGAGTTGATGTTGATGTAATACTCGGTGTCCTGGGGGTGAGGGACGAACGGCTCAACGAGGAACTGCCTCAGCACACCGCTCGTGTGCTCGACCTTCTGCTCCTTGCCAGCACGCTCGGCGACCCAGGCCTTGGCCTCGGGCCAGGTCTTGTTGAGGGCCAGGAGGCCGCTCTTGCCTCGCCGCTTGATGAGCTGGTCGGGCTTCGCGACGAACTTGGCGCCGGGCTGGAGGAGCCAGGGGTAGGTGACCTCGGCCTGGTTCAGGACGTCTTCGACGCTGGCATCTTCGGGGAAGTGCAGCGAGGCCAGTCTCGCGGGCGGGTTGTGCTTGGTGGGCGTCGGCAGAGGGCTCGGCTTGATGACGGGAGCACGAGTGAGGTGGTAGTTGAGGATGGCCTTGCCGTCGGCCTCGAAAATCGACTTGGCGGACATGGTGACTGCGGGGAGAGCTGTACTGTCGGTGCAGTTGTGCTAGGTGAGTCTTTCCGCTGGCTTCGTGCTCTGTCTAATTCTTTTCCAGATCGTCAGCATTGATGCCGGGCGAGGAGAGACATGGCATCGTGGCCTTGCAAGCGCAGTCGCGAAGCGGCGAGACAGAAGCTTGCGACGCAGCTCTCGACGGGCAAGGCCGCGCAGAGGGATCGGTCACGTACCGGTTGCACACAGCAAGCAGGCTCAAGTGGGCTGGAGAGAAACTCGCGATTGCAATTGCAAAGTGGCAAAGGCAAAGACAAGAGAGGTCGAGCGGAATATCTGGAGTCGGGACGGAGGATGGCAGAAGGAGGAGGAGCTGGATCGAGCAGCGGAGGGTGCGACAGGAGGGTGGGTGTGGAAAGGGTCGTCCGCCGTCAGCCTCTCAAAAATTTGGGTGCCAGCGACGAGAGCTCCAGCCCGGGATGGGATGGATTGTCCTTTCGGAGAGGGAGGTGGAGGGGCAACGTGCAGCGCAAGGCCAGGCCAGTGCCTGCCCGCCCGCCAGCGAGTTGCCCTCCCGTCTCCCCCCTCCACCTCTCCTCGGGCAGCCCAGCCTTCACGTCCTGGGCCTGGCCTGGCTGGCGGGCTGGGTGCTGCGCCGCCTGCAGCAAGCGCCTAGTGGGCGCGGCTGCTCTACCTTGCCGCCGCGGGTGCGGGCTCGGCGGCCACCCTGGCGGTGGTAGCTGGAGCCGCGGGTGGATGGGGGATGGGCGGATGGGCGGTCAGGGACCACCTCAGCCTGCACGGCCAGCCCCTCATCCCGTCGCCGCTCGCTGCAGGTGAGCCTGCCAGCCAGCCAGCGTCCGATCCTGGTGGGTGGTTTCACGGCCGCCAACGGGCCAATGGTCGCGTGCGGCGGGCGCCCCCAGCCGACCCTGAGAAAAGCTTTGGGGTGACGCAGGCCAGCACCCAAAAAGCGATGAGGGGCGCGAGTACCGGTACCTCGGCCGGGGGCGTCCCCAGCGGTTGAGGCCCTGATGGAGGTGCCAACCATGAATGGGACTGTCCAAGTGGAGCCCCAGCACACGAGGCGCTGCGACGGGTCTCACTCCCACCAGGCCAGCCAAGCCAGCATTCTCTCGCTCAGAGCGTCGCAGCCACGGAGCCCGCCCCAGTGCAATCAATTGCAATGGGGCCACCCAGGGGCCATTGACCATTTCCCTGTTTCGTTAGGCTTGCTTTTTTTCCTGGCTGCCTGACGGGGTTCGGGAAGTGAGAGTGTTTGCTTGCTCTGCGCGAGACTACAGACGAAGCAGTGCTTGGTTTGAAGACGAGATGAAAGAGGCAGTGGGTGAGAGCCTGGCTCACTGGCGCCTGGGTCGCCGTCACTCCGTGCAGAGCTGTCGGGACGGAACCCGAGCTGCCTTCCAGAGCCGCGCGAGCGAGCTCTCAAGGTTAGCGCCTGGGGGCCGCCTGCATTGAGCCCGGGCAGTGGGTGGATGGAGCCCACATCAGCACACCCAGCAACCCGACCCCCGTCCGGCGGGGCGGCGACTGCTGAGAAACCCCGAGCCGCACCGGTTCAGTGGCCGGTGGACGACGGAACCCGACCACGGTGTCGAGTCTCGACGGCCGCCAACTGGCGGACCCCGGATTTCGGAGGAAGGATGAGGCGCGCGTGATGATGTGCAAGCGTGCACTCGTTTCCCCGGAGCTTGAGTGGCCCCTTGATCGGATACTCCAGACCGATGGCCACGGACAGGAGTGCCGTCAGCGCAATCCCTCGCGCTGCGCGCCAGGAACGGAACTCCTGGCATTCAATCCCTGGAATCGCTCCGTCGTCACCCTCACCGTGTCTGGTGCGCCGAAGCTCCAGCTAGCGGCTCCAGGACGGGAGGCTCACTCACTCGCTCGCCCATCAGCCCCACCCCACACCAGCACGACACGGACACGGACACCGACAACGGCGGTCACCCACCTCAAGAGGCCCCGAGGTACCGGTACCCTCACCGCGACGGCACTTGCTCGAGGTGGGACAAGGGGCCCGGTATAGCCTTATTGCAGCAGGCTGGCATTCAACAGAAATCAACGAAAAATTGTCGACCTCGCCCGGCCGCCCAAGGCACGCACGGCACCCCAAAGAAAAAAAAAAAGTTGTGCCCCAACTCGTCGGGGCCGTCGACGCGCGGACGCCTCCGATTGTCCCGTCCCACCGCTGCCTGCCTGCCTGCCTTGCATCTGAGGATCCCCCGGGCGGAGAGAAAAGGGGGGGTGGTAATACTGCGTGCAGGGCGCAGCTCGCGTGTGAGGTCGCACGTCAGACAAGTCGGCGTCAGCTTGCCATCTACAGCGCACCAGCAGCTCCGCCAACTCGTGGACACGACTCAATTCCGAAGCGCTCCTATACCTCGTACCTCTTAAGGTGAGTGAGCGAGTGACGACGACAGACCCTCTTCTATTTTCGGCCTTGCCCGGTGCGTGCTCTCGCTCGTATCGGCCGTCCGCCGCAGGGCCTTCCGTCATTCGGAGGGATGGGCTGGGCGTCTCCGTCGACCGACCGCGTTGCCCTGGGGCTAGGTTGGCTGGGCTGGGCTGGGCTGGGCTACCTTAGGTGGCTTCCCCACCATCCGTCGTGCCAGCCAGGCACTCGGCTGGACGCCAGCAGCGGGCATTGTGGCTGGCACAGGCCCAATCCTGCAGGGTCACCCACCGAGCCCCACTAAATTTTTGGTGGCCCAGCTCTCCGCCAGCACAGGCGGGATTGGAGGCGCACCTCAGCGTCCAGCACAGGACGGGAGGGACGGTGCTGGTTGATGCTGAGCGCCAGCGCAAGCACCCAGCCAGCAAGCCCGGCAGCCTCGTCCATCCCCATCCCCGTCCACGCCCGCCCAGCTCAAACTCCCACCACCAGAAGCTCTCGTCCGACTCCTGAAATCTCACTTCCTCCTCCCCCATTGCCTCTCCACGTCTCCCACCTCACTGCCTCACGCCCTTCATCTTTCTCTTGTCTGCCGGCTCTGCTCGTTACACAGCTCTCCGAGCTTGCATTGGGCCCTCGACTGTCGCAGCTCTTTTTTTCCACTGCTCCCCGCAGCTGCTGACCCTCCTCCCTCTTCGAATCGCAGAAAAAACGCCGATTGAGCTGCTCAACAGCCACGAACGGCCACCACACACCGTGACGAGCGAGCAATTCCACAACTAGCCATGGCTCAAGCTTCCACCAACGGCGCCAACGGCGCAAAGGGCCAGCTGTCCGCCAACGACAACATCCAGCGCTTCGCTGCCCCCAGCCGACCGCTCAGCCCGCTCCCCGAGCATGCTCTGTTCAACGACAAGACGCGATGCTTCGTCTACGGTCTGCAGCCCCGTGCCGTCCAGGGCATGCTGGACTTTGACTTCATCTGCAAGCGCAAGACGCCCTCGGTCGCCGGCATCATCTATACCTTTGGCGGCCAGTTCGTCAGCAAGATGTACTGGGGCACCAGCGAGACTCTCCTGCCCGTCTACCAGGAGGTCAGCAAGGCCATGGCCAAGCACCCCGACGTCGATGTCGTCGTCAACTTTGCTTCCTCGCGAAGTGTCTACAGCTCCACCATGGAGTTGATGGAGAACCCCCAGATCAAGACGATTGCCATCATCGCCGAGGGTGTCCCCGAGCGTGTAAGTTGCCGCCAACTTCCCCCACCAATTCGTCGCGGAGAGTTGTGCTAATCAGACGATGAACAGCGCGCTCGTGAGATTGCCCACGTTGCCAAGAAGAAGGGCGTCACCATCATTGGCCCCGCCACCGTCGGTGGCATCAAGCCCGGCAGCTTCAAGATCGGCAACACTGGTGGCATGATGGACAACATCGTCGCCTCCAAGCTGTACCGCAAGGGCTCCGTCGGCTACGTCTCCAAGTCTGGCGGCATGTCCAACGAGCTCAACAACATCATTGCCCAGAACACCGACGGTGTTTACGAGGGTGTCGCCATCGGTGGTGACAGGTACCCCGGGACCACCTTCATCGACCACATGCTGCGGTATCAGGCCGACCCCGACTGCAAGATCCTCGTGCTTCTTGGCGAGGTCGGTGGTGTCGAGGAGTACAAGGTGATCGATGCCGTCAAGCAGGGCATCATCACCAAGCCCATCGTTGCTTGGGCCATCGGAACTTGCGCCAGCATGTTCAAGACCGAGGTCCAGTTCGGCCACGCTGGTTCGTTCGCCAACTCCCAGCTCGAGACGGCGGCGATGAAGAACAAGATGATGCGTGAGGCTGGCTTCTACGTCCCCAACACCTTTGAGGACATGCCCGCCGTCCTCAAGGAGGTCTACGACGCGCTGGTCAAGAAGGGCACAATCGTCCCCCAGCCCGAGCCTGTCGTGCCCAAGATTCCCATCGACTACTCGTGGGCCCAGGAGCTCGGCCTCATCCGAAAGCCCGCCGCCTTCATCTCGACGATTTCCGACGACCGTGGCCAGGAGCTGCTCTACGCCGGTATGCCCATCTCCGACGTGTTCAGGGAGGACATTGGCATCGGCGGCGTCATGTCGCTGCTGTGGTTCCGCCGCAGACTGCCCGACTACGCATCCAAGTTCCTCGAGATGGTTCTCATGCTCACTGCCGACCACGGTCCTGCTGTGTCTGGCGCCATGAACACCATCATCACCACCCGTGCGGGCAAGGATCTGATCAGCGCCCTGGTTTCCGGTCTCCTGACGATTGGCTCCCGATTCGGTGGTGCCCTGGACGGCGCCGCCGAGGAGTTCACTCGCGCCTTTGACAAGAACCTGAGCCCCCGCGAGTTCGTCGACAGCATGCGCAAGGCCAACAAGCTCATCCCCGGTATCGGCCACCGCGTCAAGTCGCGCAACAACCCCGATCTGCGTGTCGAGCTTGTCAAGGAGTACGTCCTGGCCAAGTTCCCCAGCCACAAGCTGCTCGACTACGCCCTGGCCGTTGAGACGGTCACGACCTCCAAGAAGGACAACCTGATCCTCAACGTGGACGGCTGCATCGCCGTCTGCTTCGTCGATCTGCTCCGCAACTGCGGCGCCTTCTCCACTGAGGAGGCCGAGGAGTACCTCTCCATGGGTGTCCTCAACGGTCTCTTCGTCCTCGGCCGAAGCATTGGTCTGATTGCCCACTACCTCGACCAGAAGAGACTGCGCACCGGCCTGTACCGCCACCCGTGGGATGACATCACCTACCTGCTGCCCAACCTGCGCGAGGGCCGGCCTGGCGCCGAGGGCAGAGTGGAGGTTCAGATGTAGGGTGCTTGGGTGGTCGAGTGAGCGTCGGCTTGTTTGCAATGCGTATTTGATGACGGGTGAGGCGGACATGACCTGGGAAGGAAAGCGGAGACCTGTACCACGACCTTTATACATGTGGTGTTTAGGAGGCTGCAATCTAGGCAGCTCTCCACGTAATTCTTTTGCCGTTATAGACATGACATTACGCTTGACTCGGTGGCCCTGCCTTGACATCTGTGACTGGACCAGACGATCCTTGCTGAGACTCGTACGTGACGTCGCTCCACGACGGCGGATGCGCAGCCTTGCAAATTCTTGAGTCAATCCTTCTGTTGCCTGACTTCGAAAATTGCGACTAGAAATTCCCGGCCACGAGAGCTGACACTCTAGTATTAACGGCGGTCGCGCGTTGGGTGACTGGCTTCTAAGTTCCGAGGTGCGGTGGAGGGGCGGTGGTGTCGCGGGGTCACGTGCCATCAACTGCGGATCCCTGCCGGCCTAGCGGAACGACGACTTTACTTTCTCGAACGTCCATCCATCGCACTACAGCGAGCGCCAACACGACGAGATTTAAATTCGAGCGGCACACCGAGACGTCGGCGACGGCCAATGCGCCTTTAATGTAGGATCTTTGCACTCTAAAGCTCCTTGCGTACGTGATACTGATATTTTGGCTTGATCTAGACCGACTGCGAAACCGTCACCGTCACCGTCGCGCAAATCGCAAATCGCAAAGCGTCCGACTCTCTTCCCTCTTTGTCCTTTGCTGAAAGGCCCGACCAGGCGTGCAGTACAATCACGACCGGCGCGTGAGCAACAAACGCCACCGAAGCAATCGGACAACACCCCACGGAGTTGGCAAAACACCAGACGTGTCCCTCCGTTTCGCGACGGTAACGCCCCCATTCGTCGTCCCCCCGATCCAGCCTCCCACGGCACACACACACACACACACACACACACAGACGACATCAACCATGTCCTTCTTCCGCATCACGCTCCACCGCTCGGCCATCGGCCTGCCGGAGCGCACGCGCGGCGTCCTCGCGGCGCTGGGCCTGCGGCGCCGCGCGCAGACCGTGTTCCACCCCGTGGAGCCGCAGTTCGCGGGCATGATCCTCAAGGTGAAGGAGCTGGTGCGCGTGCAGGAGGTGGAGCGGCCGCTGTCGCGCGCGGAGCTGAAGGCGGCGAGGACGCCCGACAAGGGGTTCTACGTCGAGAGGGCGGTGCCGAGGATGTGAGCGCGGGGGAATGGATGAATGAGTGAGTGAGTGAGTGAATGAATGGAGCTAAGGCTGCGCGGGGGCGCGAAACGGGGAGGGGGAATAGGAACGGTTTGAGGGACCGCTTGCTGTGCGGAAGCGTGGTGCCTGTTTGAATACCCGAAAGAGGCAGGGCGGAGAAGGAAAGTAGATGGTGAGATTGTACCATATTGTAACGACTACGTCGTCCGGGCGGCATGCACGAGACAGACACATTTAGACGGCAAGACGTCGCAAGCCTTTAGCACATAGCATCAACCAGATTCCATCGCAAACGCCGTTCCCATTCGCTGCCCATTCGCCTCGGGTTCCCTGACCTGACCTGCGTTGCCCATTCGCAACCGTGTACAAGAAGAGAGAGAGAAATGAAAGACAAAAAGACACCCCTGAGCCATACGCTGAAAACCCCAATCCGCTGTTTCCCCTGTCCTGCGCTCCCGCTGTCCATCGATCCCCATCCGCTGTCCATCAATCTGCCCCCCAACCGCTCCAAGCCCCATCGTCTCCCAGCTCAAAAGCTTCGAGCCTTGTCGATGTACTCTTGCGAGGGCGTCTCGTACTCCTTTACGAAATAAGTCTCGCAATTCCGAGCCAGCCAGACGGTGAACTTGCCAATCTCCTCTCTCAAACGAGAGACAGACTGCTGGTCCATGTTGGTCTGTGCCAAGAGGTCTGGCAGAGATACTGTAAGGGCCTGGTCAGTGAAAAGCTTGGCATGTGAGTGCCAGAGGCATTGAAATTACCGATGAGGCGAGCCAAATGCTCGGCACCATAGACGTCGCAAACGTTCTTGTACTGGGCATTTTCCTCCGTGTTGGTGTCCCACAACTTGCGAATTTCCATGTACTGGTGGCGCTCGAAGCTGCCTTGCGCGTGAGTAGTTTGCTGTCGTCCGTCGAGACGATGGAGACTTACCGATAGAGCAGTATCCTGCTAAGCGCCTTCTCAAAATACTCGCGAAGGCCAGCGACAACTTCCTCCAAAATGTCCATGCTGGCAGAGCCCTCCTCGCGATGTGGACGCTCGAAGGCCAAGTAATCCTCAAGAATAACGTTGACAGGTTTCGGGTGCGGCAGCGGAACCAGCTGGTTGTTCTTCGTAATGTTCTCCCAGTCGTCCACCAGCATAGCTTGAACGTGATCGGGTACCGGAATGTTGATCATTGGCTTGCTGTGAAAGGCGTCCTCCTGGGAAACGTGTCAGATTAGGCCTTTCGTTGTTTGCGCGCCTTGAGCTGCTTGACAAGTCGCGCCATCCGTGCTTGCAAGTCCTTTGATTCGGGATCGTGGTGTTGTTTGACGAAATAAACGCGCCCCTTCTCTGTTGGGGTCCTCTTCCTCGTCGAACGACGGGTCCCGACTTCAGGAGGGCCGTTGACACTGGTGACAGGGGCATCCTGTGGCGAAGAGGACTCGCTCATTCGATGTCCGCCTTGAGGAGTGAATGAATAATCAAGCCCCAGCGCTCCATGGTCGATGTATTCGACTGCCTGCATGGCCAAGACGTCGGGGTGTTCCGCCCGCACGTTTGAAACGGGGAATTGACCAGGCAGAACCAGATGCCATCCGTATCCTTTGACCGGACGAAGAAGAGGGTTAATGGTGGCGAGATCCCGTTCAGGATCGAGCGGCTTCGGGAGTCGCTTCCGTTGCACGAGTACCCTGGGTTCCTTCCAGGGCTTTGGTTTCGCGACGGGCTTGGCTCTTGCGACTGGCTTGGCCTTTGCGACTGGCTTTGGTTTCGCGACAGGCTTGGGCTTTGCGACTTGCGTGGGCTTTGCAGCTTGCTGGGGATTCGCCTTGCCGCCACCCTTGGCACGGGTATTCTTCGCGGGGGCCATTTCGAAAGGTAGGGTGTGGACAATGATTTGTAGATGTTTGAAAGCGTAGAACGAGCTTGGTATCAAGAGAGAGAGCTTCTTGAAGACGAGAGCAGTGTGCAAATATTGGTGAAGACGAGTGTGAAGGAGGAGGAAAACAACACGTCGAGGTCAGGTAGGTCTGCGCGTTGATGTAGACCAGAACAATAGGCTCAAGGTTGACACAATACCGGTAGCGCGAGCCGCAAGCGAGGTAGATGCCAGAAATGGCAATGAAAACGTTTGCCAGAGACTCTAAACGGGGCGGAGGAGCTCGCTGGGGTTCCATGGCACGCCATAATGACTGCGCGAAACCGACACTTGCCAGCCTCGGCCTGTTCGTGACGTATAGAAACTTAATTCTGACGCCTATAGAACAGAAACGATTCGAAGTGCTCCATGATGTAAATTGCTCGCGTGCAGGAGCGTGCTGGGCTGACCTTGGTTGCCGCTGGGCATTGGCCGTTTTTGCCGTGGCAACGGCCACCCGACGCGTCTTGATATACTTTGCGAGGCCTTGCCCGCGCGTCATGGTCAAGCCTTGGGCCATGGCATCATGACGGGAAGCTCGGAAGCATAATGCGATGCCATACGCAAAGAGTAAAGGAAGAGAAATGGCTCTTACCTGCTCGAGTTCCCAGTCCTTGCCGCGTCGGCCTCCGCGCCCCCCCTGAGCGGCGGCGGAGCCTCGCTCTTCACTACCGCGGGCCGAGTCGCCGCCGTTCCTGAGGTTCTTCTTGGGCTGCTTGGCGTTCTTCTGCAGGCTGTGCTTGAGCTGGGCGTGCAGCTGGGCGGCCAGCTCCTTGTGCTCGTCGTCAAAGGGCCGGATGCGATCGGCGAGCACCCAGTCGTCCCACGTGTTCTTCCAGCCCTTGTAATGGACCTTGTAGCGGAAGCCGTCGCCGGGCTTGTCTCCGGGCTGCACGTCCATGATCTTGGCCTCGTAGAGCATGTCCATGTGGAAGCAGAGGACCTTTTCGTCCTTGCTGAACTGAGGCGAGGGCTGCTGCCGCGCGGGAGCCATGGCGATTTTGCGTGCGGGCCCGAGCTGGGGCGCGGCTGCGAGGAATACGTACAACGAAAGCAGGGGGGTGTATGCCTGGTCCGGTGACTCTCAGAGGTGCGGTCCCGATGCTCCTGGGGTCCGGGGGTCTGCGCCGTTGGGTGAATATCGATGAGTTGTCTAGATGGGCCGGCGCAGGCGTTGGCCGTTGATGAGGGCGCCGCGTAAATTGGCTGCAGGGGATTTTGGGTGAGAGCGCGCCGCCGACCAGACGCGACCAGACCTTTTCCGCCCCAGTTTTCCCCTTGCTGGGCGGCCGGTTGGCAGCGGCCCCCTGGCGGCGCTCATTGGCTGCCCGCAGGACAGCCTCCCTAAGGTGCTGGCCACAGCGCTGTCACTGCACTACGGCACAGTGGCTGACAGCAGGGACAATCACCACGGCTACCTGGCGTGGCAGCTCAGATCCCCTGCTGTTTCCTCACCGGCATGCCAAAGGCAAACTCAGCAACCACACGGAACGGTTATTCGCAGGGCTGCGTCGCGTCTACATTTCGCGTCTACGGGCAATGTCCTCGATTCTTCTTTGGCAAGGCCCCAATGACGTCGTCGTACGTCGCAGGGCGCTCAGGATCACAAACCAGCTCATACATTGAATTAGGTTGCATCATTCAAAGCCCGGAGGCAGGACCAGCACGTGGAAAGCGCAGCACTGGATTGAGAATGCACAAACTGCCTGATCAGAGAAGGCTTTCGTCGCCCGTCCGGTATTGACATGGCCCACTCGCTTTGACTGCCTCACTTGGTGTCAAATCAAGAGCAATTCGCAACGATGACGGGCACGCTGGCTTGGCTCGACGTAGTACAGTGCTGTCCGTCGTTGCACTGTACAAGTGCGCCCCTCATAGGGGGCTCTTACAGTGCATTGCACCCGCAGCCCACTTCTGAGCAACGTCCATGCTCAACTGGAGACGCGTCTCGCCGTAACCTCTCTCACAAGCCGCGTTGTCACAGTCTATCTCATCACGCCAGGCTTTCCGCGAACCACACATCACGTTCCTACCTTCAATACAACGCCATCCTTTCTGACAATCTGCAAACCACGCATTGACTTCGTCACACCTACCTTCACTTACCGAACCTCACCCCAAAAGACACTCCGCCATGGCGCCCAACGAGTCAGAGATCCTCACCAACTACCTCCTCCAACCGGCACCCCTCACCGCCATCATCACCTTTGAGCAGTTCCGCGCCTCCTTCCCGCGGCCGCTCCAGTCCTCCCCGCAAGTGCGCGCCCTCTTCCGCGACCTGCAGGCCCGGCGCAACGCCGTCGTCGATGCCGTGGCCGCCAACATCGCCGCCGAGGCGAAGCGCGGGGCCGCCATGCGCCGCGAGGTGCTCCGTCTGCGGCGCGAAGCCGAGCACGACGACGTCGACGGCGAGATTGAGATGGAGAGGGCCCTCTTCGGGGACGAGAGCGGCGCAAAGAGGGCACGGCACACGCTCCCCTCGGTCGTGCCGGAGCTTGATGGCGCGGCGGGCGCGCTCGAGGCAGAGATCAAGCAGCTCGAGGAGGAAGAGCTCGCGCTGCTCGACTCTATCCGGCAGACAGTCGGCGGTCTGAGCGATCTCCGCTACGGTAAGCTCGCAAACGGGCAGCTGAGAGACGAGGTCTTGGACGGGCTCAAGTCGCTGCAGGCCGCCTGCGACGCCAAGTCTTGATCCAAACTGAACTATTACACTGGTATACTATTCATGACAACGGTACGTTGAAATCACCCCCCAGTAGACCCCCAGCCCTGATTTAATCACAGAACCAGCCGCCGTTTTACCAACCATTTCACAGGCCGACCCACTTCCGAGGTGTGCGTGTCATCATATGCGCAACGTCTATCATGACCCATCACAGCCTCGCATTACGCTATTAGGATGCTTATTGGGAAAGCATCGTCCGTCTACGAGGAACCCGCAGCGGCAGGCCGGGCGCCGGAGCCAGCGGCGCCGGGGCGACGCTCGTTGCCCATGGTGTTCATGCGGTTGGACCTGAAGATGACGCAATTAGTACCGTGGTGCCGCCGAGATGGCACGCGCGTGGCAGCACTTACATCATGCTTCGGCTGATGAAGGAGACGAGGATCATGAAGAGCCAGTTGGGGACGAGGTTGAAGCCCCAGACGAGGTAGCCCCACGGGACGGCCAGGCCGAGCTCGGCAGCCTTGCCTTCGAAGGGGTGGAACCAGGAGTCGAGCTTGACCCAGCCGTGGCCCTCCTTGCTCTTGGAGGCGGCGACAAGGTCGGAGGAGGCAGTCGTGGTGAAGTTGAGTCTCTTCTTGTAGATGTCAATCTGGGCGGGGGGCGGGAGCATGTTGAAGGACCAGACATAGCCGGTGCCGACGCCCCAGCTGTTGCACAGGATGGGCTGGTCGTCGCAGTTGAGGTAGGCCATGCGCGGCGACCCGGGGGTGATGGCGAACTTGGCAGCCGTCTCGTTGAAGGCCTGCTCGATCTTGCCGCAGTGGCCTTTGTAACGTGGCATCCGTTAGCACTGCGCGGTTGCGCTTAGACGTAGGGCAGAATAGAAGTGGCAATTACCGAAGCAGGTCTTGTTGCGGCCAGAGATGAGCACCCACCACTCGTCGGGGACGGTGGTCTTGGGGGTGACGTGCTCGGTCAGGGTGTCCCTCCAGTTCTCGAGGGTGAGGGTCGACATGCGCATGGAGCCCATCTTGGCCTCGAGCGCGGCGACGGGGTCATGCTTGCCCGGGTTGGGGATGTAGGACACGGCCGTGTTGAGGATGTTCTGCAGCTGCGCCTTGTACTGCGCGAAGGGGTCCTCCTGCGCGGCGGACGCGAGGAGCGGCAGGGCCGCGACGATGGCAGAGGCGGAGAAGCGCATGATGACGGGCGATGGTGGAGGTGGAGGCGGCGGGACGGGACGAGCTCAGACCGGGGCGGGTGGAAGAATTGCGACTGGATGAAGAAGGCGTCAAATGCGGTGATGAATCCGATGCGCGCGCAGACGGGTTCGGTGACGTTTGAACGGGATATCAAAAGCGGCCGCGAGTGATTAAAAGAAGTAAGTTGGAAAAGGGCCGCGGATGTGGGCAAGGCTTTGGAGACGGAGGAGGAGGAACTTTGAAAGCCAGGCCAGGGTGGCCCCCCAGTCGGCCTCTCACTTGTCAAACAAGGGGAGCTGCTGGCTCTGCGGAGGGTGAGAGCTCCAGGCTGCGAGCTGGAACCCTCCCGTTCCGCTGCCACACCCAG